TATCCTTTGCTTCGCGGCGTCATCAGTATTATACTGCTTATGGTGTATGAGAAAATTTTCTATGAATGTCAGAAAGAGAGCGAGGAAAAAGGTATCAGCGAATTTCAAATCTCATTCTCTTTACGGAACGAAATGACAAGCCTTAAAATAACTCCTAGTTAGAGTATATAATGATAAAGTTGAGGCTAGAAAAGCTCTGATTGAATGAGTCTTTCTCTGCCTCAATCTTCTGTTGTCCTCCGTGCACCAAGCAAGTGTAGTCCTAGTTATATTTTTACACCAGGGGGAGCTACTATCACATACTGCTTAGTCGGGTTGAGCTGACCTCCGCTCGAGATTATGAAGGCTTGGTCAAGATATCGGCTTAATTAAGCTGACCTCAAATTGGCACTCATGAAGAGGATAATGGTCTGAGATCACGGCTAGGGTTGCTCCGTATCTAAACAAATTTGGAGTGTAGTTTGTATAATTAGACCCTCATTACCTACATATGTGTCATAACATTCGGTTCTCTAGTAAGACCGAAAAAGATTGGATTGAGAATCGAAAGAGGGTTATGATATATCTGAGTCAACGCTCTTCTGCTGACACCGCCACCACCACCGCCATTGAGATATATGCAAGAAGAAGTGTAGGTGCCGGTCGATGCTCGCCTTCTTGGCCTGTGTTATGTTTTTATCGAGTATACCGCTGTAATCGAATGTAAGTTCTAAAAAGCAAATTCAATCAATCAACAGATTGCCAAGACAGATTGTAAAGCGTGGCTGTGGTGGCTGCCACATCCCTCCCCATCTCATGCCCCTCTTTTTGTTTGGCGGGGTATCGGTAGAAAAAAAATCCTTGGCTAGCAAAGAATTCCTTGACTCAGGCAAACCCCACACGTTTTTGTTCTCCATCCTTTATAACAGCGAGCAAATCTTGAAGAAGATACCCTTCGATTTACCCACTAAGAAAAAATAACATACAATGGCTGATAACGCTCCTGTTGCTGAGGGGAGCGTCCCAAACCTTCACAAGGATGAGGTAACTGGTGAAATGGTTTCGAAGTCAGAGCTGAAGAAGAGACAGAAGAAGAGAGAGGCAGATGCAAAGAAGGTTGGTTTTGGATCTTGGGAAAGCATTAAATATTGGTCACTAACATGAACTTTTCTTGAAACATAGGCTGAGAAAGCCGCTGCTGCCCCACCGAAGCCCGCAGCAGATAAGAAGAAGAAATCTGAAATTGCTGAGGAGGAGGAACTCACGCCTAATGTTTGCATTCACTACAATAAGCCTAGTATTGCTCTTCAACTGACCGGGGTGGTTGTGAGTCTTAGCAATACTTTGAGATACGTTCTCGAGCCATCAATAAGCTCCGCGAGACCAAGAGCCCAAACCCGTATCCTCACAAATTCGATGTCAAGAATAAGATCTCCGAAATCATCTCTACATACGGCTCTCTTCAAAAGGGTGAGACCAAGCCAGATGTTGAAGTCCGTGTCGCTGGACGCATCCACGGTATCCGTGCGTCGGGGAGCATGCTTCGTTTCTATGACCTCCGCGCCGAGGGAGTCAAGATCCAGATCATGGCGCAGGCGCAGGACGCCGTTACTGACTACCTCGCTCAGCACGAGCATCTTCGCCGTGGTGATATAATTGGGATTGTCGGATACCCTGGAAAGACGAACCCCAGCAAGAAGGAGAACCCTGGAGAGCTCTCAATCTTTGCTAAGGAGGTTGTACTATTGACCCCATGTTTGCACATGCTGCCGACCGAACACTTCGGGTTGAAGGACCAGGAGACTCGTTACCGCCAGAGATACCTTGATCTTATCATGAACAACAAATCCCGCGACATTTTCATCACCCGAAGCAAGATCGTTTCTTATATCCGCCGCTTCTTCGACAACCGCGATTTCGTCGAGGTTGAGACACCTATGATGAACGCGATTGCTGGAGGAGCTACTGCTAAGCCGTTTGTTACCCACCACAACGATCTTAATATGGACTTGTTCATGCGTGTTGCTCCAGAACTTTACTTGAAGATGCTGGTTGTTGGTGGACTCGAGAGGGTCTACGAGATTGGTCGCCAGTTCAGAAACGAGGGTATCGACCTCACCCATAACCCCGAATTCACAACTTGCGAGTTCTATTGGGCATATGCCGATGTGAACGACATCATGGACATCACTGAAGAACTTGTCTCTGAGATGGTTAAGAGCATCACAGGATCATATAAGACTAAATTCACAACCGTGTCTGGGGAGATCTACGAAGTCAATTGGGAGAGGCCATGGAAGAGGATTGAGATGATTCCCGCCCTTGAGGCCGCTACAGGAACCACTTTCCCTCCTGGAGACCAGCTCCACACCAAGGAGACCAATGACTTCCTGAGGGAAGTTGCTAAGAAGCACAACATTGATTGCTCACCGCCCCAGACCAATGCTCGTCTCCTCGACAAAATGGTCGGCGAGTTCATTGAAGAGACCTGCATCAACCCCACCTTCATCACTGGACACCCACAGATGATGTCTCCGCTTGCCAAGTATCATCGTTCCATTCCGGGTCTCTGTGAGCGTTTCGAGGCCTTCGTATGTAAGAAGGAGATTGTGAACGCATACACTGAGTTGAACGATCCCTTTGACCAGCGTCTCCGTTTCGAGGAACAGGCGAACCAGAAGGATCAGGGTGACGACGAGGCACAACTTATTGATGAGAACTTCTGCCAGAGTCTTGAGTATGGGTTGCCACCAACTGGTGGTTGGGGTATGGGTATTGATAGAATGGTTATGTTCATCACCGATAACTACTCTATCAAGGAGGTGTTAGCTTTCCGTGAGTTTTTCTAAAGCTGATAGGAAATTAGGCGCAATTAATCACTGACACTATTGGTTTGTAGCATTCATGAAGGATGATCACTCCGAGAAGAAGACCGCCGCCGAGGTTGTTGGAATTCGTCCAAGTGCTCCGTATGTATCCCTTCCCCTGCCATACACCAGAATATGGCTAATACATGACCATAGAGTTGAAAGCACTGGAGAGCTTCAATCATAGGTATTAGACCGAAACTCTAGAATCATGTAGATATCATTGAATGTGATTTTTTTTACTTTCGTAAAACAAGCATGCTTTCTTTAATTATACCTATATTTTGATAAATTGTTAGCTTTTACTGGGAGTTAAGCATGAGCGCATAGGTAAAATATTTCACTGCTCTGTTTTAGTTTAATGCTCCGATACAAAGCATTCTCGACCTTCCTGAGATACAAACATCGTGGTACCCAACCACAGCCTGTAAAGAAGTTTTGTTACATAGGGGAAGACATTCTTGGAAAAATGTATTTTTGTGTCCGATAAGAGGTTGTATGAAAAAGTAAATCGGGGACACTAGTATGAACTGCCTCAGTAACAGGGAACAAGATTCAGTTGACGGCTGGGCATGGCGCCGATACAGAGAAGACCAGGCAATCTTAATTCTAGAGAAAAACGGGCACGAGAGGTGGAAGAATACAGAGACAATTGAAGTTGGAACCATCGAACGGAAAACCAGCATTTTTAAGATAGACATGACATTGCTCACGGATACGCACATTAAAATGGGTGGGACATTACATGGCAAGAGGTTGAAGGACGGGAGGAGAGAGACAATCAAAATTGAATTAGTATGGTAGTGACATTTTTTTCTCTTCTTTTCTTTTGGATTGTTATATTGTCATAACCTCCGGGTTGCATACAATTAATGAATTGATCAATCAATCAATCAACTGGCCTCAGTAGCGGTCCTTCTAGTACCGAGTGACTTCATATGACGCACATAAACACTATGGATTCATGAGTAATCACTCGACCCATCATATCCTTGGTTTTTTTTTTTTTTTTTTTTAATTCATTAATTGCATGCAACCTTAGAGTTACGGCAATTCATATCCTTGGGTGAGAAACTCTAGCTAACTGTCCCGGTTAGACCATGAAGCTATTATAAAATGATATTTATGTAGAACATCCGTCTTTGTAGACAACTGAATACTAAGGCTTGTGACGCGAAAATAATGATGTTAGTAACCAGGGCTTGAGGTTTTTGACACAGAAGTGGTAGAATAATAGGGACATAGAGGCCGGAGCCATGTTAACAGGGAAATTCAAGAGGAACAGGTGTGCCGGGAAAAGTGGAGCGTACTGGTACTTAATACTAAAATATAGACTTAACTGCGATAATGAGGAGATGTGATGTGGGGGGGAGGGGGGTTGATTTTGTTTTCATGTCGTGTCACCCATACAACTTAAGAGTTGTAATAAGCAGAAACTACCAAGTTAACCACCGCGCTGGGCTTTCCCTTTGGTTTGGGGCGATCTTCTCTGCTAAAAACATCGATATATCCTTACAGCCCATTGAGCTAGTGTATGCTAGCTAATCGGGCGATTTATATGATGCAGGATGTAGCTTCGCACACAACCCCTTCGATTTTCAATAAAATGGTGCCCATTCATACCTTTTATAATTTAGATCTTTCATTCATAACTGGCGTTGGGTAATGCATGGTGTAATAAATATAATATATGATGTTGATAATTGATATAATTCTCTAGGTACATATGTACTTGTAGTACCATATATACATGTACTTATACCATGCCACTCCTGTTCCCCATGATTCTCTTACCTCAATCACGATAAATAAGTACATGTAGAGCTAAAGCCAAAGATACCTCAACACTGCAATAACTTTCTACTACCTGCTTTTATGTCTGAGCCGCTTAGTCAGATCAAAATAGACAGATCTCAGCGTTTCTAGTTCAAGATGCGGCTCTTTGTCGCACCATGGGATAACAAGCTTAGCGCGTGACGCACCTTAGTTATCGCCTTCCTCCTGTTCGTCCGTGCACAACTCCCCTAACCCAACCCCAAGTTCAAATACGACCGCACCACTCCCAACAGCATACACCCCCGCAAAGAAAACCTCAACCAGAACTCGAAAGCCTTCAAACCAGTCTCAAAAAAGCTCAAGCGGTCAAATAAGAAAATGGAGGAAAGAAAAGGCCGAAAAAAGAAGGTGCTTCTCATGGTAAACTCTCACTCACCCTTAGAGCTTGTTGCCAGTTAACGACAGGTAGCTAATGGAGCTCGAAAACAGGGGAAATCCGGCTCCGGAAAGTCTTCCATGAGATCTATCGTATTCAGTAACTACGTCGCGAAGGATACCCGCAGGTTGGGCGCCACGATCGATGTTGAACACTCCCACGTCAGGTTCCTCGGGAACCTGACGTTAAACTTATGGGATTGTGGTGGGTGTGTATCCCTTTTCCCTCCTGTGCGACATGAACCCAATTTCTAAAATGGATACAGTCAGGACGCTTTCATGGAGAACTATCTGGCGCAACAACGTGATCACATTTTCAAGAATGTCGAGGTCCTCATCTACGTTTTCGACATCGAGTCGCGCGAGTTTGATCGAGATCTCATCACCTACAGCTCGTGTATTGAGGCTTTGCGCGACAACAGCAGTCATGCACTCATCTTCTGTTTAGTCCATAAGATGGATCTGGTACAAACAGAGCTACGAGAGAAACTATTCTTGGAGCGGAGCGCGGTGTTAAAGGAGCGCAGTAGAGGAATGTCGATTGTTTGCTATCCGACAAGTATCTGGGATGAAACTCTTTACAAGGCAAGGATTTTGATACGTTGAACTTACTAGACTGTCGCGTCTAACAACTCTCTCATAGGCATGGGCACAAATCGTCTATAACTTAATACCTAACCTCCCACAACTCGAAAATCACCTCAGACGCTTTGCAGAGATTGCCGAAGCCGAAGAAGTTATTCTCTTCGAGCGCACTACCTTCCTCGTCATCTCTGCTGTTACGCGCTCTACGGAGCCAAACCCCTACCCCGACCGCTTTGAGAAGATCTCGAACATTGTCAAACAGTTCAAGCAGTCATGCACCAAGATGGCATCTAATTTCACGGCTTTTGAGCTGCGAGCTCACATGTTTAGCGCCTTTATTGACGTCCTGACACCAAATACATATATCCTCGTGGTCATGCCGGCCAACGCGGCAGAGAGTGCAACGACTTTGATGAACATTGCAGTTGCGAGGAAGCATTTTGAAAAGCTCGAAAAAGACAGTGGTGGCAGGGGAGCAGAAAAGCAGGTGGAAAATGGCGTAGGTTTGCATTAGGCTGTTGTGTTGTTGTGTGGACATGAAAAGTGGATATTGGTCGAGTTTCGGCCCTGGAGAACTTTCGTTTTGTGCGTGCGTCTTTTTCTCGTTTTTACTTAGGTGCTGATACCTCTCATTTTACTGGCTTGGAATTTTATATTGTGGCTCAACTGCATAGGGCGGGGATGGGACTGAAAACGAAAAGAAAAGATTTGAATTGTACCGGGCCTGCTAGGATTTGTTTAGGGATTTTATTTTATGCGGATTGCTTCGATTATATGTATGGTGTTTTTACTAATGGTTATTATGGTGGGGGAAACTATGTAGGTATCTTTATTCCAGTTTACTCTTTAAATGGAGCCAAGCTAGATCATCGAGGGAGGGTTAGGGTTATGGTAATTTCGGTCGAGTGATGGGATGTGATTATCCAGCTTGCAGGCCATTTGATGCGTTTTTGGTCTGTATTATAGAGCACTATATTTAAAGTATCAGTGAATGTTAGCTGCTTTTTTGATGTGGAAAATGCGGCTGCAGGTCAATCTTATCAATTATTGGATCTTTCACCTAAATTTGCTGTGGGGGTTGACCCTCTAGTAAAGAGAGCCAGTGTTGATACGTTAACGAATGGTAACGACCCATACTTGTGTTGAAATCCAGCACGAAGATTCCCGAATGTAGTTCTGCTTGTCTCTTAGGATCCAATGCACCACCGGTGGCCTAATATCCACCGATTATTGCATTCGACTTTCCATTGATGAAATGGGTACGAAACCGTGCTTTTCAGATGAGATTGTCAGAGCGCCGAGTTCATTGATCTATAATGAAGTAAGAAAATGCAACATAGCCAGGTTTCGGGGTCATCACGGGAGTATAATTACCTTGCACCATCTACTCAAAAGCCATCAGCCCTCGGCTGGTTGTCAAGGCTCGATTCCCGAAATATCTACTTCCATCAGAGAGAAGTATAGATGACAAGTTATTCTGTCAGTCGGTCAGAGTCCGGTGGTGCTGCCATCATGCAACCTTGGTTGTGAAGAGTGGAGGGACCTACTGGGAACTTTGACATCCTGGAATTGTGGTATTGGAGGTAAGATTCTATGACAGATTATGCTGGCGATGATGATTATTGTTGTATCCTTAGTATGTGAAAGGGGAATAAGAGGTTGTGGTTTATTGAAGTACCGAGTGATAACCTATGAAGATCACTGTTAGGTAGAAAGCATTAGCTCTAGTTCTGTAACACGCGTAAAAAGTCTACCACAAGCTACGTAGCTTGTTCACAGAGGTTTTTATATTGCGAGGTTTACTAGATTGGCTGTAGCTACGTAGTTATAGTATTGTTCTTAACGCCATGTGATTTTGAAAGGTCGATAAGTACACGAATTACATTTAGTAAGTATCCTTAGAATTTGACATGTATAATTGCAATAAAAATGTGTTCGTGAGACAGAACTTCTTTAATTCTTAACAAAATGTTTTTTGGTATTGGCATTTAACTGCTGTTAGTACAGCCACTCAGCAAAAGTGTTCGTGATTTAGTTTTAATGTCAGTGCGCAGTGTGGCGCACCCGTGATGTTGATGTTATTAATGTAGAGATTCAAAACAACGAAAAATATAATATAGTTCATATAAAAGGAGATAGGTCGTTGATTTATTCTTCGTTGGTTCCGGGCCCCATTGTTCACTGGGAAAGTTTTCTCTTGGGGATTTTGATGGTCCGCCACGGTTACATAGAGAAATGTCTCACACCGAAATCGGAATCACGAACACTTTTGCAGAGTGGCTGTAGATCACATGGAATTAAGATGATATCTCTGTTTGGTTACTAAATTTATGGGGTTTGATTGACTGGATATCAATTAATTATGCTGAGCGACTCCGGAGATCATAATCACTGATTATGGCCATGAGTACGTTGGGCTCGATCAGAGGGTGGAGTGTGTGGTTGCGTGGTTTACTCACACATGCCATTCATGACCTACATGTATTAATGCGATACCGAAGTGGGAATTCGTAAGTTTGATTCATTTATAGCCTAAGGAAAACTTTGGAGAATGCCTGTGCTTTGACTATTGTGTAGTATGTATTTTCTTTGATAATAATAGACATGATAGACATAATAGACATAACGATCATAACGCCCGATCACATAAGAATGCAGGGTATAAATGGATAGGAATACATAAATACCGCTAAAAACAAGTAAAAATAAACAATAATGGTAAACGAAATAGATAGATAAGCAGCTCTTAATCTTCGTCAACCAACCTCCCAAAAATCAAACTCTGGACAATCCACTCGTCGTCCACAATTTGTACCCTCCCTTCACCCGCCCCTGCCTTCTCTCTATACATCCTCTCAGCCTTGCCCCTCTCCTTAGCCTCCACACAGACGTAATCCCACTCCTCTGGTCCTTCCAGGAGCCTGCCCGCAGCCTCTAGATTTCCGACCTTGATCACCCGCTCTGCCCCCATTGCCCAAGTGAGAAACAGGTAACTTCGTCTCTTCTCTCCACTCCCTACTACAATCACTCCCATACCGTCCAACAGTCTCTTCCGCCGCTCTAGAACGCTGCTGAAGGCCGCACGCCGCAAATCATATGTCTCGAGCGTACGGCTGCAAACACAGCCAAGATAGCGGCTCTCGCCAGCGGGGAGAAGATAGTGTTCCCAGTCCAGCAGCTTGGACTTCTTGACGCAGTCATCGATCCAGCGGCTAGCAAGACATGGCAGGCCCAGTGCAAGTGCTTGGAGGAACTTTGCGCGCCGGCAGTGGGTATCAGCTATGACGGCGGTGAAGCCGAGGGTCGAGAATTCGGGTCGGAGGGTCAGAGATGTGTCGGGATCGTAGAAGAGCTCGTTGAAGCCGATATCGACAATCCGGCCACCAGCAGAGAGAATCTTGCTTGTTGTGGACTTCTTGATGGCTTCATTCGCGCCGAAGGAGAGAGCAAAAATCATGCCTGTGAACACACCAGAGGCGTTACGGGTGAGGCCGGTCGTTAGCGGTGTAGCGAGGCGGCGGTGGCTGGGTGTTGTGGGGGGCGGAGAGAGCTCGCTGGGTGTGCGTTGCCGGAGGAGCGTAGGAGAGGTACGTGTGGAGAAGTTTTTCCACATTGTTTGGATTAGGTAGACACTAGTTATTGCTACGTCTATTGGTTCACCAACTTTACCCTTGACTGTGACGATATGATTGCCGCGCGAGTCTGTGTACTTGTTGTCACTCCCCTCGGAAATTTTGAAGCTGTCGATTACCCAGGAGGACTTCTTCATTCCTGTGACATCGACACGGATGTGGTCGCCGATACGTAGATCGAGTGAGCGGATATGATCTCGACTTAATAAGTCCTCGGTACCGTCGTCGAAGACGACTTTCATCTCGCGGTCATTGCTCTCGAGAATTGTGGCAGGGTAATAGGCCGTTTTACCATCACGGAAGAGCGCGAAAACTCTCGAAGGTACTGTGGTGGGTGCGCCTGGAGGGGGAGGTACAGATACGTGAAAATGTGGGTTAGTGGTGGTGAGAATATCAGCATCGTCGTCGGTATCTGCGAGTGAGGACATGCTACGATGAACACTTATTGAGGAGCGAGTTTTTCGCGCGGTAATCTTGGTCTTAGATTTGCTAGCGGGAGTGCGAGTGGATTTATGCTTCGATGGCTCTTTAGGCTTGGGGGTTTTTCCTTTCCCAAAATCGAGTCTTATCCTCTTATTGCCTTTATCCCCCATGACAGTGCCTTCTGCAGCTTGATCCCCTGGGTCGTGTTCCCGCCCTGCTCCCACATCAGCCACGATTCCCGCCATATCGATATCATCTGGTTCCGGTCTACTGCTCAAAAACCCACCTGTCTCTTCCAACCCCTTAAAGCTCTTCATTCCACTCTCCTCTACTGAGCAAGGGACCATGTTATCAGCTTCTATTACAGGCCTTTTTCTTTTCCCTAAAGGTGTATCATCATCATTGGTTGGGTCAACCATAGGAGACGACTCCACCGTGGCTTCTCTGATAGGAGTCGAGATTCCACTTGGGATGGGCGTAAGACTGCTAGTCGGCGCCATAAGTCCGCTTGTCTCCTTTACGTATTCAGGGACAGGAGCTACCGGAGAGGGTATATTGAATGGAACGAGTGATTTCAATGATGTCGTTTTCCTCTCCAATACCGGCAGGGGTTGTGAATATTCCACAACTGCAGAAGTAGACGGTAAGGATGAAGATACCATTAAACCTTCTTGATTTAGAGGCGGCGCAGGACGACGTCGAAATTTCGAGGCTGCGGGTATTTGATGTAATGATTCCCAGTCATCAGGAGGGAGCTGGGTGTACTGCGTTTGTGCAGCAGCAGGTATTATCTGTGTAGGAACATCTGACGTAAATGTCGGTGCAATGTCGATATCTTCTTTTCCGTCGTCGGTAGTGTGCAGAGGGAGCTCGGGCTCAGGTTCGTTTTCGTCTTCTGCTGTTGCAGTAGGGGCTGGTGGCTCTTTCGCCGCTGGTTCAGGCTGTGTATCCTCCTCATCTCCAGTCTCTTCAACACTAGTCTCCAGCGTAGCAATAGGCGACACAGATTTCGTAGCTCTAGGCAGAGATTTACCCTTCGCTATAGGCCGCTTGTCTTCCTCGCTCCTAGCACGCCCTTGGAAAGATGGAGCTTTTGGTATGCTTTTAGCAAAGAGGCGCTTTACTTCCTCTTCACCTTTTCGCCGAGCTCTCTCAACACGGCGTTTATAATCTTCTCCGGGGGAGAAGGAATCTTCATCGCAATCTTTTTCGTCGGAAGAAGGGATCTTTTGGGTGCTTCCAGGCTGGGAAAGGATGTAGGCAAAAGGCTCAAAGACTACCGGTGAGTGCGACCGAAGGCGCCGTGGTTTCTTCTTGGCCGCCTTTCGGTCTCGAGCTTCTTGGGACTCTTTCATTGAGATGTAGGCCGTCTGGTCTGGCTGTGTTGGTTCACAGTATTCGTCATCTTCGGCTTCTTGGGCCGTCTTCTTGGGCCCCGGTTCGGACTCGGCCTGAGCTGCTGGTACAGGACTACTCTGGTCTCTCTCCGCATTAACCCTCTCGAGGGTTTTTGCCATGACTCCCATAGCTTCCACCGCACTCGGTGTCGGTGGAAGACTAGCCTCTGCATTGATTGGCCGTATTGGCGAGGACACACTGTCGAACATTTGCGCGAGCGATGCATTCATTCGTCCCTGCAGGGCTGCACCCCCGAATGTCATTGTCTGGAGCGGATTATGCCCCCCCGTCACTGGTCTCTTACTACGCAGCTGCTGCGGCGTGACAAATCTGTGAGCTTCCGGGAAAAGGGTCGAGGGCTCTGGAGGCTGAGATTCGAGTTCGTCAACGGTCGTGAAGGTACCAGTGGTCGCAGGACGGTGAGCTGGCGGGGTGGCGGCGATCATGTCGTAAGGAGCGAACGCGGGGTAGATGCCATCGTCGGCTTGCGTCTCGCCGAGGTCGACCTGACTATAGCTGAGGTTATTGGAGTAGGCAAGGTGAAGATTTCCGGAATGATCATTGGCAGTGTGGTAGGTGGAATTGTAAGATTGTTTAGTGGAGGATTGCTTTGCGGGGGTCCTAGGAACGAGGGGGGGCGAGCGAGGGGGTGAGCAGATTATTTGTGTCTCGGCGAGTTGGGCATCCTTCTGTAGGCTGCGTTAGTAACGCTATGGACCAGGAGGGCTTGGGCCACGGGCATGCATGTCATACGTACGCTGAGGAGGCCCTGCAAGTGGTCGATATCAATTTGGTCTTGGGTTGGAGTTTCGGGCATCATTGTGGCATGAGACAATCAAACCATGTCGTGGTGTTGTTGAGGTTCGATGGTGATGTTGATGGTGGCCTCCGGATGAAAGAAAAGCTCAGTCTAGCTCTGTTTATTGGGAAGTCGCGATTGATTTGTTGGAAGTCGCGTCGTGGGGCCCTTCTTAGCGAATCCCGAGGGCCTGGGTCAGCCAATCAGCATTCCATGAACAGGGATAAAACGAAACCAACCGGGTTATCGGGTCTCAACTTGAAGAGACAATTAAGCTTAAGGCGTTCTGGAAGGATCCGAGTGTAGAAGCTTAAAGATCATTGGATAATGCATGTAGCTGAGGAATGCTAGTGTGCTCTGAAGATTAGGAATAGGTAGAACACTAGGGTTGGCCCGGAGTTACCACCACGAAGAGTGATTGAAGACCTAGATATAACATTTTTAACCTGGTACTGTGTCAGACTGGGAAATGGATCATTGGCATACGAATTTGGTTGTGATTATTACCGAGCCTTTTGGCCTCCGAAGTTTATGTGTAGGTTTTTAGGTCTGACACAGTATTAGGTCAAATACGTCATGTAGAATACATATACATCCGATGTAGTAAACACCCGGCCGGCACTTCCTCTTTCTCTGCCCCATATATAAATTTAATTACTTATTCTTTGGAGTAGAAAAACTATATCCCCAGCCCCGAAAATTGCATAATGCTCTCAGTGGAGCTAGCCCCTACATAAACTTTCAATGCTTCGTAACGTTTCCTTTTCCACTCTTTTACTTCTTGAAACTTCCTTATCTTGTACATGTAGTATGTGCATATATCATGTGTACGCCCTTCTTCTTGAAAGAATATTAACTCGCAAAGCCGTACGTACGAAAAGGCCAATATTGGCTCTTCTAAATATACCTTGGACATATCCTTTGGGCTCCTCCTTTTCTATCATCGGAGGTTTCATGTATTTCCTTTTTTCTCTCCCCCTCTCAACAGAGTCCACGGTCTGTCCTTCTCTACAACCTCTGCAGCTGCACTTTAGATGCGTTCTCCCATAGCTGGCTTCAACTTCAGTTGAGAGGTTAAGCTACAGATTCAGAATCTTTTCATTTTCCTGCCGCTAGCAGATATGCTAGCTATAAAGGGATTGCCTCCAAGTACATGTACTGAATTTTGCAATTTGAGGTAAGACACACCCAATTAGTTGATACTGGGACAGTGGTTAGTATTCTTCCTTCGCTTTGCAGAATTATTATAACGGGGGCCTGCCAGCTTTATTTAGTTGGAATCCTTCCTTCAAACCAAAAATTGTTTATATCATATTCACACTAATATACTCGGCACGACACCCCCAGACTCTGACCCTATAGAACTTGCAGGCCCAGGGGCAGCCGTATGCCCTGAACGAAGGCCCTAGATTGTTTTCTAGTAACTGCCTTCTAGCTTACAGTCGAAAACATATTCGCGAGGCCGAGTTCCAACTAAATCACATGACCTGTGAGCGGGGCAAAAAACAAACAATCGGCGTTACGTATACGTGAGCTAGTTGGAACTCTGCCTCGCGAGTATTAAATACATGTATTAATCTGTTGGTTGGGTTAGGCCTATAGGTTGCTGGTTCACATGGAATATCCAATCAGAGAGCGATATAAGCTCTTACCCCCTTAACCCTTCACTTCGTTCAGGGCATATCTCTTTTATCGAGTAATTTATTGTTTTCAAATAGTTGGCTGGCTAGCTGACTGTGCACGTGTTTAGTTGAATCCTCGAGTCTAGTAGCTGTCTTATCAATAGGTGTACGTGATGCTGGTACTGTGGCTGCCAGGAGTGGTTTCGGCCTCTCTCATGATATCATAGGCGCAATTAGTGATTTAATGGGATCACTAACTGCCTAACAGTGATGGAGTAGGACTTCGGGGCGCCTGAAAGATATGTATAATCAGCATAATATATGTCTGGTTGATTAGTGTTATATTCGAATTCCCTCGGAGATATTTGATAATTTATGGGATGACTAGCTGTCAAAAATCTCGCTACGTATACAATTTTGGCATCCTCTTAAGCTTAAGATCTTGTGATTGCAAACATCGAGTATGATCATGAAAGCGACGGATCCGGTGATTGATTTGGGGGTGTGTCTTGGCTGTACTATAATTGATCTTCTTTAGGGGATTTAATTATTGCGATTTGCCCGTTTTTAGAATTCTATTACTAGATCTAGAGAACAACGATTAAGTCTAGTGTGTGTTGCTATGTTAATTAAGTACGTATACATATAGTAATTGAAATTGCGAAATATTAAGAGCCTCATGCAATGTAGCTTCCTGCAGCTACATGAACTATAAAGAATTCCATGCCTTATAGTGGTATACATGATGTTTTTTTCTTGCTATATTCCTCAATTGAATAATCTCGGCAAGTACAGGTTTATAAAATATATACCTAGACTACCGCAATTTCTTTCTTGTCACTTCTCTCAATTTAAATTTATTCAGCCGAACATAGAGTCAGCCTACCGAGATAACCGAGCAAGAGGCACCTGCCCACTTAGTCTTTATGCGCTGAAAACGAATTCCTGGTCTCATGTTAACAACTGCGGGAGTGTGGTTGTTCCACCAAAGAGTTATGTAAGGAAAAGCTAATCCGGCCATGCCGAAGAGGCTGCCGCAATTGATCGTACGATCTGATAAGCTGCTAGCACAAGATAAGGCCTAAGGGGGTTTGGCGAATGGCGTATGTACTTACGTCCTCCTTGACTTGAGTTTTTTTTCTCTTACCCGAGCAGTCTATTAATCATATCAGATGGTCATGCAGCTCGGGACACGGTTATCAGATTGCGCGTCAATGGGTCCTTAGTGCTGCAAATTTGTGCATCCCGGGTGAGGCTTGCAGCGGGGTTTGACAGTAAAGTACTCTAGACTTGGAGTTAGTAAATTAGTGATGTGTACATAGCAGGAACGGGCACTTAGATTACATGTACATGTAGTTTCTCTCTCTATCACTCTTAGAAGATATCGATCATCCATCACCAATACATCTATTGTTACGTTCACGTTGCTCTGAACAACACTTTAGGACGTTTATCGGGTAGAATTTGAGCAGCTAAATCTTGTTTGGGTCTTGGCTCACAACTACTCACTCGATTTTCTCAAGCCAGTCTCGGGACGGGCAAGACGAGACGAGACCGGCACTCTCATTTGACAAGAGAAGCCTTAGTATCGTCTTGAACGGTGTCGTGGAGAACACTATCGCTGCTTAATGAGGAAGCCACAATTCAACAGTCTCCATTCTCAGCGTTGCGTAATCAACCAAGATCAGCGGAGATCAAACCCTTTTCACACGTTACATCCCTGAAACGGTGAATCCCTGAAGCGAGCATCGTCATTTGAACAGATTTTCCTTCTTCCTTCGTCCATCAATATGGCCTGTTATATATTCTATGAATCTTCCCTTCATCTTATCTGATTTGGCACTTTTATATCCAACCCTGGCAACTCTTATCGTCTGGAAAGAGTCGGCATAGGCGACTGTATATTTGTCGACAACTGTTGAAGTATATCTCAAAAACTGTGCTTGTTCGAACAGTGTTGCAATGTTCGCCGCGCAGGGAAACAATGGTTCGGAGAATGGAGAGGAATTGCAAAACCTCGGAGAGACTACCCCACAAGAGAGCTCGGGGGGAGTTGTGATGCAGACGGGTGTAGCAAGGGCGGAGGCGGTTGCTCGCACATGGACGAAACAATCTCTTTGGTTTGCATATGCTGGGTATGAGGCTTACTATGCTATCTATTGTCGCTGCGAGGGTTTTCTAACATCGAGGTTATGTGTAGAATATTTCTTATGGCGATTTGTACATCGTTGGATATTCAGGTTACTAGTCTACTCGCATACAATGCCACTTCATCGTTTGCGTCACATTCACTATTGTCTACTGTTGGTGTTATCGGAAATGTTCTCAATGGTACGCCTTTCCTTACATGATTCTAGAAGGGCTATCTCACAGAAGTTTAGCTGTTATTCAACCACCAATGGCCAAAGTCGCGGATGTCTTTGGCCGTAAAGAAGCCTTTGGAATCTCAATGCTCTTGTATGTCTTGGGATACATCCAACAAGCCGCCTCTAAAAACATCGAGGCATATGCTAGCGCTCAGATTTTTTATGCTGCTGGTTCGACGGGACTGCGAATTTTGCAGCAAATATTTATTGCAGATACTTCGGATCTGTTGAATCGTGCATTAATCTCGTCATTGCCGGATACGCCATTCTTAGTTACTGTCTGGATTGGGCCAGAGATTGCTGGGAAACTGGGAACTCCCCTTTGGAGGTGGGGATACGGTATGTGGTGAGTATGCTTACTTACTCTCTTGATAATGTAATTTGGGGTGTTTGTTTACCGTTATTTAGGGCGATCATTACACCTATTCTTTCGTTGCCGCTTTTCATAGCTTTGTGGGTAAATCAGCGGAAGGCTGCAAAGGCTGGATTAATCCCACAATATCCCTGGAAACAAAAAGGGGCCCTTAATTATATCAAAAGTCTATGGACAGAACTAGACATACTCGGAGTCTTATTGTTAGTAGCAGGATTCAGTTTATTATTGGTGCCGTTGACCCTTGCGGCCTCGGCGACCGGAAGATGGAAAAATGGAAGTATTATTGCTGCTATTGGTAAACCTATATTCTCGTAATACTGGCAATAACTTGAAATTCATTTGCTGATAATAGGATGTATTAAATAGTTGTCGGTGGTGTTTGCTTGATCTTGTTCCCGATCTGGGAGATGTGGAAGAAGATGGCCCCAACACCACTTTTAACTTTAAGATTATTGAAGAATAGAACAGTGCTCTCGGGCTGTGCTCTAGGACTTTTCTATTTTAGTAAGTACAATTCATGTCATGTGGTGATATGAAAATAGTTTTTAACAACATCAGTGGCCTATTATCTATCGCTTCAGCCATACTTTTATTCGTACCTTCAGGTGGCTAGAAACACAGGAAGTGTTGCCGCTGGTCGTATAACTCTTGTCAGTAAAGCCTCCTTCCAATTATTGAAACTGGGTATTAACAATCCTACAGACCTTCTCCTTCGCGTCAACGGCCTCATCAATCGTTGTATCTCTTTTTATAAAGTACACCCGTCACTACAAGTACTTTATGATCGCAGGTATTTGCATTTATGTGCTCGGAATTGGTCTTATGCTACGCTACCGCAATGCCGACGCAAACACGGCACAAATTGTCATGACTCAAGTCGTCGTTGGCATTGGCGGCGGCATGCTGAACGTTCCTGCGCAACTTGGAGTTCAAGCCTCATCTCTCCATCAAGAAGTTGGCGCAGCTACTGCATTGTTCTTGACAATCGTGTCATTGGGTGGTGCTGTTGGCAGTGCAGTCAGTGGCGCGATCTGGACTTACAACATACAAAAGAAACTTGGCCTATATCTTCCGGAGGGTGCGAAGGGGGATGTAAAGAGCATATTTTCCTCAGCAGTCGTGGCACAAACCTATGCGATGGGCACTCCTGAGAGAGTTGCAATAGTCAGGGCGTATGATGAGACTATGAAGATTCTTTTGATTATTGCGGTTTGCGTCTGTATCCCTATGTTACCGCTGGGGCTATTGATGGAGAATCATAAACTCGATCAGATTGACCAAGGTGTTGCTGGGGTTGTTATTGGATCATCCTCGAAAACAACAGCCGCTAAAGCTAGTGTCAGAGAGGGAGAGGAGGTCGATGAAGAGGAGATCCGGGGAGGAAGTAAGGTTTAGAAATTATGGGGATAATGTTCTACTTTTCGCTTTTTGAAGTTGGTGTAGAAGTAATTGGGTGTATATAATGATGCTAATTTGTCCCATGTGGACATAAAGCGAGATATCGATCGTACTACCGTGTAGAAATTGTGTACATGTATGGCCGTTCTTATAATTATGCAAAAAAGGTACATGCAGCTAGATACATGGTACACCTATGGATTTGAGGAGCAAACGGGCACTGTGATTACACAAATCAGGTGATTGATCAAAATAGTGGCTAATGGAATTAAGTCCATATAACGTTTCATACATTGTCTCGTCCTAGGACTGCATCTGTACAACGAGGATCCGGAACGAGCGACATGACAAAAGTCTGGGAACAAAACTCAACATACATACATGTACTTATGCGCATATTTCATATCGTATAACCGAGGCTTAAGATTACTGAATTAATAGTTTGGCTTGTGTACGTGTATTCTCTAAGCATAGTTTGTGCACCCATAAAAGGTGGCTCTAGTTTGACAAAACCTTACACGTATGCACATGTATGTGCACTGACACACTATAACTCGCTCTCCACACCTGATCTCCCACCACTTCTACGTAGCTACTCAATCAGTATTGCCTTCACTAAAAAACTACGGAACCATCATCTTCCTTTAATCAGAATAAATACACAAACCCACCGAGTCCTAATAAATAGGATTGATCTTCTCAACAGTTCAGTGAGCAGTAAGTTAAAACTGTGCTGCATGCCATCACCCATAATCTTCCATCAACATATATTGAATAATTGCGTATACTAACACGGTGGTATTCAGCTTCTAAGAAGATGAGCAAGATCGTCCATAGAAAGACACCTGGACAATGCTTCGAGTCTCACGAAGCTCCCGAAAGGATGTCCAAGGCTATTCCAGAGCCAACCATCGACAATGCAGGAAGCTTTATCACTGTGGTCACTAAGGGCACCCCCGAGGGATCTATCGTTATTCATGAACGCTTCCTAAAGTCCACTATAGAGGGCCCCACTGGGGTACCTTGTATTCTCGCAACTCCTCCGGAATATCAATTACTTCAGTATGTTAAGCACAAAAGAGCCCCATATGATATGTGGGTTGAAGATGTTCCTCTCAGAAACCAGAAGATCATCCGCTGCCTTGTAGTTCCTGATTCGGACTGCACAGTTATCCCCATGAGCCTTGGGGAGAAAAGAGACAGACATTACGCTAGATATGGATATTATCTTCAACCGGCCAACGGCGGTGTACGCATGGTTCCGGGTCATCGTAAAAACGTTAAATTCGATCTCTTATTTTGGGATTTAGAACGGAATGACAAAGATGGAGTTCTTCATGGGGTTGGTGCCCGGAGGTTTCCTATTGATACTGCAGTCTTGCTTGACCCAGGCCCTCCCTATCAATCCTGTGCATCTGAGAATCCTGTCTGTTTGCTAGGAATGGATTTCTTGAAAAAGTACCCTTATCTTATGTTTGTACCCAGAGTCGACTACCGCGGAGAGGTGGACTTCACGCTCTCTGGGAACCCTATGTTTTACAGGTCGTACACAACCTTTACAGAACTCTCGAAGACGCTTATCGTCCACATTTGTGCTAAATATAATGAAGGGACTGGAAATATTGGATGTGGTGTCTTTTTCAAATCCGGGTCTATCTTCAACATCCTCTCTGGTGTTAGTAGGTATGATAATAACGGGAGAGAAAACAAGGAGAATTTATGGGAACGGGGTCTTTTAATAGGAATTATCAAAGCTCTGCATGTGGTTGCGTCATTCCCAGTTGGACATGGCTTCACGGATTTAGTTATCAGGACCGGAAGTCCACCTATAAACCAGCTTTTAAGTCAGAAAAATAACCACGGAAATGATGGTTACAAATTTGAACACAGCGGCGATAAAAGAGAATCCACTTTGCATACTTCAATCTATCCGGACCTGGTTCAGTACATCCGTACCAATTTTCTTCGGAGAGAATCCTCGATCAAAGTCCGATTTGAAGACTTTAGCACGAATGAGCACTATGATGCTATTGAGGCTGCAGGGATACTTGCGTCTGGAGGTGCCGAAATGGAGGAGTTCTATTTGGACAAATCTGCGCAAAAATACAATAGAGATTACATGAAATCTAAGCACATCAGTGCTCTAGGACAAGACCCAAACATTCTAAAGGAACTGTTTACCAGTTTCGGAATTGATGGCTATTTCAAAATTCCCTCCAAAGACGCATTAGGAATCATGAAAGCTGCAGATCAAAAGACTTATTTATCTTTGTCTAGGGAAGATGCTGTATTTAGGCTGGGCTATCCTGCTTGGGAAGGGGAGGTTGCAGCTGAACCGACTGGCTTTCTCGATGAGAAGAATTATGAATTTTATAAATTCTCCCCAGTTAGTGATTTAAAAACATTAAAGGGCATATTGGGGGAGGATTCTTTGAAAAAAATGATGATTTGCATCCAGAGTCCCGGCTGGACTACTGGCGAAATCATGGATATCATAAGTGGTTCGGCCAGAAAACTCAAGGTCCACGAATATCTTGCAATGCAGACAAAGGAATATCGTGATGAATATCTTAAGGAGCTGGAAAGCAAGGGGCTCGAGAAAGGCTGGCATTTTTGTAAGGATAAATCATGGAACGGGTACATGAGAAAGAACGCCAAGGATCGCACGTTGGAGGAATGGCTCCAGGTATCAAGTCGTGAAGAAAAGGTTACACCTAATAAGATATCGGGTAAGCATCATACTGGGAAAGATAAGGGTGATTCACTGTACCGCAACGAACTCTCAGCTAATAACAAAGGTAGAATCCCCGCAGTTCCGCACTCACAAGTATTCCCAAGTGCCCGAGTCAGGTGATACGGGCCCGAGTGAGACCTCTTACCATAGCAATTATACTTCTGAGAGTGAAGATATTTCATCGACTGGGGAGTTTAGCGAAACGAAACGATCCATAAAATCGACAAGTCTTAAGGCCAACGATAAATGGCTGCCACTTATGAAACCAGGAGCTGACACTAGAATGGAGCCCGCCACAAGCGAGAGCGACCTCACATATAAATACGAGAGTTCAGATGATGACCAGAGTCACTCATCTGAGATGTGGGAAGATTCTGGAACGTGTACCGACCCCATTGAGCTTATCGAATCCGATCTCAATGATCAGTATTCAACAACAGCAACCACGACAAAGATTGCCGGCGAGAGTGAGCATTTGAAGGGAAAACAAAAGACTTCCTATCAGCACTCTGCAAAGTTTCATCAGGAACCAGAAATCTTTCATGAAACATGGGAAACTTATCTATCGGGTAGCAAGAATAAGCTAGAAAGGAGCCCCGAGGAAGCGCCTCTTAGTTTCCGAAAACGTAAGCAACCCATTGATACCACAAAAGGCAGTTCCAGTACTAGTACATCGTGGATACCAGCTTCCAAAAATAATACAGCTCTATATAGAGCCAAGGTGAAGAGCAAAAGCTACCATTCTACATTAGGAGATTCGACAGATTCATTTGAAAGTGAAGAGGGACTTGACTCCAAAATCAGGGCAGCAGAGTCAAAATGGCCGCCATTTGAATGGGCTCTGGAGAATGGTTTCCAGGGGATGACTTCCTAATTCTGTGACTTATTGGACTACTTTATACGACAATAGTCAAAAAGGAGGATGAGAATTAGTGTCTCATTCTTGAGAGACTTGATTAAGGGTTCTGGTGCTAAGAACTTCCTTTTAGCTAATACGACTATTGATTTGTTAGCAACGCTTTGAAACCTATCTGGAAAAGAAAAAGATAAAGATACTCGTATCTCTAGATCTTGGAGAACTTAATTCTTTTCTTGCCTGCTTTGATTGTGTAGCTACCTAAGTTCTTAAGTAGCTAATACTATAATTTGACGGAAAAAAAGGCAAATTTTGTGCTTATATGTGATTTGGCGGTTTCAAATCTACACTTGTGGTGCAAAATCGCAAAGCATTCAAAGTTAATATTCATTGCCCTGTAGGTGAAGTCATAGGTTCTCAGAATTACACTCGTTTCAACACTGGTGAATGATCTGGAACGAACTAGGGCTATGACCAGGAGCCAGGAGTACACAGTACTATGTAGTTATTACTGACCAGTCTTATCCCTTATGTAAGCCTTGGCCAATGATGCGCGCACAAACCTAGGTAAATTTTTCAAAGATAATTATTTAGTAGTTTTAATGTTCATAGAGTCTAAATGTAGTCTGCCTGCCATTGGTCCCGGTAGACATAAGGGACGATGTGATGGAAAAAGTACATGTCAGAGGTTTTGGTGGAAGCAACTTCAGATATAAAGCCACGCTTCCAGATCTGTGCGATTCTAGTCGAAAATATATATAGCAGTAACGGGGGTTATGAGATGAAACGGAGACCGGGTGATTTGGACCCCGCATTGAAAAATTACTGTTTGGTCCCCCCTCATTATACATTTCCCAAACTCAGTTCTTCCGTTGAGCAGAAGGGCTTTTTGGGCGAGTGATAATCTGTGACTGTATCTGTCATGGTCACCCTACGGTATGGGGATTCCCTTAGATACAGTACCAAAAAAGGGGATGCAATAGGTACTGTACCAATACGGAATTGTGCAAAGCTTCCGAATTAAATCGTATCCTAACTATTATACCGTAGCAATACCGTAGCCTTGCAATATTCTGCTAGGTGTGGTACTGGATCCACCCGCTTTTCTGGTACTGTACAGTACCAAGAAGGCGAGTGCATTCAGTACCTATCTGGTAGAATATCGTGAGGTTGTGGTATGGTACGTATGGTACGTACATGTATATGTGAGATCTGAGGGTCACCTTTACCTTTTATAATCTTAAAAATCATAATAATCAATTTACTAAACATTTTCAAGTATCATAAACATCATAACAATCAACTCAATAAATGTTTTGTACTTTATGTAAATATATGTTCTTACTGGTAGCTCATGCAGTCTGGCAATCCTTCAGTCCGTCAAATGTTTGGACTGGCTTGGCCGTCCAAAAAATGCCAAGCCAGTCTGTCCAAAGACATGCTTGGCAGTGCCAGCATCGCCGTCGGACTGGTCAACTGGCAGTCAAAGTGGCTCAGTAGAGTAACACCTATTGTCCCTAAACGGCTAGTTTGGGACGTGCTCCTTTCAAGATTGGTAGCGATAAGGGTATCTATCTTAATTCAACGATAATTGATTCCGAGCAGGGGTCTTAAACCAACCCCACCTCCAACTCCACTACACGGTATACTTACGACGTGTACATAATTTACATATGTATGTACACAAAATGTTCGTAAAACGGATTCTCAAGTACAGCATCCTACTATCACTTGTCTCCCAAAGTGTGTGTCACAGTCCTATTAATGATGAGAAAATTGAAACCTCCCTATTAGAAGAGCTCCACAGAAAGTGGGGAGTTGATGTATGTACCGACCATCGAATTCATTTGTTCTCAATTTCAGATTTAAAATATTAAAATAAATAGTATGCTTTCTCTGGAATATCTACATTCGCACACCTTCCATATGTCAGGTGTCTCACAACACCTCACGAGAAGTTCGATATTGCCATCATTGGGGCGCCGTTCGATACGGCAGTGTCATACCGTCCGGGCGCGAGGTTCGGGCCAAAGGCTATCAGAGCTGCATCTGCCAGACAGGTGGGGTTCAGAAGCTTCAATGCAAGGGCTGGAATAAACCCGGTTGGTCTCCAAGATCAAGTTCATAAACGCAGTCTAATTAGGAGATAGTACATGTCGTGGCCCCGGATTCTTGATTGCGGTGATAGTATGAGACAGCTTCTTAATAACGGTTAAAATGATTTTACTGATTAAAACTCCAACAGTACCTATCACACCTTTCGACAACGAATTGGCCCTGCTCCAGATGACCGAAGCGTTCCGCGAGTTACTTGGCAGACCGAGTTTCTATTCAACTCAAAATGCCAATGGCAAAAAGCGGCCAACACTCATTACTTTGGGCGGTGATCACTCAATCGCACTCCCGGCATTAAGGGCACTGAAAGAAGTATACGGGCCTGTTGCAGTCCTACATTTTGATGCTCACCTTGATACTTGGCACCCTTCAAAGTACCCGTCAAACTGGCCCTCGGCGCAGTCGGCCTTCAACCATGGTTCCATGTTCCATCTCGCCTACCAAGAAGGCCTCCTCATAAACTCCACAGTCCACAAAAATATGCACGCTGGCCTCCGCACCCGCCTCAACGGCGACGGGTGGGATGACTACGAAGATGACTCCTCAATGGGATGGGAGCGAATCTCCACAGACGACATTGACGATATCGGCGCAAAAGGCATCATTGAGAAGATTGTGGCCACTCTTGGTACCGAGATTCCTGTATATTTGAGCATCGATATTGATGTTATTGATCCTGGGCTTGCGCCTGGAACTGGAACACCAGAGCCGGGTGGTTGGACTGTGAGAGAACTGGTGAGAATTTTGCGGGGTATAGAGGGGTTGAATTTAGTAGGTGTAGATATGGTGGAAGTTTCCCCAGCTTATGATCATGCGGAGAACACTGCGTTGGTGGCAGCACAAGTTGTCTTTGAGGTCATTAGTAGCTTGGTGAAAAGGGGGCTGGAGGTACCAGTACAGCGAGTGGTCAAAGATCAAGCCAAGGACGAACTATAGATTCCAAGGTAATTGATATTTGGATTCCATTCCCTATTTAGAATAAAAGTATAAAACTACCTGGGATCGGTGACATGATACATCTATATTCTCTGATCCAGTACAAATTTCTCATATTCAAATCAGACAATACAAATTGAAATACAGAACAATGTTAAAAGTCATAAATGATACCAAACAAAAATACAGCCTGATATCTGATGTGTGGATTTTAGCCCCATACTCCCAAGCTACATGCTTTCCTAGCCTGGCGAATGTGAACTCAATATATATTCATCTATAAATATCAAAGGAGCAAATAGGATAAGGGAGCTTACCGTTTAAAACTCTCACGTCAGACACAAGTTGAGTTTGGCGCTGGCCGCTTTGATGAGTCCATCTGTCGGGGGTTTTCTCAAGGCTAATAGAGTGATTAATCCTTTGTATCTGCAATTATACCTCGTTGAACCGTTTTCACAGGCGTTCTCCTTCCCAGTACCCTTCTCCAACATCCCAACAATGCAGTAGGCCTTATCCCCGGGGTTAAGTGTATAAGGTATCATGAAAGTATTGCAGGAGAATGGAGCATCCGATGTCTTAATCAGCATCTCATAGAAGACATCTTTTTCATTGACATCCTTGGCTTGGAATAACCACCGTTTCTTCTTCTCATCCCCCCTCGGCTCTGAGGTTTTTATAGTAGTCTCCTCAAATTCGAAGCACATGAGATTACACTCGAGCCCATCTTTTGTAGCCGTAACATGTTCTTTCGTCGGAGTTATATCCTCCATTACTCCCTGTGTTGTCATGAATGACTCTGGCGCCCAGCGGAAACCAGGGTCTTGGAGTTTTGGACCTATCAAGAAAGGAGTATTCCTAGGAAGTTCGGGAATCTTCATCAAAAAGGTTTTCATTCTCTGTTTGGCTTCCCAGAAAGACTTTATCGTCTGAGCCTGTCTTTTGGGTGTTCCAGCAAGTATATCTGAATCGGGGTATTTGATATTCGCCAATTCGTAGGAGCTGATTTCCTTGTCATGGATCAGGTCGATAACTGCAAGAGTCTCATCATCTACTCTACCAGCAGCTCTTGTGGCAAGCGCTCGAGAAATATCCCAAATGTTGCTGTAAGGGTTGGCACCCGGCATATGCATTTTCAGTTGGTACAAGTCGATAGCTAGGTGACCCTGGAGAGAAGTCATCTTTTCAGGAAGTATTTCAGAGGCTGGTACGAGTCCGTCGCGAAATTCGAAAACCATTTCTTTAGCATAGATTGCTTCCTGTAGAGTCCAAAGTCTCTGCATCCAAACTGACGTCAAAATCCGCAGCAGCTTTTTTTCGTGTGGTGCCTTCGTGGATAATCCACGTATTCCGGCGTCGATTACCAAAACCTTTGCTGCCCCTTTATATGTTTTCCCCATCAATCGGATTCCTTCTTCTCTCTTGTCATCGGGGATACAAATTGCATCCACCCAGAACGCACCGTCCCCCTCAGGTGCGATCTCACGAACCATTTTGTCAATTCTTTCGAGCTGACATGTCGGTAATCCGTCTTTCGTGGTGCCTCGAAGCCCATCCGACCATACATGAGAAACCGCAACGTAAATGTCTTTCGAATCTTTCGTGATTTTCCCAACTTTCAAGCGGTCTTCGTTCCCATTATTGGCTGCTGGATGGAGTTTCAAGACAGGAATACTCTCTGTTTTCAGATCAAGAGATTGAAGTACCTCCTTAAATGGAGGCTTTATATTCCCACAACAACAGTCCCGGGGGTAATGCTCAGCAGAAGTGTCCCCTCTGACCACGTTACCCTCGCAACGTAGTTCAGTGCAATTTTGATGGCCATTGAGTGAAGGTACCGGTTTGTGGTTCATGGCGTATACCACCGCAGTCATACTTTCAAGTTTACGAAGTACAAAAGGGCACCACCCTTTTGCAATCATCTCCTTTTTGTAGGCCGTACAGGTTTCGAGGACAAATCGTGACTTGAAAGGCTTCACACCAGTAGCTAGCTTCCCCGTTCTATATTGACTCTGCATGATCTCAATGCTCTCTGCTATCATTGCAATGACAGCAATGATACTCTCGAACTCCCCGGGCTTGGAGTCGGGGTGTATAAATACGTTGGTGTCGCCGTTCACAAGGTATCTCTTGAGGAACGTCCTCGTGTGGCGTGCAGCACCAGCAGCAGTCTTAAGTCGTATATCACGCTCCGGCTCCTTGAGACCCTTGATGGTATTAACCCAACCCGCAAAAATTTCGGGAAGGTTTTTGCTGCTTATGACGAGTCTTTTCGCGCCTTTTTTCTCGACCAATTCCTCGACTAGCTTGCTTGCGTCCATGGATGCTCCCAGCACGGCTTTCAACTGACCGAGGGTCATGCAGCACTGGTAGTCTGCCGCACGGGTCAGGACCGGGTCCTTTCCTTCATATAAGATGTCGAGTTCTTTGAGCCTGGCTTCATAGATTTCTTCGGGAAGTTGATGGGTTTTTTCGGGTCCTTCGGAATTGGAAGGTTTAGGGCCTAGCCATGAGGCGGATATGTAATTGATTTCGTGGGCACATTGCATCTTGGAATTAAGGTGTACGATTATCGATAGACCGGGACTTTAAAATTCTCAAAATTCAGTGAGTTTTCGTTCAATTGGATTTTGGGGAATTGTTACCAAATCAATGGTTTATGTGGTTTGCGTAGTGGTAAATGTAGAGAGAAGGACTAATACTGAAGTCCTTGCACTGCGATTTCGCTGACTTCTGTTAAACAGATACTGATTGTTGATATTTTTAAAGTATGCGGAGTTTTTTTCTGATGATGCTATGTCCTAGATACTCGCTTTTCCTCCCACTTTATATACCCGAATTTCAGTCAAGTTACTTACAATCTACCTGTTGATCAGTCATGCTACTATTCACGGGTGAACTGAACTTGTCGGAACCTTTGATCAGGAAAAGACAGGTCATGTTTCACGGAAGGCTTTTCAGCAAAACACTGCAGCCAGCTGAAGTTCATGTAGGTGAGTGTTCTAGGCCTGGGCTTTATTGTGATAACAACCAAAGACTCGAACATAATGAGCACAGCACGCCTACTCACGAGTAGTGCTGTGCGATCTGCTGTATGATCTACGCCACCTTAACCAACTAATTGGCAGCCCCTCTCACTCTCTAATACCAATGCGCGTTTTGAGTGAAAGTGAAGGATTGGAGAGAATGCAATCTACAGTACTCGTAGTATGGTGGGGGAAACCTTGACACAGAGTGCCGCGATATTGATTTTGCTTACTAACACATATAAATTACGTGCTAAGTGTGGTATAGGACTAGGAAAAGTACTTTTTTTAACCATACAAGCAGCATTATCCCAGCCAAAATATTTTTATAACTCAACAACGAAGAATGATTTTAAAAATCCGAGTAGATAGAATGATAGAGCAGGTGAAACTGAGTAGATCGATCTAATAAAATTAAAAATATGTGTGGTGGTTGATGAGCTACAAGCGGTCAAAGCTGAGATGTCCAAACTACTCCGTGACAAGGCTTCCCCCACCAAGGCTTCCCCACTTACCTCAGATACATGTAGGTATTATCCTATGTAGGGGAGCCTTTGACACATGTGATTTTGCTTACTAACACTACAACTTAAGTGCCAAGAGCTGTCTGAATCAAGAATGGTACTTTTCGAATTCACCATACAAGCGACATTGTCCCAACCGAAATATCTCTATAACTAAACAAGCAATGCTTTTTTAAAGTACGTAGGATGATAGAGCAAGTGAAATTGAGTCGATATATATAATAAAATTAAAAATATGTGTGAGCTATATAAGTGATCAAAGGTTGGGATGTCCAAACTACTCGGGCTCAAGGCTTCCCCCCCCATATTAGCAGCAACTCCGTGGTCAAATAGCCCGGGCCGAGCCGCTATCGGGGTAGTACTACTCTATGTAGGTATCCTCAGCTGAATATCACTCAATTCTACTTGCAGGAATATATGCATCCCTCAGCGCCTAAAACTTCATGGCTTATTTCCCCTCACGCTTCATTATGTATACTACATGCATGAGTACTCTAGTTTTGGTTTTTTTGAACAACATTGACCTGCTGATGCAGGAGGGGGTTTCGTACCCGCGTTCTATTAATTCTTATCCGCTCTTATCAACTTCCTTCTGTCAATTGATCAACCAAAGGCCCTCAGCGTTTACTTACTCCAGGTCAATTTCATTGGACGCTGAACCAGACACCCTTGCACCTTTCCTTTATCTTAATAGGGTTTCCGCGAATCGTCAGTACAAAGTAAGGAGGGCTCAATAGAACCCCCCCCCCCCTTTCTTTTCTCTCTTCCCCTGAGAAAGAGCTGGCATGATTCGGAGCGCTTTCTGTCCAAGAAATTACAAACTTCGATAGTTTTGAAAGAGAATTAACATCATGACCATCAAAGAAAATTCTTATGAAAATACGAAATTCTGATATCATGCTGCGATACTAACTATACATCAAATGGTAGGAGCCAATAATACAAGAATACAAAAGGATCTACCAGAACAAAGGGAACAATAGAATACTACATGTAGTACCCCGAAAAACAAGAGACATATGCAACCGCGAACAAATATACCCAGGGTATACATCTGATATCCTAGACGCCGTTAAAGAACACATTCATCCACCTCCCCAAAGCTCATATACAAGAAAAATAAAAATCGAGAAAAATATTAAAGGACGCACAAAGGGTTCATTAACAACTCCATTGATAAAATGCCTTGGCTGAGAAAAACCGAAAGAAAAAATCACACCCAGGATATAAAAGTTTCTCATTGCATCATAACTGTGTATGAGCTGCCTCAAGAGTCTATCTCGTCCACTACTGAAGCAAACGAACGAAATAAAATAAACAGGTATTAGCGACTGAATTATCGATACTTTTGAGCTTCTATTCGCAATTTGTTTTTCGTGTTCCGACCTATGCCGGTTGTAATTTCTTGGCCAATGGGTTTGTCGACATTAAAGCTGCTGCAAGATCATTGGGTAGAATAGGCTTGGCGATATGGCTAACCATCCCAGCGGCATGGCACTTTTCTCTGTCACTGGCAGTTGCATTTGCTGTGAGCGCAATGACAACAGGTCGTTCATCATCCGCATATCTTCTTCGAAGTTCTAAACTAGTTTCGATTCCATCCGCTCGTGGCATCTGGATGTCCATCAGAATAACCTGTGAATAGAAGTTTATTGGTCAGTCTAGTGTAAATAATCCAATACTAAATTGGGGATGACATACATCGAACATTGCCCCTTCTTCAGCAGCGACTTCGCACATCTCTAGAACTTCAATCCCATCCTTTGCATGTTTTGCTGAATAACCCATTCTTTTCAGGTGTTGCAGGGCAACCCTCGTATTTACTGGGTTGTCCTCGGCTAACAGGATATTCAGTGGGTGTCGTCTGGCAAGAGATCGTAGTAATTCGGATTCCTGGGTTCTTGTAGGGATGCTTGCTCGTTTCCTATTTGGATCCAGAGCATCGTGGATAGCCTGAACATATCGAGTCCTTGGTGCTGGCCTGACAAATGTCAATACGATATTGTAACCCGCCGCCGCAGCGGGCAGGTTGACCCCAAATCTTGACATCATGATAACCTTGATACCCTTATCAAATTTGTTGATTTGATCGACTACTAGACAGGTTTTGTCTACGGATAGATCAATAAGAGCGAATTCGTAATAGCCAACGCCAGCATCACGGATAGACTTGAGGGTCTTTTCAGCTGTATTGGCCCGAGCGACTGTCAATCCTTCCACCTCAAGCTCATCTGCAAGAATATTGGACGAGAGAACATGTTTGTCCGCAATTATCGCTTTCTTTCCGAGAAGTCTTTTATCAGGTCCCCATGCTTTCCTTTCTGTGGCATCTCCGATAATAGTCAAGTGAAAGGTTGAACCCCTCCCCTCTTGACTCTCAAACCTGTACCAATTTAATCATATCAGCCTAAACCCTAAAGACCCGCTAAGGAAAGAAGATAAAATGCTTACCAAATATCACCACCCATCATCTCAGCCAATTTCTTCGAGATAGCCAAACCTAGCCCAGTGCCCCCATAAGTTCGACGTGTAGACGTATCCACTTGTGAAAATGCTCGAAAAAGACGGTCGAATGCACTCTCGGGAATTCCGATCCCGGTATCCTCCACCGAAACCCGAAACTTCCACTTCTCACTATCTGGCAACCATTCGGCCTCCGTAGTTACCAGGATATGCCCTTCTTGCGTGAACTTTACTGCGTTTCCGATTAAATTAATGACGCATTGTCGGAAACGAGTAAGGTCCCCGTGAACCATGTCGATGTTTGTGCACTTATTTCTGAATGCTAACTCCAAATCCTTTGTTGCAGCCGGTTCAGCAACGAGTTGCAATGCACTTTCGATGCAGTCTCGTAGAGAAAACGGCGCGACTTGTAGGTCTATCGCCCCGTGCTCGATCTTCGAGAAGTCCAAGATTCCATCGATGATCTGGAGTGTTAAAACAGCAGAATTACGAATCGTTTCTACATACTCTCGCTGTTGCTCCGATAATGGCGTGTCCAGTAAAAATATGGAGCAAGATAGAAGTGCGTTAAATGGAGTTCCTAAGAAAATCAATAGTTGCTCTTAGCGTGTTTTGTAGAATGGGGAGCCTACGGATTTCATGCGACATATTTGCCAAGAAACTTGACTTCTCAGCTGTAGCTTCCTCTGCCGCCTTCTTTGCCAACTCCATCTGTCTGTAAAGTCGTGCCTTATCAATTGTAACGGCAGCTTGGGTGCAAAGAAGGTTTAACAACTCTTGTCTCTGTCTTGTAAACGCATGATTTACGAGCTTATTCTCGAGATAAAGTACTCCCATTGTCTTAAGTTGGTTTTGAATTGGCATGCAAAGAACACTTTTGGCCGTTTTGGAGGTGAAATAACTGTCTCTTCCATAAACCGAATCGAATTTTGGATCATCGCCATCCTTTAGGATTTGTTCTCCTAAGCTGGCAACGATATTGACAATGGATATAGGAACTAAATCTGGCCTCATCTCCAATGGCTCGTGTTCTAATATCGACACTTGGTCGAGTAACCCAACAGTCTCTATGTGGAGGTTCCCATCCTCCTTCAGGATCAAAACTCCATAATCTGCCCCGGCGGTTTGGAGCACACTATTCATGAGTTTAACTATAACCTCCTCGAGATGTATACCTTCAGAGATCACCAAACTAGCTTTAAGGACAGTCCGAAAGTCCAGTTCTGAACCCAAAGACGAAGGATCGTTATTTCTATTTGAAGATGCATGAGAGGCCGCATCGTCCTCGTGCGGGTCTGGGGCAAAGAAATCTTTTGATGATGAAAGCGAGGGCGATTGGTGGCTCATTATATTCTGATCGAATCCATAGTCATGTGCATAGATACGCGAAGATCTTGGGCTAGGCCTTGGAGAGTTAATTGAATTATTCGCCATTATCGCTGACATGGTGTCGCTCTCTATCCTGGGCATAGATGGCCGATTATCTAAGAGAGATTTCGATTTGAAATCAGTAGAGGTTTCAGCAATCCCTTCATAAGACAAGATGTCTAGAGAAACATACCTGGGCCCTTAAATACCAAATCTTCTGCAAATTTTTTCCTCAGCTCCATGGCTTTATTTGTCGCGCCCCAAGAAGTATATGCCTTGACAGCCTCTCTTAAATACGGCGCAGCCCTTCTTCTCGAGATGGGCTTTAGCCACGTTCCGCAGCGTTCGCTCGCTAAAGCAGCATCATGAATAAACCCACTTTGATTGGCAAGGGAGATGGCATGGTCGTATTTGTCTAAAATCTCAAGCTGTTTCCCAGGATCGATGCACCTCATCATTTCTGCCTCTAGCAAAATGCTCTTATGCAACCAAGTTCCTTTTGCGGTCAAGCTCCAGATTTGAATATTTTTGCAGTTTCTTTCTAGTAGGGCCTTCTCTTCGTCTGATATTCTCTCATAGCGATCCATATAAGCTATCGAAGAATAAAATTCTGTGAGGGCTGAAAAGAATGCACCCATTATTGCGTCCCTTATCGGCTCGCAGCAGTGTGTTGCCAAATCCGCCGCGATATCGTAGTGTCCGTATATGGTGGCTATAATCAGACGGTACATGTGGTATAGATATATATGGCTTATACTCTCGCTGTTCATGATTTTCATGAGATCTTTACTATCGCCCAGCTCCTCTCCTTCGAAACAGATTGGATCTGGGTTCCCTAAACCTCTAAGATTGAGTAAGAACTGCAATGGCAAGCTTAACCACCACATTCCGGTCTGTTGTTTAAATCTTCGAATAGCGGGTTTCGTAGTATTCATCTTGGTGTGTACAGCTGCTAGATTCTCACCACCAAACATCCCAAAGGATGGGATTTCCGCCCTATCACAATGATTAGCCCCTCTAAGAGTACCCGTCCAACGAGGGAGAAAACTCACAACGCAAAAACTGTGAAGTCGACATTAAACATAGCTATTCCTGTGCTCACGGCTTGCTGCAAGCATCTAAGAACTTCACTCATACTTTGGTGGAAGATTCCAATATGCCCTGCATATGTTTCATAAATCGCTGGAGCAAGTGCACAAACACCAGGCTCTCTATCGACAAGGGCAATAGACAGTCTACCGAAGGCATGTCCTCTTAAAGATGCTTCATGAGTACCCTCAGTAGATAGAATGATCCCCGTCATCAGCATGGGGTAGGCTCCGGCAGTCGATATACCGAACTCAAGACTGATAGCCACACTAGTGAAACACACCGCCGGGAGTAGTGCAGGACGACTCATGTAAACAGGTAATAGTAGCGTTGAAATAAGCTCTTGGAGAAGAATAAGGTTCTCGTCCTTCAGGGGATGGAGGTTTTCAATGGCCTTGATTTGAGCTATATCCATGAGAATCCTAGGTTTCAGCATGGTAGCATGGATCTTAGCTTCCTCGTCGTCCAGCGGTACCTCCCAGTTAAGTACACTTAATCCCAGGAGTCCTGTCTCGATCGATTCATTTAGCCTCCCTTGAACAAGCAGACAGTTCATCTTGTGCACTAGACATCGAATTTTCTCCCGAGGTTTGGCACATCGTGGTAAAATTTTGTCCGCGAGATTGATTGAATCCTCATATCTGTTCTGTGCAAAGTACCCTTCCATCAAAGACAAGTTGACTTCAAGTGCCAGCTCATCCATGTCGGCGGTTGTCCGTGCCTGCGCAGTTGGCCCTTGTGACAACTCTAGATTGATACTAAATCGTTTCTTCAGCTTCATCCCCCCTTCGGTCATTTCATCCTCGGCTTTCTCATAGTCGTCCAGCAGACTCTTTGCCACCAAGAAGTAAGACAAAGCTGCGTCAAAAGCAGTAGCAGCGATTGCTTTCTTTCCAGCTCTTAGGTTAAGTTCCATGAGCGTCCGCCGTTCCGTCCTTTCCAATGGAGACAACCAATGGTTCAGCTGATTTACGATTTCGTACAGCATGCCTTCCAAATCTTCATCCGGAACCTTTTCAAGCAGTCTTGTACCAATCATTCTGTGAACCCCGCGCCTCTCCCCTTCTGGAATCAACGAATATGCCGCTTGTTGAACTCTGTCGTGTAAAAACCTATATGTGACCTCATCGTCTTGCTCCGAAGGTGATGGTGAAAACCTAGGAGGGAAGTAGGACTGTTCATCCATTACATACGGGGTGCAAATTGGGCCACCATTATCTGTTCCATCCCCGTCCTGTTGTCGACCTAAGGCTAAAGGAATCTTATAGTTACCGCTTGTAGGTAGTAATAACCCAGCATCCAGTGCACCCCAAAGGTCCTGTGCAGTTTCCTCCGGCTTTTTCCCAGCAGCAACTGCCAATGAATGTAATGAGACCTTATCCGTACCCATGCATGCTGCCAAAACCATCGCCGTCCTGGTTGTATCACTCAGCTTGAGCATTTGTTTAACCAGCAAGTCCACTACAGTAGGCGGCAAATCTTCCGCCTCGATACTAGTCAAGTTGAATCTCCATAGTCCACCACCTTTACCGCCAAAATCGAACGTGATATATCCACCTCTATGTAAGCTTTTCAGCAGCTGCATTACAAAGAATGCATTGCCATGAGTCTTGGCATACACCAGCTCGACAAGAGTTTGCATTTCTGGGTCGTTCTTTACTTTGTCAGAGTCAGGGTCTCGGTGTAGTGTGTCCCCAATGATCTTTCTGATCGAATCCTGAGTGAGAGGCCCTAGTTCAATATCCACCACCTCCACGCCGGCGTTTTCTTGGAGGTAATCCAGCATCGGGGGTAGAGGGTGATTTTCGTCGATTTCATTATCTCTGTAAGTACCGATAAGTAGTAAACCTATTCCAATAACGGAAAATCTCACAAGCCCTCCGGTCAGCACATCACATCCCATAAGCTAAACGTATTTGATATGGTGTCAAACCCCAGGCCGCAGGTTTCCTCCTTTGTTTAGCGCTCCATTTGCCTTTTGATCCTGAATTTGTGCTGTAGACTCCGCCTCTCCATTCCCGCATCCGTCTATTCGCCTCGTCCGCTATCCCCACTATTAGACTCAGCTCGCTCTGAGAGCACCATTGCAGATCGTCTAAAAATAGCACCAGTCCCTTCCTCCCAAATACTGCTAAAAACCGACCGATAACTTCCCTAAATCGATTCTCTCTTTCTGTTGGGCCCAGAGTCGCCAATGGTTCAAATTTGTAATCCGCGCCCAATAATAACTTCAACTCCGGGATAACGTCAACTAAAGCAGCAGCATCACCATCTAAAGCTTTGATGGTATCTGTTCGCCATCTGGAAAGACTTTGTGGTGGTTCTGAGAGGACTTGTCGCACAAGGTCTTGTAGCGCTTGGACTAATGTGAAGAAGCTGAATCCCCGTTTATACTGGTCGAACTTTCCTGCGGTAAAATATCCCCTGTTTTCTACCACTGGTCGTTGTATCTCGTTGACTAGTCGTGATTTTCCAACTCCGGAACCCCCTCTGACCACCACCATAGTACAACCTTGAACAGAACACCTGTCGTATGCCGCCTTAAGTTTTTCCACCGCATCTTCTCTCCCGTAAAGCTTCTCAGTAATGACAAACTGGCTTGTTGTATCTAATTCTCCAACCCTCATTCCCTCTAGACTCCGTCCTTCACTCATCCGCCTGATCAACGTATCAATATCCGCCTTCAGTCCTGATGCGATTTGATACCTATCCTCCGCATTCTTTTGCAATAGCTTCATTATTACAGCTGAAACAGCTAATGGAATTGAAGCATTCATCTCGGTTGGTGGTACTGGCGGTTGTGCGATATGCTGATGTATCAACTCCAATGGGTCCGTGCTCCGGAATGGTAGAAATCCCACTACAAGCTCATAAAGTGATACTCCAAGTGAATAGAAGTCTGCGCGGTAATCAATAGATCTGTTCATTCTTCCTGTACACTCAGGCGCAATATATTGTAACGGGGCTGGATTTTGTCCCCTCAGCATCGATCCATCCGTTCCTCTTCCTGGATCTTCACGTTCTAGTCTAGATGCTAGATGCCACCCACCAAGCTTTCCCATGATTGAGTTTGCCGCAGAATGTTTCGGCATATTACCAGTCGGGTTTTTGACAACGAGAATAGAAAATGTATTCACATTGTTGTGAGTGATTCCAGCTTTGTGGGCCACTGAGAGAACATGCACAACACTCGAGAATACCGAGAGAATCTTGATCAAATCCGATTGGGTTCGGGGTTTTGCAACTGGGCGTGAAGGACTTCTTAGCCCTTCGAGATTGTTGATTCCGAGGGTTAAGGGCTGAACGTCGGGCAGAAACATTTCTCTTACTGTCATGTGAGTGCATTCGTCGCAATATATTAGGGCCATGCCACCATCGGGAAGGTATTCCCAAGCAAATGGTCGAACGATATAAGGAAGTGATGTGAGGTTATGGGCCACGGAGGATGCATTTGAAGGGAAAGGTGCTGGGCCGCCTTGTACACCTGAGTTGGTTCCGTTCGTTCCTGTTGAAGAAGATTGGGAATGTATAGATGAGCGTGAGGAGCTGGATGGACCATGAGAAAGAAGTTTCCACTCATGTCGTAGCCGAGCTAGAGTATCCAGGTGATTTAAGGCGCAGAGTTTTAATACCACAGGCTTGCCATTTGTTGAAGACCTTCCCCTGTAAACTTGTATGTGGTTCTATATATTAACAGGCTTTAGTCAGCCCTCTTGGTGGGAGTATATTTGTGAATTGCCTCACCGATTTCTCCTTTGACCAATCTTCTACTATAGGATATGGGGAACACATACAATAACGTAGAGTACCCTCAGATCTTCGTATCCTGGAACTTTGGGTGGTATAGAAGTCCCCACCGCTTCCATTTCTTGGTCTCCAATATCCCCTACGATCGTGTCTTGATAACCCCCTATTGTTGCCGTGCCAGAAGCGCTACTCCTCCCACTCTCGATCTGTTCAACGCCCTCCATTGCCTGCCCAGCCACAATCAATCCAAATGGTGCCGGAGTGGCAGCATTACTCACATTTCCCGTCAACATTTGAGCCACCAGTAGTGTGGCAGCACTTGCACCTGCTGGCATACCTAATCCTGATCCAGAATTCTGAGACCCCGGGGAAGCCACCATGGGAGAGCTTTCTGGTGCTGCTGCTGCTGCTGCTACTGCTGCTGATTGTTGCGACATTGTAAGAACTCGAGAAATGCGGGGTGAGGCTGAGGGTATTGCTTGCGCTTCTGAATTGGAAAAGAGAGAGCTCCCATGGCGTGACCCATGGGAAGAGGACGAACCGGTTGACATGAATTTTGCACCACGGTGGCGTCGAGGCGTCTTTTGGAGTTGCGCGGCGGCGAGAGCGCTGGCTTGCAGGAATAAGAGGGGTACTCTCCCGCCTGTAGGTGCTACCTATTAATCCTTGAATATGAGCCGTTCAAGGGTAAATGTTTTTATTTTGTGAATTTTGAGTGGATTGCTATCCAGACATTCTTTTACAAATCAGAAAAGTGGTTCTCCAAACCCTTCCTCGTTCAGAGTCCTTCTATCCGTTGCGTTCTTATCACTTCTGACGATAATTCTTGTTTTTAAGGAGATTTCGGCCGTGATTCACTTTGTAGTGCACCTGGGAAATATTGCACGTGATCCGATCTATATTTGCGGCGACGCTGAAGAAATTGGAGGCTTGTCTGAAAGCTGTATGTGTAGACCCTGTAGCAGTTGAGTTTGAGTATCGTTCACCATTTGTACGGAAAACATAGTGGTAACTGATAAGAACACACCCTTTTTTGGCTTCGGATATCTCTTATGAACTTGTAGCGGGAGTGACAGAGGTAAAAGATAACTGTAGTGAAGACTCGGCGAGGATTTGCAGCTGTGATATCGACGATCACTGAGCCTAAAAATTGATATGTGGCGATAACACTTTCGGGGTGCTGCTCTGTGGGGTAACGGTGGCTGGAGTTTCCTCCCTCTTTTCCTCTTTTTTTTTTTTGGCTGGGGAAGGATACGAGAGGTATGGTAGGAGAGAGGAGAGAACAACAGCAGTAGGAGAACAAAAGTAAGTCGGACTTTCCCGTGAGGAATGAGGCAGCTCAATACCAGCTACCTACTCTCTGATTGATCGATGGCCGGTCGAGTTGAGCGACCGTCTTTCTGTGTATGTCTGTCCGTCTGATACACCGGATCGGGGTGGGGAAGGGGTGACAAAGGAGAGTGGAGAAGAATCCACCAACGCGTGGGCCTCGAACACGCGGGCTTCAACAGGTACCACTACAGTACAAGGGCCACCGGATCGAGAGTCCTGGCTGGCTGAATCTTGCCTTTTCCTGTTCTTACGATGATGGGTATGTATTCAAGACTGAACAAGTCTGTGCTTCGGCATGTTGAATCCTGCGATCTACAGATTCTGAGAGGGGTGAACAGACCTCAGGGTCGAATGCCAGGGACTGCGGACGGAACGTGAGGCTCGATATCAACCCCACCTAGCTCCACTCGCGAACACATCTTGTCCTCAACCCTTGAACAGAATTGCGAAACCCTTTGTTAGGTACATTCAGTACGTTCCGGCGGTTTCTACGAGGTTCGTGGCCGCACAGCTGGAGGGCAACATTTGGCAAAGTTCGTTTGGTACACCGAAAGACAGCCAGCACGGGAATAATAACCTGCTCATCAACGAACGATCGAGTTTTTCTCCACAGATCGGATCTCGAATGTTTAAGCAACCCTGCCTTCCTAACCGGAAGAACAGAGGCACTCTTACTCTTGCCCCCTTCTAAACGAGTCACAAATCCGACCCAAGTCAGTACCTAGAGTATCGGGAACTCTTATATTAAAAGTCATCCATCTTTCTTCCCCAAAGATTTATGAACCTCTCCCGCTCAGCTCTAAAGACATAAGACGATTGGCCCATCCCAGGACTGTAACTAGGTGCATACAGTTTCTTGCAAACATCTGATTAGAGATTTTCTGGAACTATTGGCCGCAGTGTTGTGTCCGTCCTTCCTCCCCCCACACAGTCGAGGTCCCCTCTTTCTTACTCTATGATCATGCTAGAGTCCAAATGTTTAAAACGCGCGATGACGTCATAAATAAGGTGCCCCTTACCCGTTTGTGGCTGAAGACAGATTGCCGTGTCCCCCCGCCCCGGGGCCTGAACCACTCGAGTCTCACCTCAAGCGAACACTGCATGCGTGCAACCCAAGACCTGGATGAAAAGAGATTGCCGCGAAATTTAAAACCCTGAAGCGAAAGAAAAAGAAAAACAAATAACTATCTAGGTAGGTACTCGACCTTCCTCCTACATAGACTTTGGCTATCAGCAAATAAGATCTACGCATGGTGTCCCAATCAGAACCAAGAAATGTGTAATGTTCCTACTACCTGTATGCCGAGATCGATGGATTCATAGACTTGCACGTGTGCCCCGCGCCTCCCCCGAACTTTCGGACCGTGACCACCCGCCCTTAAAAAATCGCATTCCAGGGTATGTATGGTACTTTACCTATCTAGTTCTGTCCCGCAAATTTTGACACCAGTAACTACATGTAGCATATTCTAACCTCTACTCCACCTAAAGTACCTTGTATGTACTCCGAATCCCAAACCGCGGTATTCTTTAACAGATTACTACTCACAACATTCAATACTGGCCTAATTGTGGCTTGATAGGGACACATCTTCCGATAAATAACATATTGTAAGTCTGTAACTGCACCTTTAGCCGATCCAATAGCGGCAGGAGATAGATTAATGTACCTGAAGAAAATACATGTAACTGACCCTGCCTCGATCACATACCCAGTGATTGGGTTCGGGAAAGCTTTTTTTTTTTTCATTCATCGGGGAAACTAACATCCAAGGTCCTACCTGATTTCCATGGGAATCTGAGATCGGAAAGTTCCTGTGAGTGATGGTTAATTTGAGGGTTGTGTGATTTCTAAGCAAGTACTGTAGGAACTCTAGTGGCCTGTAGGCCAGGTAGAGTACTCCCATTGCCATCGGGTCCGTTATCTCATACATGTTTTCTTCTTTCATGTAGTGTGACTTGCCATCGACATGCTTACATTTGCACATGAGCGATCTGTTGTTTGAACCCTTACATGTCAAGAGCGAGGGTATGTACTGATCTAGTGTAGTACTCCAGTTAGCTTCTAAAAAGAATGGGAAAAAGAAATACACATGCACCGATACCTAGATCGGCACCCGGGCACGTAAAGAATTTTTTTTCTCAGCGCGAACTTATCACATATGGCATTTGCCAAACGAATGGTCATATTTCTTGAGTATTAAGTATTTTATAAATAAGTTCATAGCGTACTCTATGTAGATTCGGCATGTACTAAAGTACCACATGTATCTAGCGTATTCTGCTTTGACATTCACGTGTAACATAGCAACGGAGACGTTTCCCAGCGAATCGGCTGCCAGTCTTTCATTGTTGGTTAGCTTTGGGTTAGCTTTGGGGTAAGTGTACAGGGATCATGTAAGTTATTAACTCAGTTATGTCAGGTCATGTAGGATCACTCGATAGGTAGGGGATACGATTTCGCTTTGTTTTCTTTACAGGTTCTTCAGGGGCAGCTGAGACTACATAAACTTAACTCAAGATGGGCCATAGTTCTAAAACCAACTATTTCTTCGTCAATCCCACGTTCCACTCATTCGTAGCGCAGACTACCATAGGTACATGTACTTATAATTAGAGGAGAGATGCCAGGCCCGGAAGATCTTCTAAATGGCGAGTTGCTTTCCCTCGGCCTCCAGGAAGGAATAAACAAGAACTACATCGGATCCGGATAGATCTATAGAGCTCGTTAATGGTGTGTCTAGTAAGTAGCTGACGGGGCTGACATCCACTGAAGCGCCCATAACTTCAAGTGTATTATCTAGTGGAATGTTGCTCAAGTATATAGGTAGATTACTTAGGCACTTCTTCCTCTTAGATACATGTATAAAGCTTCGGACGATATACCTAACACCGACGCGCCGATAGCCGTTCATCAAGGCGTATGTCAAATCCAAGCTAGGGTTGTTCCACACGGCAGGCGAATTCTGCACCTCTATACAACGAATAACTGGCTTAGCACATCTGCTTTATTCAGAATCGAAATTTCTGCGATTTTGACCAGAAAGAATATTTCTGAAGAATGCTTGTAGAGCACATACGTGCATAGGTATATAGTAGAGTGGAGCAGAGTATTTTCCTACATAAATTCATGTCTAATCTGAAGTGTACTCTATAAGTACTGTGTTGCATGCATCTAGTGTATCCTGTGTTGTTGATATTTGCGCGTAAGTACATGTATGTAGACTAATAGCGCAACAAGCTGCACGGCGCAGGACTATAGTATGTATGCAACGGGTATCCCGAAAGTTACCGGGTTACCAGCCGATTTTGAATCGGTACGGATCTGATCAGCTGAGAGGCCTAGCTAGGATCTCGGCTTTTGTTGCTTAAATTAACATGAGCCCGACGCCGGAGATCCATAACCAGGTACTAACCTAGGAATTGTAAGGGAGCTCGTATACATTCACTATACTAGCTACATATAGCTTTACATGTATTTATGTAGGTAGGGTTAAGGAGGAGTTTCAAACAACTTGGCAGTTTCGCATCTACATGCATGTTAATGTAAAGCTGGTATTTACCGTTTCTGACCGATCGCGGACAGGTTTCGCTATCATCGAAAACATATGCCGAGCCGAATCCAGTAGTAAGCATGAGTTGATGTCCCCAATGCTATCCTGGGATCTTGGTCCTTGGCCGGCTGCAGGGTCTGTTCGTGTTCTGGCAATGGTGAGACACGTGTGGTCGATCCATATATAAAGTGGTCCTAGGGTAGTCCTAAGGTTACGTATTACCTTCGCAACGAAATAGAGTAAAAGTTCGCTGTGTAGGCTCAAGTATACGTATACATATGCGGTTATTCTCCATCGTAATTAATTGCTTCAGCCCAATATATTGTCGGGTTACAAAATTAACCGATCACTCACGACAACGTCGAACCCAACTTCAGGTGAGAATAACCCAACAACTAGGAGAGCAACTAATTGAGTAACCTTGGCTCTCATAAATGGAGTTAGATGCTTGCCAGGAATAGGTTTATCTTTTTGACCTTGAAGGTCTCGATGTGAGATTTCTTCCAGGACGGTTTTGGTTGCTATGAGTCTCACGAGGGCGCCAGTGATCGGTTAATTTTGTAACCCTACAATAGGTATATCAATTCTCAAAGAGTGGGAATTAACAAAGGTCATGATAGATTGTTGAGTTCTTAATTAAGTAGTTCGGTGTGCTTCAGAGAGAGGCGCCTAGTCGGAACATGCAATTATATGCGAGCTGTACTTTGTGACATAGTACTCCGTCCTAGCCAACTTCGCCGGCCGCGGGTGCCCTCGAGCTCTAGGATCTAGCGGATACTCCAAGACTAGGGTACTGCTCTCTAGATCTGAGATTTTATAGTGGCCAGTACGTTATATATTAGCTCATAGCACAGCTACAGTAAGTACTGTCTAAAGGAGGTACTTAGTCCGTTTTAAGCGTCTGATCAACTTCTAGTATTGCGCTACATATATATACAATCTATTTTAAATTTTTCAGACCTGCATAATGTATGTATCGACTACATGTACCAATGCGTAACTAAGACTTTTACCTACAATATAATAGACCCAATTAACTAGGAATATAACTCATGATTGCATGTACACAAGATATAATTTACATCTTTCGTTGGATCACAGATTAGCACTCGGTATTATTTCTACCTACTTAACTTTGGGTATCCCAACAGTCGGAACAGCTCATACCAGGAGATATAAACAACGAGAGTAAGTGGATTTATTTATATCTAACCTATCATATTTCTTGCATATACTATGGGTACTGGTAACAAAGATATAATATATTCGAGTGATAGTTCATGACTAAGACTAGATACATTCATATTCAGTCCAATCAAAAGTGGTAATGATATTGAGATGCAAGTTATTATTAATGTGGATTTTGGGTGCCCTAAGCTCAACTAACCTGAATATTTTGTGAGACAGCGAACGTACATAAGTGATCACGTGAGGGTTCCTGCTGCAGAAACCATGTGCGCCACACGTGCACACGTGGAAATGTGGTTGAACAATGGATTGCAGGGATGGGCTGAAACTCTCTACCAGAATTACCACATATACATGTGGATAGCGGTAATTGGGGTCAGATTTGAGGTTGCCGTGATAGGATAGAAGAACCTCTGTACGCGTAATATCTATAAACAGAATGATCTATACGTGCACAGAGGAAGAGATAGAGAATAGAAGCTATAATACCACATGTATCATAAACAATCAAGCACAAATCGCTTTATAAGTAAATCATCAATTATCACTCGTGGTCTCTATCATTATTAATACATGTAGGCAGCCAGGTACAAGTAGACTGGCTACATATAGCTACAGGAAAGAAAGAAAATAATCTAAACATAACTTGTTTTAATAAAATCCCCTCATTACGTATATCGCTTTTTGGTGATAGCACGGAGTATGTTAAGTCTGGGGTTAATATGGATGATCAAATCTGTCCACTGCTTATCCGACCTTTCCTCCAATCTTATCACCCCGCCGACCTTTGTTTGATCCTTGGTCCAGCACGCCGGCTTCTCAATAACCTCCATTATCGATTCCGCAAGCATAGTACAAGCGAACTGGTTCGATTTAGTAGACTCTTCAGATGCACATCGTGAAATACAAGCACTTCCAAAGCAATTCAACGTAACGCAGAGCTCTTTGGGGTTGTTTTCTATACCGAAGATTCCGCTGCAACGGTCGGCAGAGAAATCAATAAGCTGACTGGCGGCTTTGCGGGCATCATAGAGCAAGGGGCTGCCGTCGCTCTGTTCGCACTTAGGGTTCAGACGTATTATGGGTCTACTTGTGATCGTATTACTCTCTAGTCGTACGGCGCCGGCGCCGAGAACAAGAGAGACTGTGAGAATTAGGCTGGGGAGGTTGAAAAACATTTGAAGTATATATTTGATAGATTGTATTTGTTATTCGCTTGTGCCGGTTTTGGTGTTTTGTGGTTGGTGGTTTTTGGTTGATGGAAGCTGAGAAAAGATGCGCGAGTAGGTATTTAAAGCCTATATCGAGAACCCGAATGCCAGGTTCTATCGTTTCTTGAATACGAGACGCTGGTTGAATCAAAGAATAGAGGCGTATATAGTTATTGGTGTGGGTGGTTTCAGGTTGGTCCGCTAGCGGTGCGTATTAGCTCCATGAAACATCCACGTAGACGTACGTAACATCTTCTTCTTTAACGTTATCAACTACCTTTAGTACTGTATTGCTTGGAATCATTTTGTAGTTTCAGTTTAAATCTGGCTCAGTACTAGGGCTCGCTATGATATTTTCAAGATTCGGTTTGTAGAGCTCAATTCATATCATGTGCGCCCATTGCGGCTCTGGGTGGGAGGGGTTCATAATTTGGGGCGCTAAACAAAAACAAAGAAATGGAACACTGGCTCATATCAACTGTGAGAGTCAATATACATTTATTTATAGAAATAATAACCAAAATTAACATGAAAAATAGTAATTGTAGCTACTTGTTTTACAGCTACTGATACTAACTCATAGGGTGGTCTGCCATGCCGCGCCTCGGGATATATATCTCGAGCTGGTTATAATTAGAGTAGAGGTTCAATTGGGGATGTTTCTGAAAATGAAAATCAAAGTAAAATTTGACTACCCTCCCCCCATACCGCTTGAAGATTAAAACCGAAAAATTAACTTACACTTTCAATGAGTTCCAATTCTCTGGGCGTAAAAACTTGATCTAAAGGTAATTCCCTGAAATTTCTAGTGCCATCGCGATCGAAAAACCTTTTCAATTGAGTTAATACTTGATACGACTAAGCCGAAGGTGTAGTATACGTAGAGTATTGAGTTTCATCGACTGCGTGTGGGGTATTCCTCGGGCTACCTCGGTAGAGGACCGCGCTGCTTCGCACCATATCTTTGTGATATTGAGCATGAGAGTACCTTTTCCCCGGGTTACGAATGCATGTGGTAATATTAAAAGCGCTAAGGTGGTAGTACAGGCTGGATGTCAATGATAACTACCCCGCGCCAAGCCTATTGTATACAACCAATTTGGATTCTACCACTCGTTAAGGAGAAGTGCTAGCTACGTATTTCACTGAATCTCAAATACCCCGCATCCTACCCTCGCCGGGTCTAGGTTTGTGTGGGAGTTGTCACTAGTAATGTTAACATTCAACAGACCTGGACAGATAGCATGACCACAAGGAATCGATATCCAGAGATTCGACTGGATAGGATCCTTGGAACCTATGAACTTGGTAGATATAACAAGTCAAAGAAAAGAAAATAAGTTCTTTTGAGCTATTAAATTTCAAAGTGGACCAAATATTTATTTACTTTTCTGTGCACGTGGGGGACGGCTGAAGTCATGGTGAGTCACTCGCCTGAGATAAGCTGCAGCTGTGTGGAGTACTGTGATTGGCTGGTGTAAACAAGTCCAGTAAACAAACCCTGTAGCTCTTCAGATTAACATGTAAGGGCACTTAGATAGATGTGCATACTTGTCCAATTGAACTGAATTAGTAAGCTTTAGCTTGTAAAATTCCAGTCGTGTCCAGAATCACGTAGTAAGGAAATGATTAGGTGGTTGGCTGCTGTCAATCGAGACGTATTATATTCCGGAGTTGATCACTTATACGGAAAACAAAACCTACGTACTCTCGCCGAATTACCTATCTGTTTGGAGAGAATATGCTTGCCACGTGTTCCGCCCCCTCATCGACTATATAAAGCAGGCCGGCCTGTCCCATTCTCCTTCTTTAAACAAACGTCATTATCAGCCGGACTGAAAACTTCCACTCTTTTTACTTTTCACGTAAACCTTTAGAAAATTTCTTTTCCAATAAAATGACTTTCTTATCTAGTCTTCTATTCTTCAGTATCGGACTATTGGCGATATTTTCAACGGTTTTCGGACTTGAAGAGGTTCTTGCATTCCAGGAAAATGGGCAAGAAACCAGGCCTTTCGGGGTATACTCGGCGCTTAAGTACACGGTACTGGACGGCTTTTTCAGACAGAGCGATGAGGGTACCGATGATCGTACCTACGACCCTGTAAGTATCCGCTGCCTTGCCGGTAATGATGTTTATATCAATCATTTTTCTAACAATTGATGCTTTTCAAAGCTCACGGACTCTTTCGGACTTCAGTATTCTGGGCCCCGGCGCTGGGAGAGATTTGTTGAGCATATCTCTCTCTTGAATGAAAATGCTCCCGTGGATGTCAGCTACAAAGTTTTATACCTGGCAAGACATGGCCAAGGGCATCATAACGTTGCGGGCAAGTTTCTTCTTTCCGGCGTTTATTATATGTAGGTTACTAAAAGATATTATAATATTAGAACACCATTTTGGAAATGAGGCTTGGGAAGTATGTATTCAGCTAAATCGATATCTGGGACTTCGCTGATTTTTGTAGTGTTATTGGGCCATGAAAGGGAATAATGGAACCTACTACTGGGTAAGCACTCCTTTCCCTATTATTTCTGCAAAACTAACCTCTGCAGGGACCTGACGCCCGCCTGACTGAAAAAGGAATCTCTGAGGTACACCGTACCCGAGATGCCTGGAAGTCCCAAATCCCCTTTGGTGTCCCCCTCCCTCAAATCCACTTTGTCTCTCCTCTCTCTCGCTCCCTCTCGACTCTTGTCGAGACATGGGAAACGATTGCACTCGACCCTCCTCGACCACTTGTCAATGAACTTCTTCGGGAAACTCTTTCCTTACATTATGGGGACCACCGCTCACCGGCATCCGAGCTACGTGAGCGTTACCCACAAGTAGATTTCCCCATGGATGGCTCGTTCCCGGAGGAAGACCCGCTGTGGAATTATCACCGCGAGTCTCTACAAGGTCGTAACGCCCGGATAAAATATGCGATGGACAACATGATCGCCGCTTCTAATGAAACCTATATCTCGATGACTTCGCACTCTGGAGTCATCAACTCGACTCTTGTGGCTCTCGGACATCGTCCATATAACCTTCAGACGGCGGGCATGATTCCTGTTGTCGTAAAAGTGGAGCGAGACCGGGGGGGTCTGCAAAAGTGGTTTCAGCCGAATAACCCTTCGTTCAAAAATGTTGACGGTAGCCCAAGGGTGGAGGAGAGAGTAATTTGTGATAATTACCCACCCGTCAACGTATCGGGATTGTACGAGAGCGGGATGGGAGTTTGGCCGTGGTCATAGGTACGGCTCTTTCTGCTAAGACTATCAGATAGCTCCATAGGACAGGTTTGGCTTTGAAATTTGAGAAGAGGCCAAGGGGAATATAGATATGGCGTAGAGGAATGCGCTGAGTTATCGTGGGACAGCTGGAGATTGCGGAGGGGCCGGACCCCGAATCTGCAGGTCACCAAGGGATAAAGTACATGAAGAAACCCGTTTGTTTTGTCGGGTTGGGGTGCTGAGGCGGAAGTCACGCCCTTGATAGCGCAATATACCGGAGAGGCCTCCGAACAAAATATGAATAGTTGGTTGGAAGACTGTAAATAAGAAAGGAGATAGAACAACCGTATTTAGCTTTATACGAATTTCAATTTTTATCTTGATACTTTTTGGCCCGCAAGAAATCGGAAAAGCTGTGAAAGAGATATGCTGAACGGTTTACAAACATGAGTGAGAAAAGAATAAGAGAAAGAAAATCACACCATGCGTCCTCGTGATTAGAGATACTAAAAACAAAGTAAAGGGTATTTAGGTAACCAAAACGCCCCTAGAATACCATGCCATCCTTTGCGTCCTATCGTGGATCCTCAACCCATGCACCCCCTCCGCCATTGTACTCCCCAAACCCCGGTCCCAAATATGGCCGCCGACTACATAACTGATGAGGTCCTTGGCCTCTTACGGCTGCTTCCTGGTCTCTTCTCGGGGGCAGGCGGCCCCATTTCGGTTAGGGTTGTTCCTTCGCGTTCCTCACGCTCAATGGCTCTTCCACCCTTATGATCCTTGGCCTTTTCCTTCTGGTCAAGCACCATGGAGAGTATGTCGTAGGCGAATTGCGGGAACTCAAGTATCATTCCCATGAATTCCTTCTCAGCCTCGTGACGTAGGACATGGCCTTTCGAAATTTATTAGTACTATGTAGATATCATGATAGGGATGAGAACTTACTTCTATGGGCCCAGAATGTTGCGATAGGGTTTCTAATCGTCTTGTCCTCCTTTGGTGTATTCGCATACACAAACCTGGCATACTCAAGCTCGCCCTTAGCGGTAGAATTGATCCTGTGGATCTTACTGTGCGCCAATGTCTTGAGCTCCTCCATGCCTAGCTTATCGGCGAGTGTATATACCCTCGCATGTTTCAACAGATGACCCCCATCTTCATCAATTTCATCAGGGGAAACCGCCTCCAGCACCAACTCAGATGCGTTCTTGTTGAAGACGAGACGGGGGGTGTACTCGTTCGTGTAGAGATACTGCAGGAAGCAACCAACAGCATCGATGTTCTCATCTTTGAGGCTATCGACGGTGAGGGAGCTATCGAAGTATGGGCTGCGCTGAAGGAGCGCAAGATGAGCCTTGAGGACAGCATCCCCGACGGTGATGGTCACAATAGATGAAGAAAGATAGCTGTGTTCATCATCCATCATCATCGTATTAGCGGTTTGTTCGACGTCGAGTTGTTTGCTCAATTCCTGATGGAGGTGAGAGAAATAGAGAAAGGGAAAAGGAAGGAAAATTAAGGAAAGTATAAGTGAGGCGGGGCGAAGAAAGGTAGAAGTGTGAACGATGGAAACTTACTCAATGAAAGTCAATTCCTTCTTCTCAGGAACAACCTCGTTTGCGGAATTGTCGACAACGACTGCTAGCGCCATGCTCGACTCCCCGCTCTCTTCGTTCCCCTCCTCGAACTTTTCCTCGACGTCGCCTTCGCCATCCCCATCCCCATCCCCATCCTCATCCTCTTTTTTCTCTTCCTTCTCGGTTTCTTCCGCCTCCGCTGGTGTCTCGCCGAACAAGTCGCCCGTAAGATCGGAAGCTTCTACATCCATGGTTTCTGCTAATGGAGCAACAGGGGCTCTAGGAGTAGGATCTGGTGTATTGGTTGAGTTTGACATTTCTTTTTCTTTGCAAATACTTACCAGATAACGGCAGCAGGGATTCGATGGAGGGGCAATTGAACAAAGACGATGCAAAGGTCAGTCGCTGAGCCTGGTCGACGCGTGTTGTTGTTGCAACATCACAAACGGTTAGACCTGTCGCGGGTATGTATCTATCTTGGCAGGAACTCGCTTACTATTATGTACACCTTACCCATGGCTTGGGAGTCGGGGTTTATTATCCCTGTTAGGCATGAGATATGGAATATCATGCATCGGGGTTAGGGATACGGGTTGATAGGCAAGATAACCAAAATCTGGAGATTCAAAGCTCTTTGATATTGCTGCTATGAATACTTCATGTGCTAATAAGGTACATATATTGCTAGAACAACCTTACAAAAAACATTCCCTCAAGTTTACTCGAGTTTAAGATCTTTCTTAACCACATCCCTGCAAATTGGATGGTAGAAATTGATATGAGTGTTGAATGTTTTAACAGCCAATTCCCTATCACATTCATTCAACAGCCTATACAGAGGCCTTACAAACTTCATTCTTCCCCAGTTACCTAAAGCTTCCGCTGCAGGCTGAAATAACTTTGGGTCCTTCGCCTTGAGTCCGACTATCAACATTCGACTCAGAATCTCCGCATTCTTACTCTTCATGAATCCATACTGATTTATCATCGTTTCGACAAGTTCCGTTTTGAGCGGTTTCTCAAAGTCTGTGATTTTTTCAAGGAAAACGACGATCTGTCCAGATGTCCAAGACTTGATATCCTTGGGACCGGGAGTCCAGCCCCCAGATGGTGATGAGTCGGTATTAAGACCGTGCCATTTATCCGCAAGGTTATAGCAGACATCGGCAAGCGAAGTGTCAAAGTCAGGCTTTGGCGGAAGGCCAGGCGCGTGGAACCATTTCTCCCAGTCCACTTCCTTTTCAAGTGCCGCAGAAGCTTCAGCGTCGGATGCGAAAAACTCCAATAATGTTGATTTGAAGTCCTCTGAGGTCAATGATTTCTGGTGGAACTTTTTGAAATACTATTCATCTCACGGTTATTAAGTGCCCCGAAAAATGATAGAGGGCTCACGAACATGGGGAATGAATTTGTCCCATTTTGCCCTCCCTACCACTCTATCGAGGAAAAATAGGAAGTTGAATCCCTTCTCGTAGGGAATACTAGAGAAGGCGTCATCCGGATCCTTCCCTTCCAAGTCCACCACCAGCTTCGTAAACCCATGATCCTCTCCATAGAGCTGCACACTTTCCTTTAAAGCCTTCCATCCGATAATCGCAGAGAAATGAAACTCCTTGTCACCATGAAGAATACCTCCGATACGTCTCTCGAGGTAGGTAGTCCATCCCTCGTTCAGCCAGAAATGTTCCCAACTTGCATTGGAAACTAGGTTCCCAGACCAAGAATGGGAAAGTTCATGGGCAATTACATCGATGTTAGATTTATCACCCGAGATAATTGTTGGTGTTGCGAAGGTATGTGTTGGGTTCTCCATACCTCCGTACGGAAAGCTGGGAGGGAGGATCAGAACGTTGTAAGTAGTCCACGGGTAAGGATACACAAGTGATTCTGCGGCTTCCATAAATTTCTCCATGTCACCCTCAAGCTCCGTTTTGCAAGCTAAAAGCTCTTCTGGACCTGTGTAAACCAATGACCGAGGGCCAATAGAGGCTGATGCAATGTCCCCTGACGCAATGGCAAAAAGGTACGACGGAATTGGAATAGATTGGTGCGATGTGTATGCAAGAGTTCCAGCTTCGTCTTTAGATTTTCCGGCAATGAACTCGTGGGTTCCCGTCGGCAGACCAGAAGTAAGGACTGGAAGGGGAGAACGAATCTTGATATCGAAGGGCGATTTGACAGCTGGTGTATCTTGGCAAGGATATAGAGAACGGGCATGAATTGCCTGGCATTGTGAGACTGATATCTAAAATTTAGCATAGAATTCAAGAGCATAATGAAGGGTTGAGTTACACATGTAAGGGTGCTTCTTATTGGATGTTTGTTCAGGTGTCATCCACTGCAAAGCAGTGCATTTATCGGTGGTACCGTAAGAAATCTACCAAAGTGTTAGACTTTTTTTTTAAAAAAAAGGTTTATCTAGATAGAGAGTTTGGGTATGGGTACCTTCACTTTGACACATTGGCCTTCCTTCACTTCTTTCCCAGTATTGATTGTCAAAGCACTCCCGTAAGGTTCCACTCTCTCTGAGACGTCAAATGTTGCTTTCTCCCCATCAACACACACACTCTTCACATCCAAATAGCTCGTATCTAAAACCACATCCTCCAACGTATCCTCAGTGGCTTTCAATGTCAAGGTAACATCCCCGGACAACGATGAGGTAGGAAACGACAAAGTCAGGTTGATATCAGTGTGCGTAGTCGTAAAGACAAGATGATTTGCTTGTGAATTGGGATCCTTCTTAATTGGCGCCATCTTTGCAAATATTCTTGATGTTGTCGAGAACGAGCGATTGATAGCCAGCAGAGTGCGGGGTTGAGGCTTAAAGCAGGGTGAAGGAGCTGCTGCGGGACGCGACGGTTTGATGCGGAATTGAGGGGACCGGTAAGCAGCAGGGATGCACAGAAAACGTGATGATTTGGATGGAGATAAAACTCGAAACCGAGACCGAGTTACTAGAGTCAGCATGGCGGAAATACGTGGACTTTTTGAATAAACTCATGATTCGGTATTGGTAGCTCGCTTCGCCAAGAATCTTGTCGCACATGATGCATTGGATAATGCACCTAGCTACATTTAACAAATCACTACATGTATTTGATACACCTATCTATGGTGGTTATGAAGTACAAGTAGTGATGAGCAGTTCCCGATTGCACAATTGCTTATTCTTAATAAAGGTTGTAATGCCACAGCACATTGGATATGTCTAGCCATAGGATAATGCACACCAATTAATCGTTAACACGATAATTCAGAGATGTCGATCTACTAGTTACCAAGTACATGTAGTTAGGCACTCGATTGGTGATTTAGGCTAGAGATTACGGCCCTGGATCGGGAATGTTACTAAACGCTATGATCCTTGATTATTCAGAATACTGCGTGATACCTCATGACCAAGAAAGCTGAGTGACCCTTCATGATCCAATCAGTTTTTAATGCACTTGCCCTTGATCGGCTCACATTCTGGAATTACCTTCCAGTGCCATGTAAACTTCAACTCGAACTTGTGATTCTCCAACACACCTCGCATGTGTACACATATAGTTTCATGGCTTAAAGCGCATGCATATTGTGCATGTAGATACGTCTTCCACTACTTCTAGGGCAGATCTAGTAATCGCCTACTTGGTACGAGATCAAAAACGTGTATTATTATCGCATGTAAGAAGTACAAAAGGGCCCGAAGGCACATAAATCCGAAAACTACCCATGGCTAAACAGGATATAAATGTAAAATCAGGAAACCGTTACAATAGAATGAAACCGCTATCACAGCAGTCTAATTAGAACTTCCACTGCAACTCCTGACCATAGAGTAATCTAATTAGAACTTCCGCTGCAACTCCTGGCCACAGAGTAATCTAATTAGAACTTCCGCTACGACTCCTGGCCGCAGGACATTAGTCAAACCGAGTCGTATGGGTTTTGCAGCATCCACAACGGGCATGGAAACAAGTGACTCCTTCCACCTTATGTGGACATCTCTCCTTATAAAGACTATTCCCCTCTTTTCCGCAGTCGCAGCATGTCCAAGTAGGTTTTGGACGATTGTCTCCAATGTATACCATAGGCATCTTGTCGGTGAGTGTAGTTAAAGTCGTGAGATTATGAGAATAATGAGTATTATGATGATCTGAGGATTTGAGCACGATAGTCTGTAGATCGTAAAGTTTCTTGAGGACGTATGATGATAGTGAAAACAGATTGGAAGCTCGGTCGTTTATAAGGGCTTCTTTCTGGGCCCTGATTGGGTGCACCATTATTACAACGATATTGGGCCCCGAAGTTTCCAATTCTATGGTTTTTACAAATGTTGTGTTCCTGTGCCATGTTGCCTAGTAGAGGGCTGCAGATATGCGAATAGAATCCCGTAGTCGCCAAAAACTCGTTATGCGATCTGGCGAAGGTGATTGAACCTGGGACAAGTCTTTATGCAGCAGGCCATATCTCCTCTCATCTGGTTCGCACAGCACCGTAAGGCAGAGCTCCCGGACCCGTCGGCGGTTAACGGCAAAAGGCGATTTGCTATGAGGTCATGACGGCGGGATTGTGTCACAGACCACGAAGCGAGCATTGCGTTCAGCCCTAGCCCTAAGGCTGCGAGTGATTCTCGATGACGGTGTGAATACGTTGGATATCTGTCTCAAAGACTCGGAGAATACTTGAGGTCTTCATGGCGAGGAAAAACCCGCACTGGTCAGGTTTCTTGTGCCTGGACCTTGAGCATCCAGAGATGTGGGCTGAAGTGGACTTGAACAAAGCACGTGATAGCTGGTGAGCCTTCGAAGAGAACAGTCTTCTAGAATAAATTAGTTCTGAACTGCAGACTGCATACCCCGACAAAGTCATCTCTTGGGCTCCATTTTCGTTGATTTCTTTGCAAGCCATAACGTCAGACTCTTGGCAACAACGTCGTCGGCTGTTCCTGCTGCTGCACGTAAACCCCGCACTCGAAACAAACCACCCCACCCAAATCTTACTTACAACCTCTGCCACTCCGCTTTACAACATACACCCATCACCATCAATCACATACAAACATGGCTGACGAGTCTTCCGCTGCTGCTGTTGCACCTACCGCAAAGCCCCAGGCCGAGGAGGTTGGTACGTGACGATACCGCATTCCTCCGTTGTTTGGTTTGGTTGAGAAACAAAAACGCTAATCGTGGGGTTGACCTAGACTACACACTGAACAACCCCGATGTTCTCACAAAATACAAAGATGCGGCAGTAATCGCCCACAAGGTCCTTGAGGCTGTTTCAAAGTTGGCCGTCGATGGTGCAACCATCTTGAGCCTTTGCCAGGCTGGTGACAAGATGTTGGATGAGGAAACCGCAAAAGTGCACAAGGGCAAGAAGATCAGCAAGGGTATGGAAATTCTCACCGTCTATTTAACTCCCAGTCTCCTTTGATGGATTTTTTTTTCCCACCCACCATTGAATGCGAGATTTTGTAGAGGCTACAATCCTTTCACGCGCGGGCGCAACGTTCTAGATACGGGGGAAGACGTGAAAAAATTGAATTTTTACTAAAAAGTTTATTCATGCAGGAATTGCCTTCCCTACCACCGTTTCTCCCAATGATATCCTCACCCCCTACACACCTCTCTCCACCGATGCCGGTGAGGCTGGCATTACAGTCTCAAACGGCGACGTTCTCAAGATCCAGTAAGCCTCGAAATGATGTTTTGGTCTTTCCCGAAGCTGCCTTCTAACACATCCCCCCCCTCCCCAGGCTCGGTGCCCAAATTGATGGATTCCCTGCAATCGTCTCAGACACCATCGTCGTTGGCGAAGAGAGTAATGACAACAATGACCTCATCCTTGCGACCCACTACTGCAATGAAGCCCTTCTCCGTCTAATGATGCCCGCCGATATCCACCCCTCAAACACCCCCGAGAAGCCATACAAGGTGCCTTCATCCTACGAAATCACCGAGAAGCTGAAGAAGATTGCCGCCGCTTACGGCTGCACTCTTGTAGAGTCCACCACCTCATTCGTCTTTGCCCGCAACGAGATCGAGGGCAAGAAGCGCCTTGTTATCCTCCCGGGTGAAGGTATCCCCAAGAGTGAGGGAACCCCCGAGGTTGGCGAGGCCTGGGGTGTTGAGCTCTCCTTGTCCAAGGGCAGTGGAAAGGTCAAGGAGGTTCCCGGAAAGAGGGCCACCCTCCACAGGAAGACCGACACAAAGTTCAGTCTTAAGAGAGAGTCTAGCAGAGCTACACTTAACGAGGTTGTTAAGAAGTTTGGAACATTCCCATTCGGTCTCAGACAGCTGGATGATGAGAGGACAGCAAAAGCTGGTATCTTGGAGTGCGTTAGAGGCAATCTGTTTAGACAGTTTGAGGTTTTGGGAGACAAGGATGGTGCGGCCACTTCTAGGCTCTTTACCACCATTGGTTAGTTCTCCCTCGCATCACTATTGCTGCTAAACTTTGTACTGACCAAGAGACAACAGCCATCACCAAGAACGGCATCACAAAGCTCGCCGCTCCCCCGGCCCCTGATTTCGAGAAGGTTACTTCGGACAAGAAGATTGAGGACGAGTCCATTCTTGAGCTGCTCGCCCTCCCGCTAAGGGCAGAGAGCAAGGCGTCCAAGAAGAAGAAGAAGAAGACCGCCAAGAAGGAAGATGCCGAATAAATGTAGCATTAGTTCTTTCTTTTTTTTTATTCCCTATTTGTTTCATTCCAAGCTCCTCTCTTCCTCGTAGGGAAGTTAGCATTTTCCCTTTTTTTTTTAAAAAAAAAAAGACCGGCGGGAAACTGATTTTTGTCATCTTGTTTTTTTGGTCGTCGTCGGAACCTGAATTCAATGTGCATGCTGCTGCGGCCATTGTAATACCTACATATCTTAGTCATATGAAAAAGTGATATCTCATGATTCCCCCCCGCCCGCATCGCCGGTTGTGTGCTTCAACCAATCCGCATAAACATCTAGATACTCCCCACCCCACCCCCACTCTCCATCCCCTCTTCCCCACTCTGCATGCATGCACTCTGCACCCCACACAGCACCCTGATCTGGCCGCATGGCAATCGTGATCAGCGCTTGGTCCCCTCCGCGACCGCAACACGTGCCGCTGGAGGCGGGGTGACAGTCATGGGGTGTCACTCGGTGCCTTGGACTGCGTGATGTGAAGCTATCCAGGTGATTACTTGATTGGTGCGAAGCTCTTCTTGCCACTCGTCTTGCTACAGCATTCCCCCATCGCCCATTCCTAGAGGCTGCCTGTGAGACTTGGTTGGATATACTCTCACTCTGACCGTCACAAGCCATAGAATGGAAGAAGAGAGAATGGAAAAGAGACAAAGACTATAGATAGACAGAACGCCATCTCGCTGTAACGTACACTCACTCACTCACTCACTCACACTCGGTTACCGCTAACAAACCGGCGTGACAGAACATGACATGGCAGAAAAACACATAAACGTAGGGAAAAAAAAAAAACATTGTATTCGTAGGTGTGGTTTTGGGTGTGTTGAATGTTCCTCCTCCTCCTCCTCCTCCTCAAAAGAAAGAAGGAAAAAAAAACCGATCCAAAAAAAGAAAAGGCACAAAATGAAGGGCGTAGAATAACCACGGAAGACAACAAGGTCAAGGCGTCAGGAAGGGGACTTCCTACACATCCCCTCTCCTCCCGTCACATTTTTTTTTTTGCATGAACAACAACAACAACAACAGCTTGATTCCCAAATCCCATAAAAGAAGACGTAGAGCAGTACACACAAAGAGGAGACAGAAAAGAAAAGACAAAAAGAATACACACACACACACGTGCACACACACACACACACACAGAGAGAAACACATAGAAACACTCAAAAAAAAAAAGAGAAAAAGGCAAGAAAAAGAATGCCAACTACTACTACTAACAACTAACAGCTAAACTACACCCCCCACCCCCCCCCCCCTCTTTTACTCCCCATCACTCGGCGGCTCCGAAAGCTCACTACTATCCTCATGCTCCACCGCCGCCGCGCCCCTCGCCGCACTCCCGTTCGTGCCATTAACCGCCACCGCCACCGCCGCCGCCGCCACCGTCACCGTCCCCGACCCAGCCCCAGTTCCCGACGCCCTCGTCTTGCGCGCCCCCCTCGCCGGTTTCCGCTCCGCAACCACTACGATCGCTGTGGGCTCCGGCGACGATGCCGCGGCGGCACCACCGCGCTTTGGCCGCCCCCGCCCGCGCTTCATCGGCGTGATCTTCTTTGGCGGCGACGCGGGCGCCGGCGCATCGGCCTCTTCCTCCTTCTCGGCCTCTGGCTCTGCCTCCTTCTCTGCTTCTTTCTCGGGCTCCGGCGCATCTTCCTGCATCGGTTCAACTGCCACAGGCGCCGCTTTCGCCTTCTTCCCCCTCACCGGCGCAGCACTCGCCGCCAGCTCCTCCTCCTCCTCCTCATCCAGCACCCTCTCGCCCCTCGGCTTCCTCCCGCGCTTCGCCGGCGCCGGCTTCTCCTTCCTCGCCACCGCCACCGCCGCATCCTCCTCCTCCTCCTCCTCCTCCTCCTCCTCGTCGTCCGCCGCGCCGTCGCCGTCGCTCCCCGCATCCTCCATCTCCACATCGCTATCCTCGTCGCTAACGGGCGCCACAGACTCCTCGTCGTCGTCGTCGTCGTCGCTCGGCCCGCTCTCCACATACTTGACCTTCGTCGTCGACCGCCCACTCCTCCTCCGGTCCGCGTCCGACACAGCCATCTTCGGCGTCTTCGGCGGCCTCCCAACCTTCCGCTTCTCCGCGCTCTCGCCTGCGGCAGCGCCGGGGGTGGCGGCGGCAGCGGCTTTGTATTTTTTCTTGGCGGGGGTGCCGGTGCCGCGGGAGGCGCCGCCGGCGCTGGGGTCGCTCTTGCGCTTCTTGCCGCCGCCGCCGCCGCCGCCGCCGCCGTGGCGCGCGCTCTTGGGCTTGATGAGGGCGTCGAGGCGCAGCTCGATTTCTTCGGGGAGGTAGGTGTTGCGGCTGACCTCGAGCGACTGCTCGGCGCTCTGCATGGGCATGAACAGGCCTGCGGGGAGGCGGATCTTGCCGGGCCAGGTTTGGATCGTCCAGTGGTGGTGCTCGGCGTAGCGGCGGATTACGGCTTGGGCGAGTTCGGAGAGGTAGTAGAGGTTCTGTGGCTGTCAGCTTTTATGTCCCGCACCACCGCACCACCGCACCCCCCCCGAAGCATCTCCCCCCCCCGGGGATATGGAAATGGAATGGACGTACCTCGCTGTTATTCGGACTCAGCCCGTCGCGGAACTGCTTGACGCGCTGGGCGACATGGTAGATGAGGCTGACGTTCTCCTCGCTCGCGACAGCCGTGAGGTAGAAGAGGATGTATCTGCAGAACCAGGCGCGCACACTTCAATCAGCTCCGTCTGTCTCTGTTCCCCCCCGAAACCGCATTTTCTTTTTCTCCCAGCCCCCTCGAATCAAAAGCGAAAAAACATTTGACGAAGGAGTGGAAGAAGAGAGGGAGGGGTGTTTGTGTGTCCATAGTAGGTAAAGAGAAAAATAACGAAAGAGAACAGGGGGGGGGGGGGGATATATGCAAGAAAACAAGAGGGATGGGGAAGAAACAATCCCCCCCCTCTCCCACCAGCCACCTCATCACACCGACACCGGGGGGGGGGGGGGGGGAATAAATAACCAGCGCCCCTCTTTTTCCAAAACACAGAAAAAAAGGAGAGCAAAAACAGAGTCAAAACTTACTTTGCAAAATCCGCCAAATCCTCCACCTGCGTGCCAAAATCCGGATGATGCGCCAGCAGGCTCAACAACCTCGCAAACACCGCCTCCATGACATTGCCCGCCGCATTCGCCTTGCGCATGCTCGCCGTCCGGGCTTTGACCCACGTGACGGCGGCCTCGCGCATCTCGGGCACGGGCTCGTAGGCCATGAGGAAGATGATTGTGTAGAAGCGGTTGCCCAGCCGCGACGAGGCCAGGTACTTCTTGACCTTGTCGACGAAGCGCGCGCGCACCTCGGTGCAGTGGTCTTGGATGACGCAGGCGAGGCGGTTGAAGTCCGTGGGCGTGATGAGGTCGTCGTAGATCTTGCTCGAGGCGAGTTTGAGGATCGAGAGCGCGGCGGAGAGGCGCAGGCGGGATTTGTGCGCGCGGCTGTGGAGAAAATCATGTCAGCTAAATCATTACCCCCACCACATACACACACAGAGAGACGAAAGGAAGATGAAACTCACGGCGTATCCTCATCAATACTCAGCTCCCCCTCCTTCACCACCAACTGCATCAACATCTTCAGCACCGCCTCCGGCACCTTCGTCCTCCGAAACTCATCCACCTCCTCCACGCTCTCCAGCTGCGCGACATGCGCCCGCAGCCGATTCACCGTGATGCGCAGCGCCAGCATCTTAGCCCGACACTCATCGTCCACGGCCTCCTCACCAACCCACACGGCCTCCTCCCCGCGCTCCTCCTCGCCCGCCGGCGCGCGCACCTTCAGCAGCACATCCTTCGCAATATCCATAATGGCGTCATTCTCCTCCTCGCACTGCTGCGGCGCCAGCAGCACCAGCTGGCTCAGGCACGCCAGCCTCGCCAGAAAGTGCTCCCCGCCAAACGCAAAGTCGCGGACGCACCGCCGGATCAGGTCCGCCGCATACATCTCGCGCCGCTTCGCCGAGTACATCAGGATGCTGACGGCGTGCTTTGCGGCCGCGGGCGGCTGCCCCGTGAGCGCGAAGCCGACGAGGGCCTGCAGGAGCTTGCGCTCCTGCGGCATGTCGGCCGGGTAGCTCTTTGCGAAGCCCGCGCAGGCCTTGAGCGTGTCGACGGCGCCGGCCGAGTCGGCGGGCGTGCGCGCGGAGGACTGCTCCTGCAGGAGGTCGGAGAGGGCTTTGACGTTGGCCTTGAAGACGGCGGGGTTGGAGGAGGACATTTCCTTGAGGACCTCGTGGGCGACGGCGGCGAGCGAGGCCTCGTCGGTGCGTGAGAACTCGACAATGTGTGGCACGTGCGACTTGTTGTAGATGAGCTGGGAGACGCGGTAGAGGAGCGGGGTGAGGGTCTCCATTATTGTGGGCGCGGTGCCGGGGGCCTCGGAGATGCGCTTCTTGATCTCTTTGAGCGCTTTCACGACCGTGCGGTAGTCCGAGTCGGGCGAGAAGCAGAAGCGGATGAGCTGGTAGCAGCGGCGGTCGTGCAGCTTGGCGAACTTGAGTAGGTTTTCTTTGGCCTTGGGCGTGTCGGGGAGCTTCTGCGAGAGCCATTCTATGAACTTGTTGAGCGCGCGCTTGACGCCCTCTTCCTCCACGTCTTTGTCCATTACGCCGCCCTAGAAATAAAATAACTTGTTGTCAGTATCATTTCCATGCACATGTACATATACCTAGGGTTAGGGTGCGGAGAGGAGGTGGGCGAGTGGGGGGAAAAAAAATACATTATAATCCTCGCAGCTCTTCAAAAAGACGTCCATAACCTTCGCATAACTGATCTGCCTCAGCGGGACCGCAAACAGCGCCTTCTTCGCCTTCACGTCGAGGCCCTTCACCAGCACCAGCAGCCGCATGACACGGATCTTATCCCCCTCCGCAATCTCCCTCTCGCGCTCCTTCTCCGCCTCCTTCTCCTTCCCCTTTCGCCCTCCATTCTCCGCCGCCGCCGCTGCATGCTGCTGCTGTAGCTGCTTCTCCTTCTCGATGGGCGGATAGTTGACGGGCAGCAGCACGCCAAACAGCACATGGTCCAGCAGCACATTGACCTCCGCATCGTTGATGTAGAACGTGTCGAGGATCTTACTCGGGATCCACCCCAGCTGCGCCGTGACAATCTCGTTCCCCGCCGCAATGTCCGCGTACGCCATGTTCCAGATGCGCGCAAGGCAAAACATGCCCTCCCAGCGCACGCTGAACTTCTTATCCCGCACGCGCTCGCCCAGATGGTGCAGTATCCTCTTTCCCCAGCCCTTCCCGTCGCCGCTGCCGCCATCGGCGCTCTTGCCCTTGCCGCTGCCGCGGCCGGCGGTGGCGGCGGCCACCGGCGCGCCCGAGGCTAGCTCAGGATTATATGTGTTGAACGGCGACAGGTCCGCGCCGAGCTTTGTGGTGATACTTGCGTAGTCGAGCTCGCCGAGGGACACGCAGGCAGACAGCCGCACGCGGTCGTCCAGGTCGTTCAGCTTCACGGCGACCAAGTCGACGAGCTGCACGGCCATGTAGTCGTTGCGCTCCTTCATGATGCGCACGGCAGCCTCGACCCACTTCGCGCGGACGGCGCTGCTCTTGTCGTTTGCGCGGCCGATCCACGCCTTCCACGTCGCGGGCGCGCTAGCGCCGAATGCGCCGGTCAGGGCCATGTCGCCGATGGTCTCGGTGCTCAGGACGCGGATCTCGGCGTTCTCGGCCATGAGCTCCTGCTCGAGCTGCGGGATGACGTTCTGCAGCACGGCCGGGCAGGCCTTCCACAGCTCCTTGACGAGCAGGTGGGCTTTGTGCAGCTCCTGGAGGTCCTCGTGCGACGGCTCGTGCAGCGCCGGGTCGTCCGAGTCCGAGTCGGGGCTCATTGATGTGTGGCGGCCGCCCTTGCGCGGGCGCGAGGACGGCGAGGCGTCCATGATGACCTCGGAAAAGTACTGGCAGATCTGCCGCGCCATCTTGTCGACGCACTGGTTGCAGATCGCCTTCGCCATGTTATAGGCCGGGGGCGGCACCGGCGCAATCAGCTTTGTCTGTCCGTCGTCCTTCTTGCCCTTCATCTCCTTCACCGCCGGCTTCCCGCGGGCCGTGATGGCGGCGAGCGCGGCCGGGTTCGCGCGGAAGAACTGCGCGACAATGATATCGACAACCTCGGACGGCAGGGAGTTGCACTCCTCGATGAGCTGCACCAGGATGTCGGTCATCTGGTACTCGACGTTCTTGGGCCCGTCGGGGCGCGCGAGGTCGAAGAAGTTTGTAAAGATCTTGAGCGTGATCGCCTCGCTGTTTGGGATGTCCGAGATGAGCACGACGGACTTTACGGACGCCAGCGACTCGAGGAGGTACAGGTGCTGCTGGTAGTAGGGCGTCTCCGGGTCCGCCAGCCCGCGCAGCTGCCTCACAAACAGCTCGAATATATCCTACAACACGCACGCCCCGTCAGCCCCCCCCCCCCCTTTCAATTGCACTTGCACACACAGCACACACAGACAGACAAACCTTCAACTGTACCGCCGTGTAGGGCGCATCCGGCGCATGCAGCCTGAGCATATCCGCCAGGCAACACGCCGCATAGGCCTTCACGCCGGGGTCCTTGTGCTGGAGCAGGCCGACGTTGACGAGCTCGCGCGCGGGGGTCGCCAGGCTCTCGCGGTCGACGGCCTCCTGCTCGAGCGCGATGAGCTCCTTGCTGAGGGCCTTGAGGCGCGTGATGAGCGTGCCCGTGGGGATGGGCTTGCCGGCCTTCCATGAGAGGGCGTCGCTGAATTGCAGGACGTTTGACGGCTGCTGCTCGTCTTCGTCCTCCTCGGGGGGAGGGCGGGAAGAGCGGGCCATCGCGTGTTAGGGGGGTGTGATGTGTGATTTGTGGTGTGTGGTGTGTGGGGGGGGGGGAGTGGGGTGGGTGCGGGGGGGAGGGAGATAGTAGTAGGTGGTTAGTTAGTTAGTTACTAGATAGTGTGTAGCCTTTGTAAGCGGGGAGGGAGATGAGGGGAGGGGACGCGTTAGGGGGAGGAGAGAGGAGGAGGGGGGGGGGGTGTGGATTGATTGATTGAGTGGAGGCGGGGCGGTGGCTACTAGATGGCTAGAGAGAGCGCGTCCAGGTATTAGTCCACAGAGAGATAGGCTGGACCACAATGTGAGTGAGGTATAGTGTGTGTGAGAGTGTGAGTGAGTGAGTGAGTGAGTGAGTGAGTGAGAGGAGGTGAGTGTGGGAGAGAGGAGGGGGGTGGGGGGGGACGGGCGTGTGGGCGAGCGAGATATCACGGCGGAGAGAGAGCGAGAGAGCAAGAGAGCAGCAGCAGCAGCAGCAGCAGCACCACCAGCACCAGCAGCAGCACTCCAGCCAGACACACAGACAGAGCAGGACGGGAGTGCAGACACGGGTGTGCCAGGGTTAGGGGTGTGCCAGGGTGACTTTTCCAACCACAAACAACGGGGGCCAATTCCGCGAGAGACAGACCCGTATCCCGTATCCCGCGGTGGACGGGCAATTCGTTCCTCTTCGCAGCCCGAGAGTCCTCTTTGTTGGAGATCTCTCTCTCTCTCTCCGCTTGTCTGGCGGGCTGTCTCTCGCCCGTTCTGTCTGTCCACACCTAATTATCAACTGTCACAACACGCCTTTGTTGCTGACTCAGCAGACCGGCCGCGTGAGGAACAGTGAGTGACGCCAAGCCCCGAGACAGACACAGAGCCCGTGCGAGAAAGCGCGAGCGAGAGAGGTATTAGGTGAGAGACCTATGTCTACTCTCTACTCTACTAGTTCTGTGGACGAGCGCAGCATCAATTCGCTAGGATGCATGTATGTATGTACCTACTACATCTCTCAATCTCCTCGGTACAGCAGGTGCCCTGCTCTACTGACTCTACTTCTGCTCACTCACTCACTCACTCACCTATCGAGCTATTCGCCCACTCACACCACCACACTACCTCACTCACCCTCGCCCTCGCCCTCGCCCTCGCCCCCGCCAGCCAATCCTCGCGCCGAGTGAGACCCAGTGACGCAGACAACGGGGGAAACAGCCCAATCCTGAACGAGCAAACGTAATGCTGATGACATAAACATGCCCGTCCTCGGCACAAACCCATGCGGCCAGGGAGAAGCCAAATGTTGATAAAACTGCTGACTTGTAGTTGGTTGAAACACCCTGGCTGGACAGAGCTTGTGTGGAGCCTGGATCACTTGGCGCGAGAGCTTGTGAGGGCTACATGTGTATATATATATATATATATATCCACAGGAGCAGTCGACTACATACTATCACATACAGCCCCCACATCTACATATCGTACCCTTCGCAGACCACGCGGGTATACATGTAGAATATTCTGATGTTTACCCACTCTCGAATTGTCCACCATCAAATTCTTCCATGCAGTTTCTGACCCTTGTGGCATTTAAATTCTGATTTTACACGATTCAAGAACGAAGAACTCCAAAGCGCCATGCTAATGATCATACGAGCAGCACCCCTAAAAAGAAAGGTATAAAGTATATAAAAATAACGGAAAAAATACAGAAAATTGCAACAAAAAGAGGAAGTCTTCCCTCGTCACTCTCCCACCACCTCACCCATCCCACCACCCGCTGCACCCCCTCTGGCACCTCCCACCACACCCAATACGCTCCGCACCACACCCAATGCACGCCAATACAGAACCACAAAAACAGCTGCAGCAACACAATTGCAACACAAACCGCTATCAGCCCCGTTGGGGATACATTCGAGTTATCTGGCTCAACTTCTTCCCTCGCCCTTCCCTCTGCCTTGCACTTGTAGTAGTGACATGCATGTGACTCTAGCTCAGGTTTATATTCGGGCCCCGGCTCTGGGAGGACGGGTGATAGCGGTAACAGCGGTGGAAGCGACGTAAGAGGCGTGATAGCTAGGGTGCTGATGAAGGGGGTGCGGATCTTGCTCCTCTCCAACCCTCTGCGTGGGAGGGCGTGCCGTTGGGAGCTTGAGGGCTGTCCTTCTTCTTGCTTATGCATCGCGGGTTGTGTGGTAGGTATTTTTAATTGATTCGCAGACTTTAGTCTTCGGTCCGTGGCAGATGGAGCTCTGTATGAAATGGCCAGTTTTGTGGATGACCTGTCTGTTCGGTGGAATATATAGTATAGAAACCAGGGCCCAAGCTCCTGGGGTATGCGTTCTCCTTTTATACGAAGAGTCAGCTGATGATATAGTGCACTAGTGGTTCGAATGACCAATGTGAGCTATATGAACTCAACAGCGTTGTGATTCATTAGATTATCATGAATACGTACTTATGGGTGTGCGTGGTGCTACCGCCGTAAAGGTTACTGAATAAAGGGCAAAGCTAAAGGTGAGAATTGTCAGTACTTCGGTAAAAACTCAGGTGAATGTGTGATTAAGGGTTGAAGTCCGGGTGCTGCCTAGCTAGGTGCGGGAGAACTAAACAATTCCTACTAACCATTTTGTGACCAACACCGTACCTACGACACTGGTATTGATTGATTAGTTCACCAATTGTATGCAACCTACGGCACCTGTACATCTTGACTGATTTCAAGCCGGTCTCGAGACCACAAACATTTTTGTGTCGAGCTGTTCAAGGTGTCACGTCTCATGGAGAATAGGCGTGCTTTGAATCGCTGCTACCGGACCAAACCAGAGAGACGACCGATATATTAGAAGGATTGGAAGGCCTAAGAAAGTTTCCATATTTATACTTCCCACCTATTTCCCTTCATAAGTCCACAGTTGTAGGAATGTACGAAGAACCATACCGGTCACATATATTGTATGGCAGTGCTCCAAATTACAGCTCTTTTCGTATTATCTGTCCGCAGCACAGAATTACATACATCTAAAGTGATTTCAAGCTAGGAAAGCGTCGTTGCTCTCTTAGGATGTATGCGTGTACGTGACCTAACTATTACAAGTAATCAGCATTGCCTAGACGGGCCGGGCCGTCACTTAATGTGAAAACAGCTGTAATCTCGGGATCATTGAAGTGACACTGTGTCAATGATCGATGTGCAAACAACCTCTCCAGACACACAAACGCAACCCTTTGTCGTCCAATTAGGGTCTATTTGCGATGGTTGGATCGAGCTAGTATGAATGCTTACATCTGGTTGACGTATATATATAAATCAAGCTCACATACACCTATTCTAAGCACAGACTTGACAGAGAAGAGCTAGAGCTTCACTACTATAGTCAGACCCTAAGCCCCACGAATAAAAAATAGTGCAAAAAAAAAAAAAACACGTTCATCAGATCATTGCGAGTTAATGGATCCATGGACCTTTCCTATATCAATCTGCAGTATGCCATAAACGACACATGTGTACGTGTTGTTCTCGTCTTCTGTACTAACACATCTGTTTATTCCTGCGAATTCTCCCACTTGGTTGGTGCACGTGAGATCACCTAGGTTCTCTAGCGTTCTGAGCCCTACTCAGAGCAATAACTAAAAGTCACTTTTTTTCACAGCGAAGGATCAGTGCCAGAAGTTCCCTCGTCAGCTGTGGAGCTATATATCTTCTGCTATCCTTTTATAGTTAAAAAAATTTAAACCTTCATGGGCGATTGGTCTATGGCGGTATATATATGCCGCCTAAACAGCAGCTTCCTCCATCAGATTTCGGGACATTCACAATACCAAGGCCAGACGTTGAGGGCCTAGAGAACTAAATGTGGTGATCCGTGGAGGTGGGACGCATACAGGTATGTACTTGACATTCTACTCCACAGTCAAGAATATATGGTATTCCGGGGGCTATTCACTCCCCCCCCCCCCCCCCCACCCCCCCCACCCCCCCGGCCCCACCGTGAATCTGGTCTGCCATGTCCGGGCGTTGACTTTTACTATTGTGCTGTAACCCATTGCTTATCAACTGTTAGGCCCGTCAATTAGATCGATGCCCAGCAATTGAATCTGCAAGAGATCCAAACAATCCAAGCGGTGAATTATAATTAAGCCGGGGAGAGCACTACATGGGATGAACTTTAATAGCTAGGTGATAGGTGGTCTGGGAGAGGACCAGCCGCCCGCTCTTCTGATTTTTCCCTTGGGGGTAATCTAACGACAAGGACGATCAATGTTGTGTATAGCTGCAATTGAGAAAGAGGACAGTGATCATGATCCCAGACTTGGCCCGGTATTAATTACAGCCACCTCCAACCCCCGGCACAACCCAGTGGCATAAGGAGACCATCAGACGTGCTGTTTCTTACTACTAAGGAACTTGGCCGAGTCTTTGCAGTGTTCTGCTTTTACTTGCGCTTCAGGTGAATACTGATCATCAGATAAAAGTATCACTCGAGGTAGGAAGTAGTAATATAGGCATTTTATGCATTGCTATATATTATGAAGACGTACTATGACTAGAATACAGGCTATATTGGGAGAAGAGGGTATCATAAGATGTTAAAAAACGAAGCTATGTAGTTACAAAATACAGCAATGCAAAAGGAAAAGAATCTCGATGCTTATACTCACCCCCTGCACCGTAAAAGCCACCAATTACCACCCCTCAAATCCCCGAAAGCACCGAGTGAGATCCCATGACTCCAGCACCACCCACAAGCCCCCACCCACAACCCACACCTACCCCGTACACCTCTCCCCAGGCGCCCTCCACTCCAACCCCATCCCCCTAAACACCCTCCTCTCCGCCTCCTCCCACCCCTCCCCCCTCCTCAACGCCCCATCCACCCCGCCCACCCGCTCCCCATCCCTCTCCCACACGCCCTCCGCCCCAACCCTCCACTTCCGCTCCCCACACCACGCCTTCAGATCCCTCACCCACGTCCGCCCCCCCGTCCACTTCATCAGCGCCATCCCCGCCGTCTCCGGCCTCGTCACCACCAGATCCACCCTCCGTCTCGTATTTGTATTCCTGCCTGGGAGACGCAAAGTCTTCCGTCTTACATCATCGTACTGCTGCTCCTGCCAGACCAGCATTGCGGTCTGGATTGTCCGGCCCGGAGCAGGGGCGCGGTCGAGGCGGAGTGTGTAGTTTATGCAGCCCTCCTTCTCGAGGGAGGCGACGAGCTGCTCGAGGAAGGAGGTGGCGAGCTGGGTGGGGTCTGGGTGGGAGATGAGGAGGTCGGCGTCGGCGAGGGTGGGGCTGCCGCGGCGGTAGGAGCCGGCGAGGATTGTTGTTGTGCCTGGGAGGAGGAGGGTGGCGTGGTGGGTTATTATATCTGAGGATGTCAGTTTAATATGCTGCGAGTTTTTGCTTCTTTTTGTTTCTCTTCTTTTCTCTTGTATGGAATGGGATTGTGCTAATGGCGGGCATAGTAACTGCGGGATACACACCTCTTATCCTCTCCGCCTCCCACCGCGGCATCGGTTTCTGGAAGTCATCATAATACTTCACCCCAATCTGCTGCACCCTGGTGAGGCCCTTCCACCCATACTCCACTACATCATCCACCGACCTCCACCCCTTCACAAACCACCACTCCCTCGCCGTCTCCGGCCCCACACCCCATATCTTATGCAACATCGCCAACCCCACTAGATTCTCATTCAGCTTCAGCTTCTCAACATCAGGGATAGTTCGAAGCTTCGGGTCTGTGTGTGAGCACAGCCATGAGTGGAAAAGGGCTGATATCTTTATATGGCAGCCGGGGAGGAGCATGACTTCACTGCTGGAGGTGAGGGGGTAGGGGTAGGCCTGGATGGTGGCGATGGCGGTGGAGTAGGCGCGGATGCCGACCTCGTCGGAGGTGAGGATGCGGTGGTCGCGGATTGTGTGGAGGTGTGATATAAAGTCTGCGTTCGGCGAGTCCGCGGGCGTTGAGCGGCAGCATGAGAGCTTGACCTGGAGACACAAAAGGTTGTAAGTATTCCATATAACACTCCAGGGCTGACAATGTCCCAAACAGCAGGCACAGATAGATATTGATAGCTACATACATTCCTTCTCACCCACTCCGGCATCTCATTGATGCCTCTCGCCGTTATGCGCTCCTCCTCATACTCGGGCGTACTCGGCCTCGCATTTCGTCCCGCACTCTTGGACAGTTTTATGATCTCGTCCGTCACCCTGGTTCCATAGACACTGCGCTTATACTCATTCTTCTCACTCCGCCATCTCGAGTTCTCCTCTGCATTTTTCACTCTATCCATCTGCGCCCTCTCCATCACGCCCCTCCTGTGCTCCTCCTCCGCATGTACCCTCTCCCTCTCCCTCTGCTTCTCCCTCTCCCTCGCCGTCTCCTTCACCCTCACCCTCTCCGGCGACGGCCCCGGCGTCACCACCACCGCACACACCGTCGCCGTATACACTGTCCACGGCTCAATGGGGAGTACCCTTCCCGCCTTGACACTCTCCGTGAACCACGCCAACTTGACGACCCTCAACGGGGCCGTCAGCAGCGGTTCCGGGTCCGTCATGATGCCTCGTGTACGCAGCTCAAAGCGGCACCGCGTGGGCGTGTTGATATCAGCCAGGAAGAGCGAAGCCGTGGAGGGCGTGGGCGTGAGCGGGACATTGTGTGCTGCGAGCTGCGAAAGGAGGGCGGCGTGAGCGGCGGGGGTGAGGCGCGTGGGGAGGAGGAAGGTGGGGGAGAGGTGGGATAGGTCTGGGGTCGGCATTGCGGGGCGGGGCGGGGCGGGGCGGGGCGGGGTGCTCTAGCTGGCGGCGATTTGTGATTCTGTAGCTGCACGGACGGAATTGACGGTATCGGATGTGAGGAGCAGTTCGGTGAGCGCCGTCAAAAGAAAGCTGGCAAAAGGGCTCAGATATACGACAGCGCACGCACGACGTCATAGTATGGATTCGCCGCCGTCGCCGTCGCTTCATATCACGATTTAACCCCCCGCCGTCGCCAACAACAAACACAAAAGCACAGGCCCTCTTGCCCCTCTTCCTCTTCCTTCTTCCTTCTTCCCCTCCTCGCGAGAGAGATCGAGATGCACGCTCTTTTGCTCGCAGAGTATGTATAACGGGGCAAATAAGCTCGGGGCCGGCCCGCGCAACTGACATTGACATCTAGGCTGCCCCGTTGTTGCTGCCTAGATCAGAGCATTGTGAGATGTGAAGGTTGTTTCGGATTCGTCTGTTCTCCCCATTGGCTGTGCTATGGGTGACTCGAGTTGTGAAATGAGATTGTGCGTGTAGAAGAAACGAACATAAACTCAACGGGTAAGACCAAGAAGGTTTGTAATAAGGCAGGTCAGACAGAATGCAGGCAGGCAGGTAGTTAGGTAGCCATGCGACGTTACACACCCCGCAAGGTGCAATTATCTTTATTTCAACATCTAGGCACAAACAAACAATGCCTACACAACATAAAGAACTTCAATGCTGGACAACATGAATCACCAATTTCATATGTCCCCGCCTCCCCAAAACTTCAGCCGCGGTGCTCAGACTCCAACACCAAAAACCCGGCCCACAGCCAATATGGTCCGTGCACGCAGTCCCGCATCCCAACAACTCCTAGCCGAGACGGGAGAAAAAAAACTCGCATATCGATCATTACCACTTCCGAAATCTCCACCCAGGTCGAGGCGGGACGGGGCGGGTATTTTTTACAAAGCAGCTTTCTGCTCGCTGTCTAAGCGTCTCGTTTAGATAATTCTCCAGCACGGAGCATTGTTGGGTTTCAGCTCATGTTGGTTGCAATTGCTGCTCATGCGTCGACGGTCGATGCAGGCAGGCTGGGGGTTAAAACGGCAATTGCAATATCGTGCACGCGGAAAAAGAAAGTTCTAACTAGAGTACGTGAACTTATATACCACGACGACCTTGTTGGCAGATCATGTACATACCTACCTCGTTCCAAGAAGCAGCTAGACGGAGGGAAATCCCTTCCACCCAGTAACGACCTCCCAGGTGGCGGAGAGTCTATTGTAGCTAGCTAGCAGCCAACCAGATGACACCGATGCGAGCGAAGACGAATGCCATGATGTGTCGTTGTGTGGATTGCTTGATACAGCACTTAATAGAGAAATAATACTAATAGCCAGGGTTTACTATTGCTTTGAATGGTGTCCTTTATCGATAGGACTGAGCTGAGCTGGATGCCTGAAACCTACGAGAAGTAGGTAAATAGTACACTGGTTAACCTGCATGATAGACGATATTGGCAGGATCCAAATGATCTATCGATATCCTAAAGTCGTTATCGTGAAACTGTTGCTTATCATCAGTGGAATACATTAAGCAGAGGTAGCGGTTTTTCAAAGGTTATGAATGAAGAAATCTTTGTTGAGCCGCTCTCTAGTTCAGAAGAACGAGTGATAATCTATGATACAATTCTTAGGCTAAAAACTACAAGTAACTATTCTGGATTTATCGCGATCGGAGACTGTGTTTTTCTAAAGATACATCGCTTCCCACGTGCACGCTCATCATAAATACGTTTCCAATAACCCAATATATCTGGGGTCATAGCCTAAAACAACACGTATTTTTTCAAAAAGGAATCAAAAGAAATTAGTATTCAAAATCATCATCAACGCCCTTGCTACCATTTTTGCTACCGTTCGTCACCACCTCCTGCCTCTTGTACATGTCTGCAACCTGCGAGCTGGTCGTCGCGTCATCAGCGCTCTTGTCGTCCCGAACTCTAATGAACCGTGGGAATCGCAGCGAGATTCCCCTTCCTTTGCCGGTATCGTCTGCCATGCCGGCAGCGGCCTTGTAGACGGGACTCAGAGACAAATCTGCAGTCTTGACCTCCCAGACAATCTTGGGCTCAAACCAGACATCAGGCTGCTGCTTGTTCCCGTTGTCGTGCAGGTAGTATGGTTTCGGCCTTTCGATCTCAAGCTCCGACAAGAGCGTGTGGAACTCCTCGAGGTTTACTTCAGAGAACCCAGTGCCGATATTGCAAATGGTTTCGTAGTTCTGTGAAGAGGGATTGTAACATGCCAACAAGAAGGCGCCGTAGCCTCCAGTACGTTTTCCACGGCCATGGTAGGCCCCAACGACAACGAGGTCGAGTGAGTCGCCGATGCCGGCGAGGTAGTCTTTTTTGACCTTGAGCCAGTTTCGACTGCGCTTGCTGGGCTCGTAGCCGCTTTCTTCGCCATCGAGCATCTTGACCATGAGGCCTTCGCAGGATGCTTTGACACTCTCGTCGAGGAAAACTTGTATTTGTTCAAGATCATTGGCGTCGGCGTAGGTTGCGAATGTGAATTCTCCTTCAATCTCGGTGAATGACTCGTGCATCAGACGACGACGCTCTTCAAGTGTTTCTTGGCATAAAGACTGTGACGAGATGTATCAGTATTTATCGGTGAGTGAGAAGGCAGGGAGCTCAAATACCTTGCCATTCAGGAATAGCAGGTCAAACGCAAAAACGCAGACTTTCACCTTGACCTCTTCAATCTTCACATCCTTCTTCTTTCTAGTCATCAACTGCTGGAACGGCAGCACTCTCTTCTCTTCCTTATCCCATGCTACTGCCTCACAATCCAACACGAAACTCTCAACACCGGGTTTTACCCATTTGTCGAGAACCGAAAGAATATCCGGATACTTCTTACTCAGATCCTCAGAGTTACGTGAGAAGATCTTGGTGATACCCTTGGTGGAAGATGTTGTAGCAGATATGGAGGTCGCAGGATATGAAATTGAAGAGTCGGGAGATACAAAGTGGATTTGTGCGCGCTCCCCGTCGTATTTATATTCACAAGTAAAACGTTTGTTTTCGAAGCGGTCAAGGACTTCAGAGATGGACTTAGTAGGTTTAGCCAACATAGGTTTTAAGGGAACACCTAGCACCGAGTTAGTACACACCCCGAAAACCGATTAAGAAAAGGCAATTGTACCAGGCTGGAGCTTGCAGTGATCCTTCAGGCTCATCAAGCCATATTTCATCATCGCAGGAATAATAACGTCGTAACTCGGCAGTTCACTGCACTCTCGTTAGTAGTGTAGCTGCGACCACTCAATTGGCAGACATACCTGAAAACACTTCTCAGTTTCAACTCTGCCTCAGTCAACATCGAGACACTGGCCTTTTGCCCCTTCTGTTCCATTTCATGCACAATCCCGGCCTGACTTAGGGCAACAATAACAGTATTCTCCGCCAACCCGGTCCTTAGTTTCCCCTCCAAACCACGAACCAAATACTTTGCTTCATCGCCCTTAGCAGCAGCTAGCAATTTCTTGATACCCGCGACTTTTCGCCCCTGCCCACCTTCGCCTTTGATGGTTGCAATCTCAAGGAGACCCTGATGCACACTTTTCACTGTCAATGGCCTTGGCTTAAATAGTGTTCCCTGCTTGTTCCTACTCTTCATGGCCACCATTCCAAGATCTCCAGTTTCATTTTGGTCTTCCCGAATCATGGCCATACTCCGTCCACAGCTTTCACCAATGGCTTTCATAAGTAGACTCTCCCCTATACCCAACTCGACTCCTTCATAGTCCGCCGCGAGCTTATTAATCATCAAATGAATGACCATCAATAAATCATCTGGGGTCAATCGCAGCACCTGACGCAGAAATAAAGATGCATGGGATAATTTTTCAAGTCTCTTAGTCGTTCCCTCGACAAGGGTAAAGGTTTTGACCAATGCAGCATAAGGAGTTGGTGTACCAGCTGCCCAGTCAGGGAATGGATGTGACGGAGCTTTCCCGGAAAGTTGCTTTGCAACAACTTGCCGGGCCTTGGCTGCTAGAGCTGGCTTCATATCATCATCAGAACCCACTTCAACCTCTTCCTCCACAGCTGATTTGGATCCTTCATCTAATTCCTCAACTTCTTCCGATTTGACTTTGCTCTTCTTCGGAGATGCTGATCTCTTCTTTGGAGATTCAGAATTTTTACTTCCCGGTTTCCTCCCACGCTTCTTAGCAGGTTTATCGTCATCATCTTCCATCATATGGTCTGGTTCTTCACTGGCTTCCTTCACTGGTGTCTTCAGTTCTTTGGGGGTTGGCGGGGCTTTCTTGGGGGTCTTTGTCTTGGTTGAACGCTTATTCCGCTTAGTCACTGGTTCATCGTCTTCCTCTTCAACTTCTGAAGCTGCTTCCTCAGGCTCGTTTCTCATAGGTTTTTTGGCCTTTTTCTTGGGCTCCTGGGGCGTGACTTCTTTGGGATCTTTGATAGATAGTCGCTTGCTCTTCCTAGCTATCAATTCATCATCTTCATCTTCTGCCTCAGATTTGATCTTTGCCACAGATTTGATCTTTGCCTCAGATTTGATCTTTGCCTCAGATTTGATCTTCGTTTCCTTCTCTTTTGGCTTTTGGGATTCTTTAGTGGGCTTCTTGTCCTTTACCGGTGATGAGCGTTTGCCGCGTTTTGTTACTGGCTCCAAGTCTTCTTTCTCGGAGGCGGACTCCGGTTCTTTTTCCGCCGCTTTTGAGGGTTTGCGGCCACGTTTTTTAGAAGCTGTGGATGTGCGTTAGAATGGTCAATGCCGACGAATCGCAGGAAAATGTTTTCTAACCAGTGGTTTTATCGGTTTTCTCGGGGGCCACATCCTCAGCTTCATCGGTTCCGGCCATTACAGCATCGCCCTCGTCGTCTCTAGCTACCTCCGGAGCTGGCTCAAGCTCCTTGTCGATGCCCTTATCTTCCATATCTTTCCCTGCCGCCTCCACGGCATCCTTTTTGGGGACCTTAAGCTTCGTCTTTTGCTGTACTGGAGGCTTCGTTCCAGCAGGTAAGGTGAAGAATCTCCTATACCATATGTTAACTCAAGGCCCCAGAACAGGTGAAGATGTGCGGAACCGAGATAGGCAAAAAGAGATATTAATCACACCCCAATGTCAGTTGCTTCTTCGCGTACCCGAGAGTGGCTTGTTTCGGCGGCATAGTCCCGATCCTCGATATCGCGTTTATACGTAGTGTACGGGTGACTAGATTTGCACGCGAAAGGAGAAGAGTAATATTGTGGAAAGCCACAACGACGACTGAGAAATGGGTGTGGGCTACAAATGGTGGTGTGCGTGCGCGTAGGTCAGCGACGTGGGGGCCCTGCAAAGTGACGCGACTGGCTGGAGCAATTAGTGAGGGGGTTGGTCGACGCGTTTTTTCGTGTTACAGCGATACATATGTGAGGTTGGCACTTAATGATAAACATTTTCTTGGCAATCTAGAGCAAAGATGTCATACAAACATCAGCACTGTACGCCTGTCCCTGGAGTACATACGTAGTAATTCTGGTCATTCAGGTAAGGTCTTCTTATCAAAAGAAACTTTAAACCCAGGGGAGCACTTGCTTGACCCTGGCCCGTCCCCAACCCCGTAAGCCCCCCCCCCCCCCCCAATGCACTCGTGCAACAGAAGGAAATTAAAGGTAAAGTCTTAATCATACCTCTAGGTCGAGGGCCCATAAAACGTCAAATAACCAAAATTTAGTTCTTTGGAAGATCCTGGGTTTCCTGCACTTGACCTACTAATAGTTGCGTGAATATAGAGTATAGTTGTCCATTATGATATAATCGTTTCACTTATTTGTACACGTATGTACATAAATCTCGGAATCTCGCTCTCGCCAAGGATACGTTCTCTTGCAAAATTAACTGACATTCAATCATTGACCGACCTCTTCTACAGACTGGTTACGACGCACATTCAAGTAGAAATCCAGGTACATGCCTAAATGTGTTCTTGTAAATTGGTGATAAATGCAGGCCACTGCTTGTAAGCTCTTCATGATCCTCTCAGTGCGATGTACATCCAAGTACTAACGTCGATAAGGAGTGTCCGTCACAGAATATCACTCGGTTATCGAGAGAAACGAAAGTTTGGGCACCTCAATACCTCCATGTACACACTCAATGGAGTGTAGGATTCTGCATGCGTTAAATATCCATAATCTGATATACCCAGCATGGCTGCTTTAATGCGCGGGGCACAACCGATATTGGGGATCTGGTAGTACAGCATATCCGCCCGAAAATGAACGGAAGTCCGCGCCGAGGAGAGCACTGATGTTCTCGCTTGTTTGCAAGCTGATAGATAACAAGGCTCCGGAAGTTATTTGGCTCCTCCCCTCTTTGCTTGTTGCTTGTGCAAGGGTGGTGTGTGATTTGTAGTTTGAACCTTCTACACCTACCTATGACCTGGCGAATTGGATGAGATGAACGAATTAAAGATCCGCCGGAAGCCCACATGATGTGTTCTGCAGTTGCCGATTACTGATTTACCATGTGTAGTACGTTCAAACATTTTTTTGTTTCGAACGGCCATTAATTACAGATTCGAGACACTGTTCTGGGTATATGAGAGAAATGCGGGGGTACAAGAGGCATAAGCCGCAGTTTGTACTGAATCATGTAGATACCTCAGGCTGAATAGAGGGTGCGTGTGTGGGGGCTAGGAGCACCATAAACATGATATGCGTTATTGAAAACAAAGTGATAGTAGAGTCGCTTGACCAAAGCCACAGTCTTATATCCGGTGTAATATTGTATCAAGGCCGCTTAAGCGCTTGGAGGGTCTGTGGAATCGAAACATACTTGCATCATAGAGACAACGGCTATATAAGAGGAACGAACAGTCAGATAAACATAGCAGAGATAGGTTTATGAACATATTTACCAAGTTAAAAAGGTCCGCCGTTGTCCCCTCAAGTATCTATCGTATCAGTGCTGACAATGAGTTAGGGTGATTGCCATGCCACATAGCGCAATTTTCTCATGCCATTTCAACGCACGAGTCCGACTGCAGCATGTACCCGCCTAAGAATGGGCAAGTAGAGGGCGATGAATCAACCAAGAGTCTTGTCTATATAGTACTACAATACAGTGTTTCTCAAAAATAAGAAGCTAAGCCGTTTTCGGAATTGGACAGGGGTTGGTGACAGGGGTGCAGAGGTGCAGTAACAATAGTATTTTTATGGGATGGGAACAGGTTGGGGAGGTAGGGTAACCAAAGAAAAAAAAACCCGGTTTTCAAGGGATGGGTAACTACACCTTCTTGACCACAAATTTCATTCCCCACCATCTTTCAATTCAATTATCTTAACAAAAAGCATCCATACCTCACAATCATGTCTACTGCCAAATGCTCCCAATGCAAGCATGATAAAGCCATTGCGGAATATGATAGAAACCGCCGCGGTTCTCTTTTGAGATCATGTAGAGATTGTTTGGTATGTATCTCTGCAACAACCAATAGAAACATTATTTGACAATTTGCAGAGAAGACAAGCGGAGATGAGACAAAGACGTGCTTCTTTGCGAGCCGGGCAAACAGTAGAAACATTGGAGGTATGTACTATAATACTTAAAAATTGCATCTTATAAATGCTTACAACTTCTGTTGATAGCTATCCCCACCCAGAGCTGTAAGACAAGGAATACGTTCTGCCTTTCATTGCGCATTTCTCAGTTCCCGTTTACAATGGAAAGAATTGAATATGGGCTCAATGACGATCATTTGCGAGTCCTGTTCAGCTTTACATTGGATTGATGAGCGAATTGCAGCAAGTTCAAAGATAAAGCCACGCTTTGAAATCTGTTGTAAAAAGGGAGATGTTCAGCTGTTACCTTTGCAAGCACCACCTCCGTATTTACAATATCTTTTGCAGTCTCCTGATCCGGTTGCAAGAAGATTTCGGACCAGTATTCGTGAATACAATTCTGCACTCACGTTTACATCGGTAAAATATACTGCTGATCAACGGGCTCCAGCGGAAAGTGGTGGTTTGCAATGTTTTCAAATCCATGGAGAGCTTTACCATCTAATATGTACTACGATAGAGCAGTTTCGCGCTCGGTTGAACCCTGACCCTGATATCTGCGTGGCAACGAATCCGCCCCACCAAATCGCCCGTGGTCAACCAACAGCGGCCAATGCCCAGTCAATCAAAACAAAATGTAGGAGTATTAAATTATATCTTCTATATTGTACCTACTGGAATACACTTTAAGGGGTACTTTGGTACATGTATCTTTGGTGCAGTTCCCTGCTGGCACGCCGGCCCATAACCCTAACCCTGACCTCTGTGTGGCAACCAATCCGCCCCACCCAGGCCGGTCAAAACCCGGATTAACACCTGGGCCGGTCAACACCCGGTCAACAGCCGGGCCCATTCAATTAAAACAAAATGTTGGAATACTATAAATAGGGACTGCCCCCCCCCCATCCCACCATCTTTTAAAACAATTCTGATCAACGAAAAACAACAATGAATTCCATAACGTACCGTAAATGCAAACGGGAGAAACCTCTTGAAGATTACGATCAGGATAATGAAGGAGAACCACGTAAATCATGTCGTACATGTTTGGTATGTATTGTTGAATCTTTCCTGTTGACAGTTATACTTTGCTCTAACAAATTGTATAGCAACTAGAGAGAGAACGAAGAACAGCACGTAGAGCCGCAAGATTAATGGAGGAAGAAAATAATATAGAGGTATTACGATTTTGGTTATTGAATATTTTTTCGGATGGTTTCTAACAGTAATCCAGCTCCGTCCGGTTTTACCAGTTGCAGCCCCCTCTCCAATGGCATTTCTATCTTCCCGAACAAAATGGCCACTATTAATACTTGGGCGTATGACAATTGTTTGCCAATCATGCAAAGCTTTGCATTGGCTAAATGAACGTTCAAGCTGCACCGGGAGCTCAATTCAAACACCAATCTTTGAGAATTGTTGCAAGAAGGGAGACGTTGTACTTGAAATTCTTAAACCCCCTTCTGATTATCTGAAGTACCTGTTGGAATCTTTAGAAACTGTCCCAAGAAACTTCCGGAAACATATACGGGAATATAATTCAGCACTTACGTTTACCTCAGTCAAATACAATACGGATACAAGAGTTGGCGCAAATGGCGGTGGTATAAGTTGCTTCCAAATTCATTGTGAATTATATCATCTTCAGGGACCATTGGTACTAGCAATCGGAGCAACTCCTTCCTTCGCCCAACTATATTTCTACGATCCAGAATATTCGGCCCAAGTACGACATGCAACACATCCAACTTTAGATATTATGGTACTTCAACGTCTCACCATGGAGTTAAATTCAATAAATCCGTTTATTGAATTTTATAAAACAGCAAAAGAAAGATTGGATAATGCTTCAACACAAGATGGGAATGCACGCGTCATACTTAATCCACGTCTTCAATTGATAGTTGAAACAGGAGCAGATAAACGATGAAACAACTTACCTACAAGTAACGAGGTGGCGGTAATAATTCCCGATGAATATGAAGAAGCTGGATTCCGTGATATCGTATTGGCACATAGAAATCCATTGCCAAATCAAATGTTCAGTATCATCAATCCTAACCATGCTGCGTATATGCCATTGCATTACGTATTGCTTTTTCCAAATGGGGATACCGGTTGGCATTGGAGTTTACAACTTCGAGATTGATTGAATAATCGGAAAGTATTGCGTTTAGGTCAACGTGAATTTTATCGGTATGTTTAATATATTATCATAGAAATCATTACTAACTTATTACAAAGCTATTGTATTCATTCACGTTAAACTGAGCCTTTAACACTATTTCAATCTCAAAAGCTTTTTCAGCAATATTTGGTTGACGCATGGGCTGTATGTGATCAGAACAAACTAAATTGGATACGTTTGAATCAATCAAGACTCCGATCTGATTTGTATAATGGCCTGGCCGATGCTATGCTTCAAGAAGACTTCAATCCAGAACAAACCGGACGGAGAATAATACTTTCTAGCAGCTATAGCGGTGGTGATCGTTATATTCAACAATTATACCAGGATTCAATGGCTATCGTAAGACACTTCGGAAGACCTTCACTTTTCATCACATTTACAGCGAATCCTAAATGGTCGGAAATCGTTGCAGAGTTACTTCCAGGTCAAACAGCTGTCGATCGTCCACATTTAGTTGCGAGAGTTTTTCATCTCAAACAACAAAAGCTTTTGCAGGAAATTAAACATAATCATATTTTTGGACGTTACCTCGGATGTGTCTGGACTATTGAATATCAGAAACGTGGTTTACCACATATGCATCTTCTATTATTTTTACACCCTGAGGACAGATTCATGACTTCTGAACGTATTGACCAGATTGTATGTGCTGAATTGCCGGATCCTCAATTTGATCCCGATGGTGAACTCACAGCTGTTATCAAATCATGTATGGTGCATGGCCCATGTGGAGAATTGGCATTCGATTCACCATGTATGATCTCGAAAACACCTGATGCACCTCGACTTTGCACCAAACGGTATCCTAAACAATTTCAGAATGAAACTGTTATACAAGAAGATGGATACCCATTATATCGACGTCGTAATGATGGTAACAACTTTATGGTTCTTAAACCACTACACTAGGTAGCAATAGCTATGCAATATAATTCCGGAAGTTTATGTTAAAGCAAACTCCATTAAATTACACATACTTTCAGCTCACTGGCACTGGCATCGGTACTGTAAAAACCGGACTCACCACACCCACCCGCCCTTCCCAAAATTTGGTCACATTCAAGCTCACACTTCGCCCTGGCGAGGTGGCCAACTGCTAGTCTATATAGTACTACAATACAGTGTTTCTCAAAAATAAGAAGCTAAGCCGTTTTCGGAATTGGACAGGGGTTGGTGACAGGGGTGCAGAGGTGCGGTAACAATAGTATTTTTATGGGATGGGAACAGGTTGGGGAGGTAGGGTAACCAAAGAAAAAAAAACCCGGTTTTCAAAGGATGGGTAACTACACCTTCTTGACCACAAATTTCATTCCCCACCATCCTTCAATTCAATTATCTGAACAAAAAGCATCTATACCTCACAATCATGTCTACTGCCAGGCGTTTTCAGCAACTTTTGTTGAAAACAAATATGCGAGTTAGGGAAGGAGAAGCAAATAAGGAATTTGCCAATTGGCTCTTACAATTATCTTACAATCCACAATGGAACGGTCGAATACGTTTGCCGGAATTCATATCTATTTGCACAACAGTTGAAGATCTCTGCGAGCATGTATTCCCTGCAGCAATAGTCGCATCAGTTCACAGCAATTACACGGCATTTAAGGGACGTGCAATACTTGCAATGCGAAATGATTTAGTTGCGGATTTCAATGATATTGTTCTCAATACACTTACTGGTGAAGCTAAGACATATTATTCTATTGATAGCGCAGACTTCAACAATTCAGAAGAAGCATCAAACGAACTCCCTGCAGAGTATTTGCAAAACCTGAATCCAGCTGCATTACCACCTTCTCATTTGCGATTGAAGATTGGCGCACCAGTTATACTTTTGCGCAATCTATACCCAAAGCAAGGGCTTTGCAACGGGACTAGAATGACCGTAATTCGTATGGAAAGATGCTGCATTGAGGTGCGAATATTGGGAGGCGATAATGATGGTCAAGTAAAGGTTATTCCTCGCATCAAACTTTCTACAACCGAAGGGGAGTTGCCTTTCATCTTAACTCGAAAACAATTTCCTGTAAGATTGTGTTTTGCAATGACAGTAAATAAGGCACAGGGACAATCAATTGACATTGTAGGAATCGATTTACGAACTTCATCTTTTACCCATGGACAATTGTATGTTGCTTTGTCAAGGGCAACAGACGTCAATAAGTTACGAATCTTGCAAACAGAGGAGAGGGGTAGGGAAACTGAGAACATAGTGTATCCGGAGGTACTGTTGAGGGGATGAGAGTTGCACATTATAGAATACCCCTTACTATCTTATATCTTTCAATTGCAGTGAGTTACGGCATTTATTACACTGTTGCAGGAACAAATCAAAGCTTACAATCACATACAACTCCTTGCATAAACTTGCAGAAAAGAAATATCAATTGTAATCAGCTGTAAGATAGTTGCGAGAGTTGCAAACACAAACTTTCTATTGTTAAAGCTATTGGAAATGTTTCTAACTAACTTAGAGTCTGATTACATTTAATCTTCCATTTCGTCCATGATATTCTCAATTGCATCAGCTACTCCCTCCACCGCTATCAAAAGCCTCCGCCATTTTTCCTTAGTAGTGGACCGCTTCCTCTTTGCAACTCTCCTATGCCTGTCTGCACCCTCCGCAGTAACTGTAGAAGAGCTTGCAATGGGTGCAGAGCGTTCGCGAGGTTTAATTTCTGTTGTATATGTTTGTAAGTCACTGTAAACACATTGTAAGACATTGTAGGAATTGTAGATTACATACCAGGACGAAAATTGCAATATTTGCCTTGGCTATTGTAGTGGCAATTGGTGCAACTACCTGCAAACATACCCTGCACAGTTACACATTCAATAAAAGGGCCCTTACCGTCAGTACAACAGTCACAAACTGACTCTGAAAGTTCACCCCTGCTGTATCCCAATATAGCCTCAACATTAACTGGCCTTGCCATATTAAGACCCCTGTCTTCCTTAACCATAACAGGTCTAATCCAATCCATACTAGCCAATTTCTTAGCAGTAGCAGTATTGGTAACACCACCCATTACTAATGCCTCAGCAGCTGACTCATGATACTGAATGGGGTGGGTTTCAGAAGGCTTGGCGTCAAGCCTTCCGGATTTGAAAATATTGGCAGCAGGGGTGCCCGAATTGGAAGGCTTAAGAACCGGCTCGGCGATTTCGGTAGGCTTGGCGGTTTCAGAAGACTTGGCAGAAAGTTCTGCGGTTTTAGAACTCTCGGCGGTTTTGGAAGCCTTGGTAGCCCGTGTGCGCTTGGCTGGAGGCTTGGCACCCGGGGTGCGCTTGGCATGAGGCTTGGCAGGAAGTTTGGCGGTTTTATTGCTCTTTGCAGACATGATGGGGGTAGTAGTAGTAGACATTGTTTGTGGATGATGAATTGTTTGTTGATGACGATGAATGAAGTGGATATGAGAAATTTTCTGGCTCTATTTATTCATCATTGGAGCAACAGTAACCCGCCCAACTTGAAGTTGCAGCTGTAACCCGCCCACTGGCATGTTTCCAGAACCCTCCTTCGCGGTCGCGAAGTGGCCACTGCTAGTACTGTATGTACTTAAGTAGCTCATCGTGCTATTTCATACAGGATGCGATGTACGCCGGAGATGCTGTGCGCATCATTTAGGCGCTTGCGGTTATCGATAGCTGTAGGAGTACTCTAGAGACATTGCCTGAGTGCGGGGTACATATCACACCGGCAGAGTGAACAAACTTGATCCACTTCCACGGAGGCCGCTTATGATGTATGTATGTACATATATGCCGGTGTGTACATGTACTCTAAGGTGACTGTGAATCGCCTGCTGCTGTGTTCGCTGAACTCAATTCACTGCTAGTACCTACAAAGAATCAAGGGAGGGCCGGGAAGGAGGTGATATTTATGCGCTAGGACTTTACCAGGCCTCCGGTTGAAGAAGCAGAGAGCACCTCGACGATCCGAGTATCTGGCGAAGCTTCTGAGCCTCAATCAACGAGACTGAGTTAGATATCGTCATCAACCATCTTGGGACCTGCAGAAACGAGTCTGTCTCTCGCCCGCAGGTTGAGTTTTGAATCACACGGCATATCCCGCGGTCAATCGATACCGCAAACCAGTTGTTTCCATAGCAACAGGGTGGTTCAAACAGGGTGCGCACGAGCCAGGTAAAATGAGGAGATGGGTTTCTATCTGGGCGGGGGGGACAACCACGTTTGGCGCTGCAGGGCTAGAGAACCCGATGGCTTGCCATCCGTTTTATTCATGATGGGTCATCGAAACGAAACGGGTAATACCCAATAAATGAGGCTGATAAAACTGGCGGATGTACTCTAGAGAGTATTCTATTTTATATATCTACCTGGTATCTTCGAGTATGATATTATATTCAACAGACCTGATGCCCAAAATCAACTGTCCATGCAAGGAAGGAAAGGAAGCAAATAAAAAACTCTGCTCAACACCAGAGAGATATTTGCGCGAGTAGGAGTACTTGGTGTATACTTGGCTTGACCGGACCCGGAATTGCCGCCGAAGTTCTCCTTCGGGCTGTAGGAAGTGACGTGTCTATGTTGAGAGCTTCACGGTCTCACATGATGTTGACCGGTTCGGTCCTCCCTGCTTGTTCCGGCATCTCCAAGAGGGGTTGAATTGATGGGTTGCCCTGTCTTGATGCAACTGAGTAAAAGATCTGTATCGTGTGTGGGGAGCTACAGTATTTGCAATGTCATAGGTAGGGATGGTGTGGCGTTGGGGTTTGTGAGATGCGCTTGCTTCGGAACCACAGTCAATCAGCTGGTGAAGGAAGAGGTGAGACGGAAACGCAGAAATGATGGAAGTCTTTGACATATCATCTTATTGATATCCTCTGAGATGATGTGTAATGTTTGTGGAGTTTGCTATATGTAGTAACTTGATCATGTAGTTCCTACATTGAGTGCCACTCTGATGATATTTACCGGTGCTTGGAATAACTTTTGGATATGCCCTTCTGGAGCAGAATAGATTACCTACTCTCCAAGTCTATGTATGTACCTATCGCATGCAGAAGGGAAAACGCAAACCCCGCAACATTCGATTTGCTGCGTGGGGAGAGAGAGTGTGAGAACTGAGTTTCCAGGCATCGTCAGACCGCCCAACCCTGCATACTTGCAGCCCCCTGTCAACGCACGAGGTCAGGTAGAAAGAACACAGTCGGGCCAACCCCACCACTCCGCTTGTTCCTCCAATCCCCTCTTCAAGAGTCTCCTTCTCTTCCCCCTCCCATTCGAGTTTCCTGCCTGCAGCATTGCTTCTTTCAACTGGTCATATTCCCATTGGTTTTTCAGTTTCCTCCTTTTCAGAGGCTGCATACAGTGTCATCAAGTGTTGCTTTGCTTCTCCTGGAAGGTATGTGGTGACTAGACCATTTATTCGCAGCTCATCTCTCTCCCTACATTCTTACTCGTGCACACGGTCCACCAAAATACATCGTGCATTTCTGATGTCACTGCTATGCCAATGAGGACATTTCACTAACCAGCATCGGCATAGCAGACCTGTAGTTACCAAGAAAGGCAGTAAACAGAACGAAACGAAACGACGAATCCGCTGTCACAGGGCAAGTGGAACCAGGCGGAAAAAAAAAAAGAACAAAATCACACCAATTCATCTCGGCATCTCCTCCATCATCTTTCCCTCTTCACCAGAATCTGTACCTCGAAATCTCTAAAATCTCTAAAATCTCTCCAATCTCTTCTACATAACCATGACTTCTACCGTTGAACCCACGGATTCCGCCGAGAAGGTTTGATTTCCACCGTTACCTATTTATTTGTTTAAAACTAACATGATATGCACACGAAGCCTGTCCTCGAACCTATCTCTACATCTACCGATTTCCATTCAACAGAGGTTACAGAAAACCAATCAAAATCACATAATGCCAAGAATATTGGCACAACTACGCCTGAGGTTGAGGGAGAGGAGCAACAGATGATCGCGGCCGTAGATGACTATCCTACAACACCCGTATCAGCAACAGATCCTAAATCCGATTCCGTATTACGGTTGACAGAAACCCCAGAGACCAAGACAGAAGAGGCGCCACTACCCCCATCTTCATCAGTAGAACCGTCACCCTTCATAAGCTCGAAGGAAGCTCAAGAGAAGGCTCTTCCGGAAGAAACTGCCTTGGAAAAGGTAGAGGTAGAAGAGGATCAGAAGTCACAACAAGAGACAACAGGGTCATCAGTCGAACTTGGAGATGAGCCTTCTAGAAATAAAGGGCAGAATGAAGGAGAGCCAGAAACCCGGACGCCATTAGAAACAACAGATCAGCCACAAACTGAGGGACCCCCAAAAACAGAGGTGCAGGGAGAGCCACTTTCAGTTGATGCTAAATCTGTGAGTCTCGACGTCGATACACGGGAACACAGCGAGAAGGATATTCCGGAAGTGGTCGTGGAGTTGACCGCTGAAAATCAACCAAGCCATGGTGACGACCTTGGGCCAGATTCTACACCAGGACAGAAGGATGCATTTGAGAAGCGCAAAGCTGATGCCGAACCCGATGTGCTTCTTGTCGTTGAAGAACCTTCAAATCCTAAAGTTATTCCAAACGAAGATAACGCCGTCGAGTCGACAGAAGCAGAGAAGAAGGGCGAGCTTCCCACTACAGAAGAAGAAGAACGAAAAAGGCAGGCGGAGGTCGAAAAAGTTACTGCTGCTGAGGTAGCCCGCATCAAGGCTGAAGAGGAGGCAGAAGCCGAACGCCTGCGGTTCGTCGAAGAGGAAAATGAGCGCGAAAGACTTGCGGCGATCGAAGCCGCCCGGGTTAAGGCGGAAGAGGAGGAGGAGGCAGCTCGAATTAAGGCCGTAGAGGAGGAAGCCGCTCGCGTGAAAGCCGAACAGGAGGCTGAAGCTGCCAGGGTCAAAGCCGAGGAGGAGGAAGCCGCCCGCGTTAAGGCTCAGGAGGAAGAAGCCGCCCGCGTCAAGGCCGAAGAAGAGGAAGCTGCCCGTATCAAGGCCGAAGAAGAGGAAGCCGCCCGCATCAAAGCCGAAGAAGAGGAAGCAGCTCGTCTCAAAGCAGAACAGGAGGCTGAAGCTGCCCGTATCAAGGCCGAAGAAGAGGAAGCCGCCCGCATCAAGGCCGAAGAAGAAGAAGTTGCCCGGATCAAGGCCGAAGAAGAGGAGGCCGCCCGCATCAAAGCAGAGCAGGAGGCCGAAGCCGCCCGCATCAAGGCTGAGGAGGAGGCAGCTCGTCTCAAAGCAGAACAGGAGGCCGAAGCTGCCCGCATCAAGGCCGAAGAAGAGGAAGCAGCTCGTCTCAAAGCAGAACAGGAGGCTGAAGCTGCCCGGATCAAGGCCGAAGAAGAGGAGGCCGCCCGCATTAAAGCAGAGCAGGAGGCCGAAGCCGCCCGCATCAAGGCTGAGGAGGAGGCAGCTCGTCTCAAAGCAGAACAGGAGGCCGAAGCTGCCCGCATCAAGGCCGAAGAAGAGGAAGCAGCTCGTCTCAAAGCAGAGCAGGAGGCTGAAGCTGCCCGTATCAAGGCCGAAGAAGAGGAAGCCGCCCGCATCAAAGCAGAGCAGGAGGCCGAAGCCGCCCGCATCAAGGCTGAGGAGGAAGCCGCCCGCATCAAAGCAGAGCAGGAGGCCGAAGCCGCCCGCATCAAGGCTGAGGAGGAAGCCGCCCGCATTAAAGCAGAGCAGGAGGCCGAAGCCGCCCGCATCAAGGCTGAGGAGGAGGCAGCTCGTCTCAAAGCAGAACAGGAGGCTGAAGCTGCCCGTATCAAGGCCGAAGAAGAGGAGGCAGCCCGCATCAAGGCCGAAGAAGAGGAAGCAGCTCGTCTCAAAGCCGAAGAAGAGGAGGCCACCCGCATCAAAGCAGAGCAGGAAGCCGAAGCCGCCCGCCTCAAGGCCGAAGAAGAGGAGGCAGCCCGTCTGAAAGCGGAACAGGAAGCCGAGGCCGCTCGGATTAAGGCCGAGGAGGAAGAAGCTGCTCGGATCAAGGCTGAGGAAGAAGAGGCAGCCCGTATCAAGGCAGAGGAAGAAGCTGCCCGTATCAAAGCGGAACAGGAAGCCGAAGCCGCTCGCATTAAGGCCGAGGAGGAAGAAGCTGCCCGTATCAAGGCCGAGCAGGAGGAAGCTGCCCGAATTAAGGCCGAAGAAGAGGAAGCTGCCCGAATCAAGGCCGAGCAGGAAGCTGCCCGAATCAAGGCCGAGCAGGAAGCCGCCCGCATCAAGGCCGAGCAGGAAGCCGCCCGCGTTAAGGCTGAGGAGGAGGAAGCCGCCCGCATCAAGGCCGAAGAAGAGGAAGCTGCCCGAATCAAGGCCGAAGAAGAAGCTGCCCGTATCAAGGCCGAAGAGGAAGCCGCCCGAATCAAGGCCGAGCAGGAGGAAGCTGCCCGTATCAAGGCCGAAGAAGAGGCGCGCATAAAGGCAGAGCAGGAGGCTGAAGCGGCCCGTATCAAGGCTGAGGAGGAAGAGGCAGCCCGTCTCAAAGCGGAGCAGGAAGCTGAAGCGGCTCGCATCAAGGCCGAAGAGGAAGAGGCAGCCAGAATCAAAGCTGAACAGGAAGCCGCCCGCATCAAGGCCGAGGAGGAAGAGGCGGCCCGCATCAAAGCAGAACAGGAGGCTGAAGCAGCTCGAATCAAAGCTGAGGAGGAGGAAGCAGCTCGTCTCAAAGCAGAGCAGGAGGCTGAAGCCGCCCGTATCAAGGCCGAGGAAGAAGAGGCAGCTCGCATCAAAGCCGAAGAGGAAGAAGCGGCCCGTCTCAAAGCGGAGCAGGAAGCTGAAGCAGCCCGCATCAAGGCTGAGGAAGAGGAGGCAGCCAGAATTAAAGCCGAGGAGGAAGCCGCGCGAATCAAAGCAGAAGAAGAGGCTGAAGAGGCTCGTCGCAAAGCAGAAGAAGAGGCGGCTAGAATCAAGGCCGAAGAAGAGGAAGCTGCGCGCATCAAGGCCGAGGAGGAAGCTGCTCGTCTCAAAGCAGAACAGGAAGCCGAAGCCGCTCGAATCAAAGCCGAGGAGGAGGAGGCAGCCCGCGTCAAAGCAGAGGAGGAAGCAGCCCGCATTAAGGCCGAAGAGGAAGAGGCAGCCCGCGTCAAAGCAGAGGAAGAAGCGGCCAGAATCAAGGCAGAGCAGGAAGCAGAAGCAGCTCGTATAAAGGCAGAGGAGGAAGCCGAAGCAGCCCGCATCAAAGCCGAAGAGGAAGAGGCAGCTCGCATCAAGGCCGAAGAGGAAGAGGCAGCCAGAATCAAAGCTGAACAGGAAGCTGAGGAAGCACGCATCAAAGCCGAAGAGGAGGAACGTGAGAGGCTTGCTGCCGCCGAAGCTGCTAGGATCAAAGCTGAAGAGGAGGAAGCCGCCCGCGTCAAGGCTGAGCAGGAAGCCGAAGCCGCCCGCCTTAAGGCCGAGGAAGAGGCAGAGGCTGCTAGGATCAAAGCTGAAGAGGAAGCTGAAGCCGCTCGTGTTAAAGCAGAGGCTGAAGCAGCAGCTGAAGCCGAGCGCCTGCGACTTATCGAAGAGGAGCAGGAGCGAGAGAGACTTGCTGCAATTGAAGCCGCCAGGATCAAAGCTGAAGAAGAAGAAGCTGCCCGTATCAAGGCCGAAGAGGAAGCCGAAGCAGCCCGCCTCAAAGCAGAGGAAGAAGCAGCCAAAATCAAGGCCGAACAGGAAGCTGAAGAAGCACGCCTAAAGGCTGAGGAGGAAGAGCGCGAGAGGCTTGCTGCCGCCGAAGCAGCCCGTATCAAGGCTGAAGAAGAAGCCGAAGCCGAACGCCTGAGACTTATTGCGGAAGAGGAAGAACGCGAGAGACTTGCCGCTATCGAAGCTGCTAGGATCAAAGCCGAAGAAGAAGAAGCTGCCCGAATTAAGGCCGAAGAAGAGGCAGAGGCTGCCAAGATCAAAGCTGAGGAGGAAGAAGCTGAAGCAGCTCGCGTCAAAGCAGAAGCAGAAGCTGAAGCCGAACGCCTGCGACTTATCGAAGAGGAGCAGGAGCGCGAGAGACTTGCCGCTATCGAAGCTGCTAGAATCAAGGCGGAGGAAGAGGAGGCTGCTCGCGTTAAAGCAGAACAGGAAGCTGAAGCCGCTCGTGCTAAAGCAGAGGCAGAGGCAGAAGCAGCAACTGAAGCCGAACGGCTGCGACTTATCGAAGAAGAGCAGGAGCGCGAGAGACTTGCTGTCATCGAAGCTGCGAGAGTTAAGGCCGAAGAAGAGGCAGAGGCTGTCAGGATCAAAGCTGAGGAGGAAGCTGAAGCTACTCGCGTCAAAGCAGCAGCCGAAGCCGAAGTCGAACGCCTACGACTTATCGAAGAGGAACAGGAGCGCGAGAGAATCGCTGCTATAGAGGCGGCCCGCATTCAGGCCGAGGAAGAGGAGGCTGAACGTCTTCGACTTATGCAAGAGGAAGAGGAACAGGAACGACAGGCAGAAGCCGAAAAGCTCGCCGCCGCTGAGGCTTCACGAATTCAGATGGAGGAGGCAGCACAGGCCGGACGTATCAAGGCTATTATTGAAGAAAACGTTGCTGAGGAAGCTTCTAATATTGAGCACGACAAGAAAACGATCACTGAAAATGATCAAGGTGCGTTCAACTTCCTTGTACCCCATAAATTAATGTTTCTGACAGCAATAGGCAAAAATGTTGAAACAAAAGTGGTCGAGCCAGGTATATTTGTCGACAAATCGAGTGGAGAAACCATTATCCCCGAGGATTCTGATTCGAACGCTGGTCTCATCGCTGCTTCTGTGCTTGCGGGCGGTGCTGCTCTTGGTGGCGGTGCTGCAATCATTGCTCTTGCTTCCAAAGACAAGCCATCTTCAGAGACCGATACCACAGTACCTATTGATGGTGGTAAGCAAGGAGCGTTGGCTCAAGATGACGAGGAGGTGATCATCGAACCGGCTCCTCAGGCTGGTACAGGGCCAGTTCATGGAATTATCATTCCAGAATCGAGCGTCAAGCAAGCAGTGAAGGATGCGGATACCCCAGTGGCTCCAGCGATTGTCATTTCATCTCCTCCAACTTCACCCACTGTAGAAACGCATCAAGATGCAGATGATCGTACTGTAGAGCTTATTAAGCCTACCCCCGGCGTTTCAATTGACACGCCGACGGCCAGCACAAGTGAGCGAGAATCAGGTGAGATATTCTCTCACCCGGTCTGGAACCAGTCAATTACTCCCTTCTTACACTACTCTCTAGAAAACACCCCCGAAGGTGTTAGGCAAAGGCTTGCCGAATCCAACGCACGTAGCCGGCCCGGCAGCAGTGGCAATGATACACTCTCAACGAAGCATCAACGGAACGTTATGCAAGCGTTCTGGAATATGATGCTTTTCGGGTGGCTTGGTAGCCTTGGTGATTTATTCGGGTTTGGAAGACAGAAGAAACAAAAGTCTAGCAAGGCGACGACTAAGGCGACGACTTCTTGAAACGCAAACTCTGTGAGTAGGCGATATGATAGTCCACTTGTGACTGGGGTGTGTGTGCTTCTTCTGTAGCATTTCCTTATATCATCCTGTTTCGTGCATCTAAATTTTACTAGTATTCGTGCCTTGAAGTCTCTATGCGGAGGGAATTTCCTTTGTTCTTTTTCTTGATACCTTTCTTTAAATTTTACTTTTCTAAGTGTCTAGCTAGTATACGGTTCATTTGCGTCCGGGATTTAAAGGGCGTCTTTTTACTTGCAATTGATTTTCTTATGGTCTCAGTTTCTTATGATTTTTTCTTTAATTGGATGGTTGATGTCTCAGGCATGCGTTTAAATATTGCAGAGGGAATAATGTGCACTAGAGTGTGACTTTTAACCCTTACAGACGAATATTATTGCCGTATCTGGTCTATAGTGCTGTACGCACTTGCTACAATACTGGTTCTATTCGACATCTAATATGGATTATTGATACAGTAGCTGTTGATAAGTTTTTGCTGTACCGCTTGGTTCCTGCGTGGCAAGAGTTACATGCAAATCATATTGGGGGAGGTACATTTATGTTTAGGCTAGGGACCTCAAAGTGGAGAATAATAGGCGAGTGATCTACCATGAGTCCAATTGGAAAAAGTACCGACTTGTGTATTTTAGCGCAACAAATATTATTTACGAGAAAAAGGTACGTACTACATAGGTGTAGACTATGAAAAGAGGATAATGTAGGAAATAGTTTCGCGGAATCCGAAAACACAGTACATGGCTCGTAATTCCCGTCAGTGATTGAATATATTTTGTATACCGCGGGCATCCTGAGGAGCTTTATCCCTTCGTCTGTCGAAAATGCTACTCACCCTAAAGTTAGTGGCCTTTGCTCACATATCTCTTTATCTTTCTTATCAATGGCTTAATCTTTCCCCAAAATTACGACCCTCTATTATATATAAGGAGGGTAGCATCAATATAGACGAAGGGATAGATCTAGCGTGCGGGCATGAGAGTAAAACACAGTCTCTCCTCGATATACTGAATACCAAGTAAGCCACAAATCTGTCTATGTTCGAGTGACTGGGATTTGGTGATTCTTAGTATCTGCAATTTCCATCTAAATCGGGCGAATTATATACGAATAATTTGCTGTATGGAGCGGAATTTTTTTAAAATATGCAGGCCCGTTAGGACCGTTAGAGTACATACATACGGTATAGGGAACTGTTTCGATGAGTTCAATGGTTGGTCTCTAGCTACATATACGTAGCTGCTATGGGTTCATTTAAATTTGAGGCAATTAAGCTCGGGGCTCCTTGGGCAATTGGGCCATGCATGTCGTGAACGTTTTGCTATTACCGATTCGCAGGTAAAAATAACTGACTTATTAGAGCAAAGAACTCGGCATACTTACTCGTGTTAATTGCTATTGCATACCATACAAGATATTAGGCTTGGCACATCTTTGTATGGCATGCAAGTAAATTTTCACGTGTGGTTTAGGGTAATGCAAGCTGGAGGGTAACTCTGCATGCAGTATGTAATCCTGCTGAGTCAAGCTACATGTATGTACATAATCGATACGAAAGAAATTCTGTCATCGCAACTTTCACACCGTCTCCTGGAGAAAACATCCTACGAAATCATATGAAACAAAATAAATACATCAACTTTAATTCCATCACACATACATATAGCTATCAACCCGGAACCCAAATCTCAGCTTCCTTTTTGAGCAAAAAGTCCTCATGTCTCTCCCACCATCCACAATTCGTATCAAGCGCAAGCTTGACGAAGCCCCTGTTCAAGCTCTCTGTAACTATCTCTTCTTTCTTATGTAGAAGACCTAAATGTTTCTGACCTCTCTATCCAGATGTCGACCGCTCAGAAACAAAGCGTCAAAAAGTGAAGAAGGACTTCGTCTTCCGCCTTGCTCGTACCGTTACCTCACCTACAGATCCTGCGCCGCAGCCTTTCCAACCACAGCACCACCCACGTAATAGTCTCAGCGGAATCCCCCAAGTACGGAGCACACTTACTCCCGCCTCGCGCTCGAGGCCATCTTCACCAAGCCTCGGCGTAGCTAGAACTTTGGTCTCAAGGACTCCCTCTCCAGGCCATGGTATTGGTCCCCTTCCAGCCGGTTCAAAGTTGGCACTCGACACGAGTGATATAGGATCTTCACGGAAGTCAAAGTTTAAGGTTCCTTTGAGCGCTATCGCGAGGGCAGATTCGTACGAAAGTGTAAATAATGTCGAATCTCCAGCAACCATTGCATCTACAACCCCTATAGGCGAGAAAGGAAAGGTTCCAGCTATTGCGCATTTAAAATCCTCAGATGATAGTGAGGGTCCGGTTCGAAAAGGCACGTTTGGAGATGACAAAACACATTCCTTGTCAACAAGTCCGCCTGAGAAAGGCGCTAAGACAGCGTCCTCCCCCTCAAGTACGACAGCGGGCAAGCGTAAAGCAGCGGCTGCAGTACGTAGATATCATTTGGCGAAACGACTACGAGTAAAACATCCACATCCATATTCAACTGCTGCAACACGCCGTAGTGCCATATTTGTCCGGGAGTCTTCAGAACCAATTGACGAAGATGCTCCAATGGAAACACATACAGTGGAAGAGGAAAAGCTAGCCGATCAAAAAGAGGAGCCCGTCAAAATCCGGAAACGGCCGCGAACTCATCCAGAAGAGAAAAAAAGAATTGAGGAGGAGAAGCGAAAACTTCAGCAGGAAAAAGAAAAGGAAGAAAAGGTCAAGAAACAAGAAACAAATACTAAGGTTAAATTCGAGGAGCAATCGGAATTGGATCCTCTTACTTTGGCTATGCAAAACATGGTGTTTGAATATCTCAATTCAGAAAACAATGATGGTATTCGAAACCTTGTTACTAACCCACCGAGAGGGGCGCCTATGCAGAGCAAGATGCAGGACAAGATCGGAGGTGGCTTGGGGGGTGGTACCTGGAAAGATGTTGATAAGGGGGGGTTTGATGAAGAGTTAGAAGATGAAGAAGGCTTCATCTATGACGTCTATATCCGTGAGGAGGTCAAACCAGAGAATAGTAAGAAAGAGGGCGAAGATTACGGTCTTATTATGTGGGCAATTAAATCAATCCTTCTTGAATTGCATGAGACTAACGTAATAAATATTATAGAATCAACGGAAGCGACGACGAAGAATGGTGGTATGAGGGCGATGACGACGTAGACAGTGATGATGTCTACGGCAGTGATGACGAAGATAGTAATGCAGAAGACTATCACACCAATGACTACCCCGAAGAACCAGCCTACGATTCTGATGATGCTGATGAAGTGGATGAATTCGGTGTCCTGGGCATTGATTCTGCTGATGATGGAGACGATGATGATTCAGATGATGGGGGCATTTTTAAGAGCTGGAATAAGCAGAAAAAGTTTTCAGATGAGGAGGAGTTTGACCTTGAGTATGACGAGGATGTTGACGCGGAAGCAGAAGATATGAGGCGTAAAATGGCAGGAATCTGGGGATACAGGGATGGTGGAAGGGTTACAGGCGGAAGGGTCGTCGTTAGTGGCGACGAGATGGAAGATTGATCCTAGAGGGGATCTGGGGTAAATCGATCGCTTCTCTCAAGGTTATGCTAATGTCCTTTAGGAGTTAAGAACATGAGTTAAAGGTAAAATATTTTGCCCTTCTTGCTGTTTTAATCTGGTATAGGGCTTCTGCATCAGTATGTTACTATTTCGGTTTCTTGACTCTTGTATCAACACTTCCTTTTATATCCCGTTGAGTGCGATACCCTAAATATCGATATACATAAATCTAGCTAATCTAATTAAATAACTACCTTCCTTTTAAAATCCCTATCGCTTGTGCTCTCCCTAGTTTCCAATAATTTCTACGCGCTGGGTAAATGTACATGTAGTTTAGATATCTCGTTGTCCCCGGGCTATAGTTCTTGGGCATTTGCTTGGAGCACACTATCAATAATGTTCTGGAATTTCTCGTTTGGAACTTATAATTGAAGGAAATAACGTGAAAGACAGAAAACTCTACATGGAGGAGGAGTTTTGTCCTGGCTTCCTTCAATTATCGTATTCGAGGGAGACGGCAGGCCGGCTGGGTCTTGCAGCCAACCTAGAACTGCAAGTAAGGCCTACTGCAGTTCCTCGGGAGTGGAAGGCAGTCTGTCCTCACAAAGAGAGTAGCTTTGTGGGGAGGCACAGCTGAATAGTGCACACGTGCACAGTACGTGCATCGCTTAGCAAATCTCTCGTCCTCTACTCTACATAGAATGAATTTCGATCTTCATTGGTGCTGCTCATGCTGTGACACCCACCACTAGAGTATTTACCTACTCTATCACAATGGGCCAGGGATTTTTTTTTTTCATCCCATCAACTTGGTCCCGATCGACAAGATCCATGAGATGTGCGAGCCGTCCATCATGCGGTTGTGCCTGAGCACTCTTACTTACCCGGGTTTGCGTTCTACGTATCGAAACGACGTTCGTGATGCTCAAAAACAAATGTTTCAAAACATACCTATCTTGCAAAAAACCTTTATCTTCTTATCCGTTAGTAACTGAGTGCTATTTGTTTTTCGATTATTTGCCGCTAACATCTATGTCTCATTCATCATTCGTTTATTGGGAACCCCACAGGCTCTGCTGCGGCAAATTGGCTGTACTGCCGGTACCTACATGTAGAGCTAGCATACAAGTCTACTCTCCGACTTTGTGTCGGAAGGGGTCCATCGCTTGAGAGTGCGACATGTGGCTTGCATCTACGCGAGGAGAAAGTTCATTGGCCACAGCTTAACTCGCGAGAACAACCATGCGACCACAGATCATCTAGCGGAAAGATCCCAAGCGCTGTTTCCAAATATTTGAATGATGACAGGTACAAACATGTGTCAGGGCTACCCCCGCTACGTTCGCCCTAAATTAATCACGGTCTGTCAGGCAAGTGTCATCTACCGCATTTCACGGGTGGCCACTCGGGCGTTTCTAAGGCTGACGACGAGATAAGCAATATGTCCAGTAGAGTACAGTCAGTACCTGCTCGACAGACCCTCCATGCGGATTAGAGCGGTGAAGCCTGCCGGTTAGAGAAATTCCCGCCTAACCAAATATTTGGATAGTATTGGTTGAGAAATGGCCTACATGTAGTCTTTTCTTCCCGGCGCCCACAAGGCGAATGATCTTAATTAATCTCCGGAATCAAAAGAAAAAGGCAACCTGCCCATGGCCAGCAGGGATTTTCTGGTTCGCATTTTCTACACCTCTTCTCCAACTACGACTGGTTTTATTTAAGTGATCAAACTCCAGCTTTCGATCCCGAGGAGCTTTAGAAGTTTATATTTATAATCAGGCCTGTCAGTAGTTGGTCTATCTCAGATGATCGCTAGCTGGGCCCAGCTTCTAGGAACAATCAATCGTCATAGGGACACGTTCCATGAAGGAACTATTATACATAATACTGAGGTTTTCCTGCAGCACACTGAATTTTCTTCAAATTCCCAATAAATGAATTATCAATCAAATCAATCTTCAACCCCCCTCCCAATAAGATGTCAGCGCTCGGACACAAGTTATCACTCGGAGGTCGCATGTTCCTTAACCTAGCGAAAGTAATCGTATCCGGTTGCGTATTTTGATCACAATTTCCACGCTCGCTAGTCGTATATACAATCTCTTACACATTGAGGTCTGGTGATCTCTAGTGCTTTCACCATACCGCCTTTATGCTATCTTGATTGGAACGTCCTATACTAAAGATGTCATCTTATGGACCCTGGGATCAAGTTGACGGATATCACGAATGGGTTAATATTCAACTAGCGCGGTAAGAATCGAAGGAAAACAGAATACCAATCTCTTTTGCGATTGTGTCATCGCGAGAATATTAGTTTTGTTTTTTCTTTAAAAAAGCTCCAGGAAAAGCTTTCAGCCTTGCAATCCTCAGCCTTGCTTTGATCTTACCGTCCTGCTTCTCAATGACAAGCTCTCGTGGGCAAACTGCACCGTTCCTAAGATCCCAAATCACGATCTTAGTGCATGATCAGATAAATTGCAATTGCGCGATGTCAGTTTACCCGCTGTAAAATGCACAGGAAAAGGAATGACTCAAGATAAGCGTTCCATAATATTTTCATTTATATTAGAAAGAACTTTTCTAACATTAGTTTCAGGATCACAAATTCTACTCGCATTGGAGCTCCGGAGTCTATGTGCATATTTTTCGGCCGAAAACATATTGGGGCCGCGGCCGGTGTATCAAAAAATTCATGACGATTCGAATGCAATAGATCTAGAGATGCTGGGCATCAACCCCTAGCATAGCCCCCAAGGACTTAGGACAAAATCCCTGTTGATGTTCAAGTTACCTCTCCCACGTTCAATTGAATCTCGGTCCTTTTCGATGACAAGAGCACGTGCGACATCATTGATCGATAGTGACACTTCATGGGGCAATCAATACGGTAAATTCCACAAAAGAAAAATTTTCTCATAAGGAGAACAAATGGTCGGACTGGTTGTGCGCATGAGTCGTTATTGTTATTCGAGCGGGTTTACGGAGCTTCGTATACGAAAACTTGCCTTACTAGTGCATTCATTCTACCGGCTTGACGTAGAGCTAGAGGGAATTGTCAAGCTTTTGATTCCAGAGGTTTATGATCCACAACAATCGTAATCGATAGGTTTTTTCCAGCGGCATATATCTCGGTCTTCTTCGTCCTATCTCCTCAATTGCGTCTTTTTACCCCGAACGTATGTCACGATGATTGCGTTATCCCATTGACCACCCAGCTAGAGAGATACGCCTGATCAGCTGAGTCTTCTGCTTCGACTAAATAACCAAGGTAATTATAGATTACTACCTACCAGAGTTTTGGGGCTGCAATGTCCGTGCAATAGACACACACATATATGGGGAAGATAGGGCACAATAAACGTACATCTTAGTACAATTTGAAAGGAAGCCAGTGCTATCAATTGACCAATAATTAGCTGACCAATAAAAACCGTTAGAACGTCTGATGGAATAACGAGGGCCAACTGTAGGCCAAATACTCCTGATCGATCATAGATCTGGCTAGTTACCAGGCAACTCGCGGGACGGGATGTGGAGACATAAACGTTCTCAATAAAACTAGTACTACTGACATTATGTGCCCTTGGAAATTTCCAAATCCTGCAACATATTAGGCTTAAATTGAACTATCCACCACAACGTACCACCATCCAATTCTTTAAAGCCCTAATTGTCGAAGAGGTTGATTACGCAACTCACTCTTTTTACTATCCCTTGACACTGAGTCTTTGCGATATCAACTCATAATTCGAGAGCGGCATGTCATGCATATTCTCTTTTGGACCAAATTGAACAAGACCCACGAGCACCTCCTCCTCATCATGCAAACCTCTTTGGATCATAAGTTCTCAATTGGAATATGGGGAAGTGCCAAACAAGGAGATATGTATGCCTTATACAAGGCTACATGTGATCAATCGGCCTCGACAAACAACTCTTTTTACATGAATACCAGTCGTCAATAATTTCTTCTTACATTGAAGGATATTCCTACACTTGGCGGTTACCAATAAACGGAACTCACTCGACATATTCATTTAATTGCAAGGCAGACTTGCCTCGAGGACTCTTTCTGAAGCGTGAACCTTCTTGACAAGACTGTGTTGCGTACGAAGGATTGGCCGCCCTAATTTATTCCAGAAAATGGCAACATTTCTTTTGTTGTAGTCCGTGTGCTTGCTAATCGACTGTGTCGGTTTCTCTCTGTGCACCTTACGCCAAATTCTTGTTGAATTACTCAGGCAAAGTTTTCTACATCTCTTTGGAAGCCTAGCGCTGAATCGGGGTTATCTACTGAAAAATCACTTCGATGACCAACCCATGGCTATAGCATATTCTCGGGGAGAGGTGCACGACGGCCCTGAGAATATTAGGTTTCTGGAATCTGCACCAATTCTTTACGGCGCTATATGTCGTCTATCTCCGAGGTGTGGTTTTTTAACTCACAAGTCACGCCGCATCGAGTACCAAACCAGAAGGACGTTTTTGCTTTTGTTTAAAAACTTTCGGCAGAGAAGCAATCTAGAATCAAATCGAAGTGAGGCCGATCGATAGTATAGTGTGATGTGATACGTTCATATAAGACCGTTTCTTTCTAGATCCCGAGCCGAGCCGCGGGTGTAGGGATCCAAGGCTCTGGAAGTTCGTTGTGTGCATAGTGGATGCATACAACGCATATAAACGGACACGATTCCTAGATATCAGAAAACGTCTACATATCTGCAAGATTCAATACTAGCTATATGCGCTGGACCGAAAAGAAATCTGTATTTGCATGTAAGATCTTTGGAGGTTTATCCTGCACTGCAGTAACATCAGCTGAACTATATGTAGCTATACTAGTATTTCGCTGACGTTTTTGAACTGGGCCATTATTGCATACACCCAAAATCATGGGCTTGGCGTATTTTTGTATGGCATGCAATATCAGTCGCGTCCACAAACGTCAGAGAAATACGAGTACTTTATGTATATGCTGATCTGAATCTCAATCCAAATTTCTTTTTCCCTCCCTGCTTTCCCGTCAATTCTCCGAGCGGCGCCCGCAGGATGCAGCGCATGAGAGGCCTAGGCACACAGCCATTATACTCCTGACAGACGTGCTTGTATGTACGTACAGCTAACTACAAGGCAGCAAGCTTTTATGTAGTTTCACGGTATACACTCCATCGTGGTCATGTATGTATGTATCATGAATGTATTTTTCAAACTGACACAGCCCAGCCCGTTTTACAAAGAGAAAAAAAAAAAAAAAAGAGAGAGAAAAAAGGAAACACATAATGCTTGTTCTCGGCCCTGAACAACCGAATATATATATGCTAGTAGAGTACAAGATGCTTCTTCCCCACTAGCATTTATGAAAACCAATACTATCCAACAAACGAAATAATCTTTGTATCGAGGAATCTCTCAAAATAAAACAAAGAAAAACAAGGAATTCTTTCGAAAACGTCATCATTAAAAGATCATAAGATTCGTTTGAAATGAACAAAAGAAAAAGTCATCCAAACCCGCGAATATCCCTCGATTTTTAATATTTAAGCTTGTAATAGGTCTGGATTGTTTATTCGAATTCATGTCTGAGGGCGGGGGTGATATTCAAACATGGGCGGCCATTGGTGTGGTTAAATGCGAGCAAGGCAGGCTGCACATTGTTCGACTCAAGTTTAAATCTTTCCATAGGAGTGTGTTGGGTGAATGAGTTCGAGGTGGTATCGTTGGATGCACTCTCAAACTCTCGATCAAAGTCCGCAATAGACACAGCGGCTTGATATTGGTATTCGGTTGCGAAAGAGCACGTGCAGGACTTAGAAGTTGATATCGGAGGTTGGCGTGGATTGCAGCACTTTCCCTTTGGGGGAGCTCTCAAATTTGATTGTGGAGTATGTGCTCCATACTTGTTGGGGTTGGTAGTGGTGAGCTTAATTGACTGCATTGAATTAGCACGAATACAAATAGGGATTGCAGCAGAGGAAATATTGAAATAAAATCTTATAACATACATCCTTGTTTTCACCAGTGTTGAGGGCTGTGCTCTCATACATGGTACCGCCGCTGTAAAAACAGCTTGTGCCACTAAACCCCCACAATTGCAGTTAGATAAGGGAATTGAGATATGTAACAAAGATCATTTGGGCTGAGTTTGGCTTACCTTCCGCATCCAATATACACCATACTGTTCTGGGGGGTAGTTTGGTTATTGGGGAAAGACATTTTTGAGTTATTTATGCTATATAAGGTATATATAGTCAAGGATGTGTTGCTGAATGTTATTTAATACTTACTTACAGTGTCTCTAAACTCTGGGAACAGGACCTGCCTTAAAAGCCCTTCTGAACGCAGAACGATAGAGTACAAGGCTGTCAGTACTAGGTTATTGCGGATGTAATTCAGACTATGCCAACGCATAAAGCCCCATACTACCCAAAACCTACAGCGACAAGGCAGTTTCACTAGAACAAATTCAACAAATTTGTTTTTTCTAAAATCTTGTCAAATGGCACATTGAAAAGAATATACGTAGTATGGTATTGGAGAGATATCAATATGCAATGTGTGTATTGTAAGGCATGCATAGCATAGAGCTAGTTAATCAGCCTAGTGACTGATTTAATTAATTCCATACATTGAATGATTTGATTCTAGTATCTTTTCGTCGATGTGCATGCTATTATCGTGATCTAGAAGAAGCATACATACGTATACATTTATACTGGCCTATAGCTATCCATGAAGGGGAAATAGTATTATCCCTATACGTGATCAATTGAGTATCATTCACATGAAGCCCGGGTCCTAAGGTGACGCCAAAGCACCCATGGTCAATGTTACCGCTATCATGTGAGAAGTGTAACTCTTTACATTCGGAAGAAATCTAGTGTCATAGCCATGAGGTATCTAAACTTAGCCTCTTGATAGATCTGGTTTTCAATTGCTAGTGCAAATTTGCTTTTCTAGATTTCGCATTACGACGTTGTAAGTGAACTGTAGTGAACTATAGGCGAACTGTAGGTTTTACAAAATCTCCGGCCTCGATCAAAGTAGGCTGGGGTTGCCCATAGTTGCGCAAATACCAATTGATATGGTGGAGTACTACAAGCACACAATGGAGGCCGGAGTGAATACCGGTGATCCCTGTTTTACTTTTACTCTTGAAATGTTCGTACGGTTTAGCTAGATGTTCCAATTAGTGAATTTGTTAACGTCTGATAACCCCTAGTGCGCCCCTGTGCGTTTATGTGGTCATTTCTGAAGGGCCCCGAAACACCCCTGGCATAGTATTTAATGCCGGGAGAAAATTTTCTTCTCAGGAGAGTTCGCCTTAATATGCATTAGAGTATAATAGGGACAAATGATATATCTTGTGAATGATATCAGATGAACGGATAGCCCAACAATAAGAACCTGATACAAAGAGTACAACAGTGCAGCATGTACAAGTGGACCCAATAATTCTCATTTGACCATTATCACATGAAAGAAAAACATCAATTCAATAAGGATATGATTTATTGCGCTAGTAAAGCATTGGGGGTTGATATCGCCCATATTATACTACCTCCTCATAGCAATAGGCTATTTTTCAAAATATGTTCCCCACTCCCACTGAGTGGCATTGAGTAGTACTCAAGTGTCCATACTGCCAAAACAGCAGCCAGTAAATCTTGTCAGCCTGGACAGAACATATGCTATGAGAGTACGAGTACATACATGTATGTATGTTAAGGGTCATGGGGGAAAGAGACAAAGAGCATATATCGACCAGCTGCAGGCCGGTATAGGGTATATTATGAGATCGATCACTACGATTGAAAAGGGTACACATGTCATACTATGACAAGAGACATGATAGGGTATATAATGTGTACTAGATTAACCGCCTACCTCTCAGTTCATGTACAGTGTGCCGTCTTAAGTCGCCCAAGTGAGATAAAAATACAAAGCGGAGAAGGCATACTATTGCAGCATTAAACATACCATCTATGGGGTATGTATACATGATGATCTTTAGCCCGTAGTTAATCCTCAAAGAAAAAAAGCCTAGCTATAGTGTACATGTAATGATCTTTAAAGTGCGGCAAATTTTAAACTACCCGGATCGATGCCCCATATTTTAGTGTAAAAGCTTTCCCGGGATTTCGTTTAACGTTGGGTTGCTCGTCAGGTCCACCAATTGGCCACTCAGGTCGGCAGCTAGCTGCGGCTGCATCACCGAGATCAAAAACCACTGCCATGGGAGAGGATATGCATGCATATGCATGTACCTCGTTGGCTTTTAACCACGATTCATGCGGTTCGGGGCGATACACGCGCAGGAGGCAGAATTAACTGCTGTCAGTCTCTCTGCGCATTGGCGTGGTGGCGCAGTGGTGCAGTTCATGAATCGTTCTAGATCGACCTAGCTATACTGGATATCGCGCTTGATTCAGCGGCAGAAAATTAATGGGGACTATACTTGATTGAATGGCTTGCAAATCATGCATGGACCCACTTCTTTTTATCTTGTGGCGTCGAGCACACGATATTTCTCCTAAGCAGAGGTTTAATTTGCACGATCTGGGAGGGTGGGAAGGTTCACCAGAGACGTACTTCCTCTTGGTCTTATCATGACCCAGTGTAAATCTAAACTCGTAAAGCTTAAGATATTTCTCATTATCAAGTAATAGACCATAGAGTACCCCTCATGTGTGGGTAGATATATATGGGGCCAAACTGTCTAGCTTTGAAATTTCTCTCTTTCTTTTGGACCTAAAATGTTTCGCAGACCTATAGCTAGTATAGTCGCTTCCGCCCCAGAAATCACACAGATTTACACCTGAAAGCCTGTGGATTTGGTTTCCTTTAGGCGGTTAGTCCGAATCACAATGCATGACCGAAGTACCTGATATGGTAACCGTGATCTGTTGAACGCACTTAGTGTTTATACTCTCATAGACCCACGCACCTACCACATGGTAGAGATCCCGAGAGCTCCGCCGGGTAGAGCAATGAATTATCAAACAACCAATCAATCCACCGGCTCCAGGAGTATACGAACACTAAGTGCGTTCAACAGACACCATATCAGGTTCAGTCATGGATTGTGATACAGACTGACCACCTAAGTGATATATCTGCGTAAGCTTATAAGGACAGCTAGCTATATAGCCGCATACAGTTAAGGTGCCATCATGAAGAAATCTTTGGAGATTGTCTCTATCAAGGGGACCAAGGTATACATAGCACGGGTTCGTATGGGTATAAACTTTTAGTCTTATTCTACTAGAATCTACTCGAAATATCTAGACTTTTGCGGGTAGAATGTGGGGGCTGTACCCACGAGCGCAAACAAAATATTTCAAACAATCATTGACTACATGTATGGACCTGTAATGACTAAGACCAGCTTACTAAATTGGCGCTCATACACTAAGCCTTATCAGGAACGAGCTAGTATGAATCACAAAACCCTCTTGTTAGGATTGTTTTAGAAATGCTCATTACATGTAGTTTCCACTAGTGGTATTATGTATACATTTAGTTGCTATGAGGGGATCTTCTTCTCTTCGTTAACCTCCTCGATCATCAAGCCTGAAAAACTAAATAATCTTAAGTTATACTATCTTCAGCATATATATACATGTATATATTATTGCGGCGCGCGCTAATATAATCTAAAAAGTACACACCATACTAGCTATAACCGTATATGTATATCGTTTACCATTCATGTCACCTTCTTCCGGATCGTGAGCTGCCATTTACACCCCTTGGTAGAAGTAGTGACACCATTGCATGGAAAATAGTTGGTCCATGGAAGACGCAGTAGTACAAGCCTAAAACCAGGTACCGCAGTAATTCGCCTCAGCGGACGGTTACACAGACGTCGAAGTTGCCTTTTACAGCGCGTATGAGGGAGGATTAGGGGGTCGTTTTCAAGACAAATGACCAGATCAAGGAATTTAAACGTCAATGTGAGCGTCCGTTGAGACGAATTATTGCGTTAGCACCACGTCGCAATGCACAGGTAAACTCAAATATCTGGACTCGTCTCTGATCCCATCGAGAATCGTTCTGTTTTTTTCGGAATGCGAATAGTAAATGGCAGGTTTATCTACAAAAATACGCAAATATGTATCCATAAAAGTATGATTAAATCTCGGACCGCCGGTGTTACTAATGAAGTTCAGGAAAATATGTATATATAGGGTGCTGAGTCAACTATTTAATTTGGTTGGGATGTCTTCTCCCATATATATAGGATATTGTATAGTTTTTGATTTACTTCAAGTACATACTAGTTCGTAGAATCAAATAGCAGAGTTTATCCCGAATCGAATACAATATTTCTGGCTATACCCAGACCAGTTGTTCAATTGCCATGCACGATACCTATACAGCTGCCCTTAAGGGCTGACAAGACAAGCTGCAGGTTGTTAATTAAGAAAGAAAAAGGAAACTCGTATGTATCTCCACTATAAAAAAACTACAGAGACGGACAATTTAGGTTCATGAGGACAAAAGGCCCTATAGTATTGGAACAGCACAGATGCCCATTCGCAGATTACTGGGGCGGTGATATTGAAATATTCAACCCACCCGCTTCCTCCTTTAACGCAATAATACAGGCTTGTTCCTCGCGCCCCTCTGACAAGAATCGTGCCAAAGGCTTAACCTCCGAGTAAGGGGGTTTAACCTGTATCTTTTTCTCACACCCAGGGCCAAGTAAAGCATCTATATCGTCCAGGAATTGTGCATTTTGAAGTGCTCGTGAGAGTGTGTAGTCTCTGGAGTTTGAGGGCTCTGGTTCTTGGAGGGGGTTCGAGGATTTGGATGAATCGACTAGGTTTAATTCTCCTTCCTTTGCTCGAGCCTTTAAATACTGTTAGCTAATTAGCCTTTTCTTGATTTGATAAGAGCGAGTATACTGTAGAAACCAACCTCTTTAGATTTCCATCCTTCAACCCTAATGAAGACTCTTGATACCTGATGAGAATCTGTTCGTTGACTATCAGGCCTACGGGCACTAGCACGGTATTATATTAGCAATTAAAGTATAGGCTTAATTACCATGGACATGTTAATTTATAGACAAGAGATAAAAAGAACTCAGCAGGAGTGCGTATGGAATATCACCTTTCAGGCTCGTCACCATGGACTTTGAGAGGAGACGTGGTCATTTTGCAATTTGCGGTAACTTGATATGATAATCTTTGGGAAATTTTAAGTGGTAATCGCCGTAGCTTAGGTTGAATGGGAGTATAGGTACTAAGATGTCGGGGGATGTTGAAGAGATGTGTGAGTTATATAAGGCTAGATTGTGTAGGAGTAATTGATAGAAGGTATGAAGCTCTAGCTAGACTTTATATGATTAATCTAATCATGAGGTTTATGTACGTATATGTAGTACATGGTGGGAAGTAAGGAGTTTAGACAGTGCACGTAGCCGTCGACGTCCTGCCGGACGCCTAGCTCAGTTCGGGGCCTTCGCATTGCTTGTAGTACGAAAAAATGTATAAAAGCTTTAAGCAGCAAAAAAACAAAACCAAGAACCGTGTCGAAAAGGATAAAATAAATGGGATAGAGCCCCTATGTTACAACCCCCAGACTACCACTGCACTGAAACGGTATATACCATGGCCTTGGACACGCTCATGACAGGTCTGATTTTTATTAATCTAGTCTCAAAATCACACATGGACCTAGTCACGTGATGCCATTATCAAATTTCCAGTCTTCAACATATCCGGGCTCCACATCCTTTGCATATACTTGACCCTAGAATATCTAGATATTGAATTCGAAGTGCAAGCCCATTGATGGTACGTAACACCTGTTGAGGGGCTATGCGCGCTTATGCACTGCGTCTATTTCTTATCACTCAGTACAGCGTCGCGCTTAGCTCGCGAACAGCTAGCATCCCGCGTGGAGACGTTGCACAACACTCAGGCGAGTGATACATATATGGCTGAGCATCTTTTTTTTTTACCCGTAGTCTGCACCGCTCAGGTGAAACCCACTACAATTGCCAGCCCAACCCGCCGGGATACATCTCCAATGCTGTTAGCAAAGATCAGAAATCAAGGGCGTAAGATGCCTCTCCCAAAACGATCGTGACCGATGGGTCGGTGTCGATAGGCAATGATCCCAAGACCATCGGGGTATGGCTGATGCCATTTCTCTCCCACCATTTTTACGGGTTCGGTGATGGAGATAAGGCATACCGTATGTACAGCTATCTCCTAGAAAGCATGGAAAATACCGTGCAAGGCACACACTGGTAGCGAGAACTGGGGCGATTTTCCTTCAGAAGTTCGGTAAACTTGATATCCCCGGATTTATGATCCAGGACCTGGTAGGCATGGATGGAGCGGTCGGTACATGCGCACACCCAGTAAATATGTAAAGATATGGATATATGCATAAATACCAATTTATGTGTGGGGGAGGGGGGAGAACCGGAGATGAGGAACCGAAATAGCTATTCTAGCGGTCAGTCGTAAACCCCCCATGGCTGAATCTCTGTAGGTATATGTTCCCCAACATATTGACTTTCTTTGTGCTTAAGACCACTATCGAATATCAGGTTTAGAGTACATTCTTCAGCTTCATTCATCAGCTTAAGCGTCTTCGTCCCGCGGCCCGCTGCCAGTACTTTGTAAGTTGCTTTGGGCGATACTTGCATCGGGTCTTCTTCCCTTCCCTTGCAAGGCACAATTCTGATACAACCATTTCGCTGATTAAGTTCTGCCAATTTTCTCAGAACCTCTCATTCTCGTGACTTAATGTCCCAGTGCCTGAGTTCTCAGAATGACGGAGTGGGCAATTACAAGGCTTATGGTCATTACCAAATCCGATTTCCCAGGCGCTCGGTCCACTATATGCCCGCCCTGGCAGTTAGCCTAGCTTTACCAGCAAAGGAAGCCACCCACGCAGGCAAACGAACCATGAAGCTTACATGTCTCGCTCTCCTTATATTTCGGTAGATGGAATGGACAGGTTATCTCCACTAGAAAGTACGTACTCTGTCTGTCTGTTCAAATTTTAATTACATGTATGTAAGTATGTATGTACATGTAATTGAGATCTTGCGCCCCTAGCCACGGGTGGTGATTCTTCACGGACGGAGACCCCGAAAACGATAGGTAAGTATAACCAGTACTTCAAACCAGTGACAGCTCCAAGGAAGTTTTCCTCTCTTTAGCTAAACTCAGGCGAGGCGGGGGAAGGGATGGGAGCATCCAATTCCCAGGTTTGCATTCAAATTCCGACAATGGTACTAAATGCGGATCGTAGAACGACATCAAAGGGGTACTCCGATGTCGGATCTTGTCTCGTCTACACAGCCCGTGCCGATATTATGTCTTTTGCTTTGCTTTTTTGCCCGGCCCTACGGGATGCAGTCGTGTGGGGAAGATATAAGAGCTTGCTACCATGGAGTAGTTAGTGAATCGTTGGGACTAGTCTCAGATGAAGCTGTCAAAGGCAAGTTTAGGAGTGTAGATTCGTGGATGGGTTCGTGCTTATCTGGCAGGCAAGTAGTTGGTTAAGTGTTTGCTTCTTTTGTCTGTGATTTGTAGAGCGAAGGACTCAATTGACATACAAGTATCTATCGTTATCTTGAGCCAACATCATTGGCGCACTCTACATTGGGATGCAAGGCCGTCGGATAAGAACAAAGTCAAAAGAGACTTCTGAAACCTCGAGTAATATCAATAGCTTCAGGGCCTTGGTGACACATGCAACTGTTCTCTTGGTAATTTTCCTACATGTAGTACGTGCCCGCCTGGTTGTACAAATGACACAGCAGAATTCGAACTGATTGAGATGAGGAAAAATGTGATAGAAAAAAAGTGATGCAGACAAACGGTTCGGTCTCTGTGTAAGATTACACGATACAAGTATCTCTTTCTTGATAAATGTGTAGGCGCGCTGTTAACTCAGAGGAGTTTAGATTAATTGAATTTAAGGTTACTTAACCTTAAATTAAACGACTAAACGTTTATAGTGCTATAAACCGCAGCCTCGTGCGTGGTGCTACACCCATTAGAAATTAGGGGACCAAAAAAGTGAAATTCCCTACATGTACATTATATAAATACATGTAGAGTATGATTATCTCAAGTTATTGTGTGTCATGTTATTTTTAATTGAGATCCCCTGATTATGGGGCGGTAAATGTGTCAAAAGTAATTTTACCAACGGTAGTAAATTATTTACCAGTATTTATACCCTATAATGGAAATTTTTATGATAAAAGCACAGACCTTTTGGCCAAAAGGGGCCATATAATGCCAATATATATGAAAATTGTCCACTAGTGGGGAATCTCACCATCGGTGGCGGTATTTCACCACCAGTGGGAAATTTTCATAAGTTTTGGCATTAATGATTGAACATTTACTTATTTAGTATAGCGCAGCATAAAGACCGAAACTCAGTGTTTATACCGGTGGAAATGTACTAATGTAGGATAGCGTGCAGATACAATGACTGAAATTCAGTGCTTATACCACCGGTGGTAAATAATTTATGAGCTTTTATTCCGGCTTATGAAATATATGTATTATATTTCTGGATCTGGGCCACGTGGTTGCTGCGGTCAGGCTATAATATACGCCGCTATGACATCAAATACGCATTCCAGATAATTAAGCCTCTACATGTAGTCACTCTCATGCATGCCCATCGCTACGAGACACTGGGGTTTGAGATTGATACTACGTAAGTATCATATTAATAATAATATCTACGTACTCCAGGCCTATCGGCCATCATACATAGATATCAAGATATCTAAGTTGGCTAGCATGCAGGATCTCAGCCATAATTAAATTTAATTTTGGATTTAATATTTGTATATATGTATGTGAATATATATGTGCGCGGACGCTAAGGATATGGCTTGAATTTAATTACCTGTAAGCAGCTCTGGAACTTTGTTTAGTAAGATTTGAAAGTATAATCAACTAAATTTAAACAGGTGTGAGAATTCATCGTGAGAACAAGTTAAGGGTACATCGTACATCTAGATCTAGCATCAAGTACCTCCCCAAACCATTTCATCCTCGCACGCACTCCGCCTTTTGTTTTGCGAGCTGGGGTTAAGTTCCCAAGTTCGGATACGGGGATCCGGGACTTCTCATTATGGCTGGATCCATGATGTAGCTGCTTTGTTTCTTGTCTAAACTTAAGAAATTAATTCTCCGAGTAAAGCCAAAAAATAGCCCATTCTCCTACCCTCAATTTTGATCCGATAGATCCCCGTAGATAGAAACACCCCACTGATGGTTTAAGCTGCACGGCGATCCCCGAGATCGATAAGCTTATTTGAGCCCCAAGCCACCCTTTAGGAAACAATCTTCCCCACCTCCAACTAAATTGGGTAAACGAAGGCTAATATGGGGTTTTTGTAACACTTTATCTTTCTGGTCTCTGCATTAGAAACGTAAAACTTCCGGTGTTGTACAGGATGAGGGGGGGCTGATCATCGACTGGATCATGATGGAAGTCTAGAGAGGGGAGTGGAGAGGGGAGATGTGTATATAAATATACCCTCTTACCCTCTTGTTTCTCTCAACTTCTCCGATATCTCCAGAGCAGAATATCACTAGTAGTATAATTAGCAATATTCAAACGAAATTGCCCATCATGACCCCGTCAGTCCCCATAAGCGATTTCACTCTACACGCCGGAACCTCCCAAACACCCGTATGGACACAGAGCATCCCCTTCACTCTCACTGCCACAGCCGTGACGGACCTCTGGCGCAAACCAGGGCATATTGCTCATGAAATCAATAGCATCACGACCTCTATGCCGCTCTCCTCATTCGCCCGTGCTACGGCAACCTTTCGTACAGAGGCCTTCCACACACTTTACGATCAGGCCGGGCTCGTGTTCTTATTTCCAGCGCGTGGGGATGGACACCCGGAGCGGTGGGTTAAGGCGGGAGTAGAAGTCGTAGGGAGAGTGCCGAGGGTCTCGGTGGTAGCTGCCGATAAGGCGTCCTGGGCAGACTGGTCACTTGCGGGGGGAGACGAGGGAGTAAAGAAGGATACAATGACGTTGGAGATGGTGAGAGAAGGGCCAAGTTTGGTAATGAACATGGTGGGCAAGGGCGGGGAGAGGAGTACAGTTAGAGAGGTAACTTGGGTTTTCGAAGATGACTTAGTGAGCG